AAACACCAAAATAGCATTTACNTAATGCAGCATGCATTTATGCATGGTGTCCATGGATAAGATGCATGTCGGCATTATGTAAAATGTGTACACTAACACACATGTCATGCATGTGGTCCACACATAACACACATGTCATGCATGTGGTCCCCACATAACACACATGTTAGGTGTGTGGTCTGCATGCAACATGCATATTTCATGTGTGGCCAAGGCACACCATGCATTCTTCATGTACTTCCAACTCATACTGCAAATGTGACCTGAATAGCATGCATGCTACGCATTTTATCCATACTACGCGTTATCGTTGCATCCCCAAAGAGAGGAGCCCTGACAAGAGAAATATAGCCCTCCATCGGTCTTTTTTTCCTCATCCTTCGAATTGATTAATCATCTGGTACCCCCCCCAACGGCATACACACCTGCGTGGCCTGACTACAGGGCTACCAACAGCGTAGCGCCAGGCGCCTGCGCTGCCAAGATTGAGTCGAACACCGACACCGGGGTACGAGTTTGGCTCCCCGTCGACTTGGGGCGCCGGTCACCCTCGTCGCCGCAGTCGGGCCTGCGAAACGGATCCTGCTGGGGAGGGATCGCCAAGTTCCCGCCCTACAAGCTATAACGAACAATCCTCTGGTGTCGTGTGGGTCGTGTGTGTAAACGACAGGTGGAGGCGACGGGACCGCGCTGTACCAGGGGCGCACGCAGGGTCAGGCGAGACGGGGGATAGGGCGGACGCGGAGGATCTGACGCTGGTGTGCGCTGAGTTCAGTCAGACCCTCTTCAGCCCCAAGCTCCGCCACGACAGGCCCTTCACGTCTCCACGGCCAACCATCACCGCCGCCATTCCTCGCTAAGACGGCAAGCACCCGTGCTCGACAAAAAATAACAATTTTAAAATGAAAATGATAATGAAATATTCTTTTAAAAGAAATTTAAAATTAAAATCTAAATGATTAGTCCAATTCCGCGAGGGCGCTGACTTACACTTTTCGTACCAAAATCCACCGACAAAGAGGCAAAAGCTGATCAGTTTTCTCGCTTGCCTTGATAGCTAGCGGCCTGGAAATCAGTTTCCAGACCAAATAGACCACGGGCTACAAGATGGCGCACTATTCAAGGCGCTACAGCGCGCTGTTCGCCTCACCAACCTGTAAAGTTGTGCCTGTCTTCCAGGTAAAGCTCACCAGTTTTCCCGCTTGCGTTGATAGCTAGCGGCCTGGAAATCAGTTTCCAGACCAAATAGACCATGGGCTACAAGATGGCGCACGGCTCAGGGCTCCATAGAGCGCTGTTCGCTTTACAACCGAACGAGTGATATCACTCCGGACAACAGAGCTGATCAGTTTTCCTGCTTGCCTTGATAGCTAGCGGCCTAAAAATCGATATCCAGACCAAATAGACCATGGGCTACAAGATAGCACACGACTGGGGGCTCTACAGCGCGCTTGTAAGGTCAGCAACAATTTGCGTGATATCAGTTCTGAAAACTAAGCGGGTCAGTTTTCTCGCTTGCCCTGATAGCAAGGCGCCTGCAAAGAAATATCCACACCAAAAAGACCACGGGCTACAAGATGGCTTGCGGATCAGGGCGCTACGGTGCGCTCGTTACGCGTTTTCGTTGCATCCCCTTACGAGTGTTTCTAATTTTACTAGTTTAACGACAAGGAAGACTAAACCTGTGAGCTCCGCAATGGCTTGTTACTCGTTCCACGCGGTTTTTACTCGTTTCACACATTCTCCTAGTTAAACTAGTCAAACGCGTTTAACGAGTGTTACTCGTTTTCGTTGCATCCCCTCAGCTATTAAGGGAAGCTGAGAAAACTGACAGCTTAGTGTTCATGAGTTCTTATCAGATGTAAAGCGAACAGCGCACGGTGGAGCCCTGAGTCATATGCCATCTTGTAGCCCGTGGTCTATTTGATGTGGATATTCCTTTGCAGGCACCTTGCTATCAAGGCAAGCGAGAAAACTGACCCGCTTTGTTTTCAAAAGTGGTGGGACGCAATTAGTTGTTGCGCCTACAGCGCGCTGTAGAGCCCCAATTCGTGCGCCATCTTGTAGCCCATGGTCTATTTGGTCTGGATATTGCTTGTCAGGCCGCTAGCTATCAAGGCAAGCGGGAAAATTGATCCGCTTTGCGCGTGCACCGATCCGGCGCGGCGTGGAGTGAGGCGAACAGCGCGCTGTAGAGCCCTGAATCACGCGCCAACTTGCAGCCCGTGGTCTAATTTGTCTGGATGTTGATTTTCAGGCCGCTAGCTATCAAGGCAAGAGGGTAAAAGGGTCCTCTTGCTGGTGTGAAGAAGCCCGGAAATCCCAAGTCTGAACTCCGCCCGCCTTCGGTCCCAAATTGGTCGACAACAATCACCGCGAACCAAGTTCGTTGTTTTAATTGGCTTTGTTTCCCAGTACACGCTCAAACTAAGGGGATGCAACGAAAACGTGTAAAACTAGTTTTACGAGTGTTACTAGATTTTACAGTTTTACGACTTACAAGGACGACTAAACGTGTGAGCTCCGCAATGGCTTGTCACACCATCCTCACACTGCTCTCCCCCTGAGGCGCATCGCCTGACGAAGTGATTGGCACCACTCCTACCCTGCGAGCTTTCAAGGCTGGTGAGTTTTCCTTCAACCATCATCGAATTTCATGTGTGTTCGTTCTTTGCGTGAGCTACTAGTTTTACACGTGTTACGCGTGCAATTCGTATTACTCGTTTCGGTTGCATCCCCTAAGGCACGTCATCACTGGCTTGGCCGTGCTTCCCTTCTTCAGTGCTCTCCTTTTTGCGTGACACCTTGGTTGGGCGCTCCTTCTTGTCTCCAAGGTCCTTGTCCCGTTTCCTCTTCTTGGTGTCCCTCTTTCCTGTCCTGTCTTTCCTTTTGTCGTCCTTTCCGCGCTCTTTCTTCTCTTTCTTTTTCTTCTTCTTTTCCTCTTCCTTTCTCTCCTCCTTTACTTTTTGCTTCGCGCGCTTTTCCTTCTCTGTGGCGGCGGCAGCGTCCTTCTCCTCCTCCCGTGTCTTCCGCTCGCGTTGTAGGAGTACGATCTCGCGTACGCCAGCGGGAGGGCAAAGACCCAGCCGTCGCTGGATGGCGTGCCGCTTGACTCTTCGTTTCATCGCCTCGGGATCGCTGTCACGGGCCTGTCGCTCAGTTTGACGCTGCTCCAGCCTGCGCCTCTTGGCATTTCGTCTACTTTCGGCATCTCCTTCGCTTGCCTCGTCCTTCTTCGCCAGCTTCCCCCTGCCGCTTTCGCCATCTCGTCCCTTTCGGTTGCTGATGGCTTGCTTTCCTTTCGCCGTCCGCCGCTTGAATTCCGTTTTCGTGGATCCCCTCTGCACGGCACGCGGTGTTAGTACAAGGATCCACCAGTTGATGATAATCATTGTCGCCGCTCCATCAAAAGACAAGCTGTACCTTCGATGTCAACTGCTCCTCGTCGCTGCTGCTGCCGCCGCCGCTGGCACTTTCGCTCTCGCTTTCGCTGCTGTCTTCGTCGTCTCCCGAGGTGACTTGATAGACCGGGAAGACGTGTTTGCGCGCGGTTAGCCACTGTCTGGCTTCTTTGAGGCCCTTGGCGAAGGCTTTGGCCTTGCTCCCCTTGATATTCCTCTCATAGTTTTCGTCCCATGGCTGTACCTGTGAGACCCACGCGCTACACATGTTGCGCATCGTGCTTAATTGTAGGTGAGAAACGAGGGTCGATTTGGGGGGGGGGATACTAATCGTAAGAGCCAAAGAAGTAGACCAGTTGCTGCCTGGTTCCTCGTTTCGCCTTGGATACCGTGGGGCTCACCTCACTCAGCTTGGCCAGCTGGTGTGTGTATCATGATGCGTAAGGTGCCAGCGTTCCCAATCTGCCATTGCAATTCGAATTGGGATGGGTTGTACCCGTGCGGGCCACAAGGCGAAGCCAGCCAGCTTGGCCCACACAACAGTGCCTGGTTTGCCCTCTTCGGAATCCATCTTGGCTTTTCTGTTGGCTTTTCTGGCCAAGATCACTAAATGGCGCGTAGAGAGAACCGACAACACACGTACGCGTCACGTTTTCCTTTTCGCCCCACCCGGGGCGTTTCTTTTTCTGATCTGGAGAGAAGATGGCAACTACTCGTACTGGCGCTGGGCCGAGAGCAAGATCTCCTGGAGGTCAGAGGTGGACAGAGGAAGATGGAGATGTTTGTAGCACTGTGCTGTCAGCTGCTCGTACCGCCCATACTCGGACAGAAGCACCTCCTACGGGATGGACCAGGCGTGAGCTAACGCGGCGCTCCTCAGATAGGAGGCGTGATCATACCTGGAGGCGGGTAAACGCGACCGGGATGAGGGCTGATTCCTTGCAAAAGTTGCGCTTGATGTGCCGCAAGATGGCCCCCAGACGCTTCTCCACCTAATGATGGAGGAGACCAGAGTACACCCGCGAGTTAGGCACTGGTACGAGTAGGCATGGAAACGAAAGATTGCGGGGGGGGGAAGTGTCCACCCTTGGGCGGGCTAGGGTGGGCGCGAGACGGGCGAAGGCTTCGGATGAGTGGGCGCTCTGGAATTGGATCTCCTCGGGAGGCAGCGTGCGCAGAAGCTTATCAATCCCCTCGAAGAACGCCTGCACCCACCCACCACCACACCGAGGGCCGGTGAGGCGAGCGAGGGCCAGCTACTCGCAGCAGCGGGAATGGTGGGGCGTTACCGTGAGTGGCTGGAAATTGTTCTTGCTGGCGATGCTGCTGTGGATAAAGTCGCGCAGGCTGTCGTCGGCTTGCCTGAGCGCTTGCTCCAGGTGCTCCTTCAGACACTCGGTGCGAGGCCCCTTCTGTTGCGGGCCAGCAGAAGGTAAGTCCCCTCCCTCCCTCCCTCCCTCCTCCTCCGGTGTACACCCACCCATCTCCAGCCAGCGGGTTGGGGAAGACGAGGGTAGAAGCAGACGAAGACAAAGACGAACGCACCTTAGCTTCAGGCCACAGCTCCGCATAGAGGTAGCGATAGTTCTCTGCCATGGTGCAACAACACACCGTGTGAGCTGTGCCCCCGCCCACCCGCCCGCCCACATACATGCTCCACACCCACCCACACCTAGCCCCCCCCCCAATCTAGCGCACGTAGTGTACGGGAGGATTGGCTATTTGTGGGGGGGGGGAAGTAATAATACCAGCGCGGAGGATGTAGCGGTGCTTGGGGTCGTCTTCTCCGAGAGAGTCGATCCAGTGGGCGAGAGAAGAGTAGATCCGCACCAACGCGCGGTCCCCCAGCCTACGCCCGAGCACGCTCCCCTCCAGGCGCACCTCCACATCCTCCACGAATTGCTGCACCGCCACACGCCCACACGCCCAGAAAATGAGAGAGAGAGAGGGAACAGGTCGGTCGGTTGCCGAGAGTAGAGGCCCCGATCCAACGCACACACCCACCAACCACCGAGGAGGGAGAAGGCGAAGGCGGAAAGGGCGTACGGGATACTTCACAATGGGCGGCAAGATGCCTGCCGCCTTGATGGAGGGCTGCAGGAGGCCAATCGATGCCGCATCCTCATCCTGCGCACACACAACCCACCCACGGTTCATTGCCCACACGACCACACACGACACACACGACACACACGACACACGACAGACACACACACACACACACACACACAGAGAGAGAGAAAGTGTGACAGCGGAGACGGGGCTCGCGCAAGAAAGGTGTGACGCACAATAGAGTGGGTGAACATGCGTGTAGCAGGAAGCAGCAGCTCTCTCGTGAGCAGCCGCACCAGCGGCTCCGAGTCCTGCATATATGACATGCGCGAGCGGCAACGCAATCAACACAGCCACCACCTGGCAAGGGTAGATGGGGGGGTGGGGGTGGGGGAAAGAGCTGTTGAGGCACCTTTTGGTACTTGTTGATCTGGATCTCCATCTCGACGACGAGGGCCAGCGTGGCCAGGTGGTCATACCTGGTCACCCCGCCAAACACGCCGGCCCAGGCGCCCAGTCCTGCGCCAAAGGCCTGCAGCGGATTGGTTGCCGCCGCCGCCGCCGCCGCCGCCGCATGGAAGGTGAGAAGGGGCATTGGGGGGGTGCGACGCCCAACCAGTGCGTGCGGCAGGGGGGCATACCTGGGCCAGCATGGACTCGAGGGAGATGCCGCCACCCATGGCCCGCACCCCTGCACGCAGCTTTTGCTGCAGGCTGCTGTCCGCTTCGGCCTCGTCGCAGTCGATCAGTGACGGCGAGAACGGCGGATCCTGTTCGGCCAAAGAAAACAACCCAACCACCAGGTGTGCCGCCGCCACAACCACCACGACCGCCGCCGCCGTTCATGCCTGTGAGTGAGTCCTGCTGCACAGCCCCCCCCCACACAATGCGGGCGGGCGGGGTATATCGATCGATCGATAGATAGATAGATAGCTATAAATACCCGGGAGGGCGGAAAGGCAAACATTTCCTCGCTGAAGATCTGCTCGCGCGCGGTGACCAGGATCCAGTCGCGGAGGCCCTGCCGCAGCACCTTCTCCATTTTCTTGCCCTTCTTCAGGCCCTTCATGTCTTCGTGTGATGGGGAAGAGGGGCGTGGTCCGTGATGGGCGAAGAAGAAGAAGAAGAAGAAGAAGGGAGGGGCGCGTACTAATGGAGTCTCGTTTACCCGGCTGAGGCGCAGCCACGCCACCGCCAAACTTGGCATTGTCGCGGGGTTCCTTTGGGATGACTCGCCGCATTTCGGCAAAGAACACCCGCTGCTCTTCGTCATAGAGCCGCTGCATGCAATCCGCGTATGTCTGCACAAAACCACCACCACCCACCACCGTCCCGCCCACCACCGGAAATAATAAATAAGGCCTCCTTCTCCTCCTCCTGAATCCTGAAGATGACGGCCAGGCGCAACACGACACAACACAGCACAACGCACGCCCCCGGGAGGAGGGAGTAACCTGGGCGAGGTGGAGGTAGGATGCAAACTTGTTGCGCTGCAGCCAGTGCATGAGTTCCTTGTAGGCCTCCAGCTTACGGAATATGGTTTTGTGATCTGGTGGGCGCCCACCAAGCAGTTCTCCCCATCAGCCGTGCGTCACGTGTCGTGCGCTACATAAGCCCGAACCCGACCCCGACCCCACCCCCCACGTGGACTTGGAGGCGGAAAGGGAGGGGTACCTGGAACCTGAGTCTTCTCCTCGGCCGAATCCCCCTTCTACACACACGACAACACACACACATGACACACACACGACAACCGCACGCACGACACGGCACGACACACACGACACGACCAACGACACGACCAACGACACGACCAACGACACGACACACACACGACACACGATGAGCAACTAATGCACCGAAAGTGGGGAGGGTACGGTACCAGGGAGAAAAAGAGCTCGCTGAGGAATCGCTCCAGTCGTGCCGCAAAGACATCACGGAAGCGCTCGAACTCAGCCATCTGCCGTCTGCATCGATGGCACCCGATGGGAGTGAGAAGAAGCGACCCAAGAGAAGCGAGGTTGTAAGTGGCACGCGAAGGTGATAGATAGATAGAGACACATAGAGACACATCGGAATAGGCACAGGCCGCGGTGGAGGTGAGCGTACTGGCTGGCAGTCATGCGGGCGATTTCAGGGGACGACTCGCGTAGGAGGGCAGCGGCCTTGTAGCGTGCTTCCCACCGCTCCCCCGCTGCCACCACCGCCTCGAGCTTGGGCCCCACCTGACACCCGCCCCCTCCTTGTTGGCTCTGCTGCTCTCCGCACGGCCACAACGAAGTAGATCTACTCCGAGAGAGGAGAGAGGAGAGAGGAGAGAGGAGAGAGGAGAGAGGAGAGAGGAGAGAGGAGAGAGGAGAGAGGAGAGAGGGGAGAGGGGAGAGGGGAGAGGAGAGGAGAAGGGCAGGACAATAGGGAGGGGACGGGGGTGGAGCGAACCTCGAGCTCGCCAAAGGTAAGGAGAGACGTGGTGCTCTCGTCCAGGGAGTACGTGGTCTGCGAAGCCGGGAGAGGCCCAACCCATCCATCCATCCATCCATCCACCCACCCACGCGGCAGTGGTGTCACCAACCACCAGCCACCAGCCACCCTCGTGTGCGTGTGCGTGTGCGTGTGCGTGTGCGTGTGCGTGTGCGTGTGCGTGTGCGTGTGCGTGTGCGTGTGCGTGTGCGTGTGCGTGTGCGTGTGCGTGTGCGGAGGGGTTGGTCCACGTACGAGGAGGGAGTCGAGTTCCTCAAGTAGCGAGTGCTGGTTGCGGGTGAGCACTTCCATCTCGTTGTTGTTCTCCTCTATCTTCTTGATGTACTTTTGGATGTTCTGTGTGCACACCGCCGGCGCCGGCGGCTATGGTGAGTCCAAGTCAACAGGGAGGGAGGGAGGAAGGGAGGGACGCCTCGGGCGGAGCTGGGCAAGGGCTTGCCGCCGGAACGAGAGACGTACGGTGAGCTGGTTGTCGTAGTAGGAGAGCCACGTGTGGAGTTCGTCCAGCTGCGCGTCAGCTTCATCGATCCCACGCGTGAGATCCTGCATCGCTGGTCCCGACGACAGCAAGGCATACACATTCGCCTGCAGACAACACCCCCCCCCCCGATCCCCTCCCCCAAGTTAGCATTTCGGTCTCGGGCTCCTCCTCCTGCTCGTCCTGCTCGTCGTCGTCAGCTGCACGTCCACCGTGCCCCCCACCCGCCCACCCGAATATGCTTTTTGCTTGGGGGGAGGGCACGTGTGGCGTGGATCACCCGTGATGGATCGGTGGTCAGTGAGGGGAGACCGTACGGCGTCGAGGGCCTGGACTTGCTTGGTGAGGTTGTTGACGAGCTCTTCCGTGGCCGTGTCACCGGCGAACACGTCTTCCTTGAGGAGGAGGGCCTCGAGCAGCTTCTCCTCCTGGCGCGTCGAAGAGGAGGAGGAGGAGGAGGAGGAGGAGGAGGAAGGAGGAGCGATGCACCACACCAGATGGGGACTATGGTCAGCACGCACAAAAAGGGGTCTCTCGAAGAGAGGGGGGGGGCAAAAGGCCAGCAGCCTGTGGCGGGCCGCACTTCGGGAGATATGAGCTCCTTGTTGAGCTTCTTCTTCCACACGTCGACATTGTCCTCCCCGTCGTCATCCGACCTGCAGTCCTCGGCGATGACCGCCAGGTGGCCACCGCACCACCGCACCAGGTCAGCCCACGCCATCATCATGATGGCTCGAGAGGGGAGGAGAGGGAGGGAGGGAGGGCTACAGGGAAGAGGTGGGAGGGAGGGAGGGAGAACCCGCTGGCCCATGTTACCGAGGCTCCGCTGGCAAGGGTCAGCCCGCCTCGCCCGCCCCGGTTCGACGATGGTCGCACTGCTCCACTCACGTCGCCTCTAGACACGCCCACGCACGCACGCACAAACCGACACCGGTGGTGCAGCACATCAGCACCACCAGCAGCAAGAGACATTCCTATATACCACCAGCACCAGCACCCAGCACCCACCACCCACCACCCACCACCTCACGAGGCGGCCTGCCCCCCTTTAAAGGAGTGGTGTGCTGTTTGGTGTGAAAGCACGCCACGCCACGCGGCAGGAAGGGGGCTCTGCATTGTTCTACTGGAGGAGGGAGATGGCTGTGTACATGTGCCGTACGTACGTGGTGGGCAGGAGGGTGGGCGGCGTAGCACCAACGGCGGAGTGAGCGCTGGCCACCCCAGCGCCCTTCTTGGCAGCCTTGAGGCCGGCCTTCACCATCTTGGCCCCGCCTTTGCCCACCTTCCTGTAACATCCCTCCCACAACATGCCTCGGATCCGTGAGAGATGGTCCTTGGCATTAAGACCAACGCGAGTAGTACCCTATGGGCTTGATGATGGTTGTCATCTTTCGATCCTGCTCTTGTGTGGTTTCTTCTCCCTTTTCCTGGCGTTTCCTTTCCTATTACGAAAAACAAAACCAGTACCCCCCCCCTTTGAACGTAACGTTGGCAGCAGCAGCGGCATGGCGGCAGCTTCGCGGGAGGCCGTGGTGGTGATATTGGACGTGGGCGCCTCCATGGCGACCCAACAGCGCTGCTCTTCTTCGTCCTCGGTATATACTCCCTCTCCTCTCACTGCCACGCGCGAGGGGGTGGCGGGGCTTTATGGTCCTAAATACTACTACTGCTCTGTGTCTCTGTCTCCTGGTTGGCGGTTTGTCGCGAGACAGAGGCCGACCATGGGTGCGTCGTCCTCGTCAGCAGCAGCAGCGTGTGCCTCTGTCTCCACAACGTCGGGGCTGGAGCAGGCGGTCAAGGCCGTGGAGCTGCTGGTGCAGCAGAAGCTCATGCACCCGTCCCGCGACGAACTGGGCCTCGTCCTCTTCGGCACCCGCGGCACGTGCCTCCTCCTCATCGCCATCGTAATCACCGGTGGTTGGCATGAGTGGGAGTGGCTGGTGGCTGGTGGTGGCTGGTGGCTGGTTCGCGCGCTGACGGGGCGACCTACGCTGTGTGCGGTGTGTGCGGTGGTGTGTCCTCCTCCATCTCCTCTTTCTACAGAAACACACAACCAGCTGTCTGAAGATGGCTACCAGGTGCCCACCCCCCAGCCGCGCCGCACGTCCTTGGTGGTGGTGGTGGTGGTGGGGGCTGAATGGAATGAAGCAACTGGCTAACCTCGAAGGCGCGCGCTTGGTCTCTCTGCACCCGCACACCTGCACACGTGGCGAACGCAGCACATCACGGTGGCGCGCGAGATCATGGGGGCCGACATCGATCTCCTCCGCTACATCTCCACCATCACGCCCGAGGGGGCCGACGGTGACTGTACAGATTACACACCCCCCTCAAAGGCGCTGCTTTTGGCTGCTGCCTCGCGTGCTGGCGCTGATCGTGTGGGGGTTCGTGTTCTGGTGTGGCTGTGGCTGTGACTGTGGGGTGCTCTGGCCGCCCGCCAGTCATCGACGCGTTGATCGTGGGCATGGATCTGCTCATCCGGAAGACGGCGGGGAAGCGCTACGAGAAGCGCATCTTCCTCGTCACCGATGCAGGCTGCCCCGTCAACCAGGACGACCTCGACGTCGTCTGCGAGCAGTTCCTCAAGATTGATGCCCGCCTCAACGTCATGTACGACACCGCCCTCCCTCCGCCCCTCCTCCCCCTGGCGGTGAACTCCTCCTGCTCCTGCTCCTGCTCCCCTACTCACGGCGGCGGCAAGTGGGGTGGGCTTCGAGGAGGACGACGACCAACGGGCCGGCTCGCAGGACGACAACGACAAGGCCGAATTCAAGGTACTTTTGCTTCTCCTCCGTAGTGGCGCGCACAACCTCGAATGGGCCGTGCCTGCCAACCACCACTTCCTCCGCCGACTGCTTACGCCACGGCTCCCCCCCCACGGCGGCGTGGCAGAGGAAGAACGAGCGCCTCATCCGCGAGTTCGCCGAGCGCGTGCACGGTGTCGTGGTGCCCGTCCAGCGGGGTACTGCGCCACACCCCACACGAAACGACTGCCCGCAACGGATGGTCCTAACCAAGGTGTGTGTCGTGTGTCGTGTGTTGTGTGTGTTGTGTGTGTCGTTGTATGCTTTGCCACACGTGTTCCCCTGCACCCGCGGAATCTTGCAGCCATCGAGATGATGAGCTTCATCAAGCCCAAGCCCGTCCTCCAGCGTACGTCGCACCGCGGTTGCCTGGAAATTTCCGCCCATGTCAAGATACCGGTACCTCCTGCTGCCCAACGGTCATCTGGACACGCTTCCGCCCGCCGCTGGTGGCTGGTGGGTGGATCCGCGTGACATCATGGTGCGTTGGCGCTCACCAACCATCCCGCGCTGCGCAGGTGTGGAGCTACATCAAGACCATGGAGCGGAAGCTGCCCACCCTCAAGAAGGTCTCAGTCGTCTCGCAGCTCTGTACCGCCCCGCCCCCCCCGCAATCGCCCCATCGCTCCATGCGCCTGCCTGCAGGTGGTGGGCCACGAGTGCCAGCCACGCCGCCATGCTTTTATAATTATTCTATTGTTCTATTATTTTATTTTTCATGATTCGTTTTATGAATGCTGACATGCGCACGTCGGCCGGCGGCACACCCCACCCCACCCCCACCCCACCCCACCCCACCTGCAGCGGGGGATGAGGGCGCGTCGATGGACGTGAAGCTCGAACGAACCTACCACTCCATCACGGATCCCGACACTGAGGCACCCACCCACCCACCCACCCTCCCCCCCCCCCCCTGGGTGAAACCCACTGCACGTTGAGATTCTTATGATTATTCTTCTTATATATTATTACGTATTTATTATGTATTATGTATTATTACCCACGAAGCTGTTTGGGGAGAGGAGGAGGAGGAGGGGCGCCAACTGAATGCCCCACCCTCGCGTTATCCGTCCGTCCGTCCGTCCACATTTCCAAACCTGCGCAGGTGGCGCCGGACGAAAAGGTCAAGGGCTACAAGTACGGCAAGACCCTGGTGCCCTTCTCCATGGTCGACGAGGCCGTGCTCAAGTACGAGGCTGCCAAGTGCCTCCAACTCATCGGATTCACTTCGGCCAAGAACGTGCCCCGTACGTGCCCCGCCCCGCCCCGCCCCGCCCCGCCCCGCCCCGCCCGGCCCTACCACACCCAACCTCCACGCCCGGCGTCGTTTTCTCCCTCCCCACATCTTGTCCTTTTTTGTTCTTATGGTCCGTGGTCCGTGGCGGCGGCGGCGGCTGCTGCTCGTAGGGCACCAGTTCCTCGGCAACGTGGAGTGCATTGTGCCGGAGCCCGGGGATGGCGTACGATTCCCCGCACGCTTCCGTGTGTGTCGTGTCTGTTTCATGCGTGTCGGTGTGTGTGTCGTGTGTGTCGTGTCGTGTGTGTCGTGTGTGTTGGATGGGATAGGGGACCCGCAGCGAGTGTTGGGTGCTGCTGTGCGCTGCACACTTCTCACCGGTGGAGGCGCGCGCGGCACACAGTCGGCAGCGGCAGCTCTCTCTGCGCTTGCACACGCGCTGGCCGAGACGGGGAGCCTCGCCATTGTGCGCTACGTGAAGAGGAACAAGGGCAACCCCTATCTGGGCTGCCTCTCTCCCCGTACGTCCCGACACGCGACACGACGCACCACACACCCTTGATAGAATAGAATAGAATAGAATCGACCCATCGACCCATAACAACCAACAATGTACGTACCCGTCATCGATGGGCGTAGACATCAAGCCAGACTTTGCGTGCCTGTACTTCTGCGCGCTCCCCTTTGCCGAGGACCTCCGGTACGCCCCAGACCTCCTCCTCGTTCCCCCCAATCAGCGGCCAATGCGGTTCATGATCATTTGCTACTGCTGCTGCTGCTGGGCAACAAGGGCCGCGGCGATGGCGGCGTAGGTCGCTCACCACCACGTGGCGGTGGCGGTGGCGGCGTTGTTTTTTTCCTCGGGCGGCCAGGCAATACCCGTTCGCCTCCCTGGCGCGTCCTTTGCGCAAGGCCTACGCCCCCTCGGAGGAGCAGCTGGAGGCCACCCAGGCCCTGATTGACTCCATGGACCTCATGACCGCCGCTACCGACGAGGACGGGTGTGTGCCCTCTCTCCCTCCCACCACACCACCACCACACCACACCACCCACCACCCACCACCCACCACCACCATGGGCGGGCGGCCATAATAACCGTTGGCCGCTTGCCACGCCCTCCCTTAGCGTCTCCTCTCCCGCCGCCGCCGCAGCCGCCGCCGTGTTCGAGCGGAGCGGAGAAGCGAGCAGCGCACGCTAATCATGCACGCTAATCATGCATGCGTGCATGCACATATGTGTGTGGCTGGTGCTCCTCCACAGCAATCCGATGGAGGCGGTGAAGCCCAAGTACACGTACAACCCGGCCCTCCAAAACCTGTACCGGGCCGTACTCCACCGCCTGCAGCACCCCGACGAGCCCTCCCTCCCTCCCGTACCCTCCCGCCCCCCTCCTTATGCCGGCGATCACAGCCGTGCACTGATCCCGCCGCCGCCGCCGCCGCCTAATGGCTGGGTGGGTGGGCGGGCGGGCGGCGGTAATTTATTATCCCTCGTGCCTGGGGCGTACAGGTGGATCCTGCGATCCAGGAGGCCCTACGACCCGACCTCGGGCTGGCTGACAAGCTCCGGCCGGCTCTTGACCGCTACAAGGCCGCATTCACCTTCACGCGAGTCGGTGCGTACACCACCTCCAGCGCCATCACTACCTCCTCCTCCTCCTCCTCTTCCGCCCCGATGCAACTCATCGTGCTGCCGTCGCTGCCCGGCCATCTGCTGGTCATCACCCAACCACCCATCTGCTGCTGCTGATGCTGCTCATCGTTCGTGTGTACGTGAGTAGAGGGAGCTGCGGCCAAGGTTGAACGACGCTACTGGCGGGACCGCCTGGCCGATACCGACGTGCAGCTGGAAAGGTACGTCTCTCTCTCTCTCTCTCTCTCACACACACTAGCCCACCGCCACCCACTACCACCACCACCACCACCACCAATGTCTGGTGGTGTGGTAGAAGGGGGAAGACACTTGTGGTGCGCTGCTGGCTGATGTGCACCGATGTGTGTCGCGTCGTGTGTGTCGTGTGTCGTGTGTGTCGTGTGTGATGATCACCGTGTGTGGTGTGGTTCCATGTTGTCCTGACGTAGCTACGTCCCGGAGGCCAAGAAGCAGCGGAAGAACCCCGAGGAGGAGGGCATCTCCATGGAGAGCCTCATGTCCGGAGCCACGTCGGACGTGGGACCCATCAACCCCGAGCAGGACTTCAGCGTGCGCGTCCCCTCCATTCCCTCTCTCTCCAACACCGACCCCCCCCTCCCTGGTTCAGAGAAACACTTCCCCCCCGGTCCGTGTGTGTCCACGTGTGCGGCCTACTTAACCCACCCACCTGTCCGTACGTGCTTGCGCGCGTGCAGGACATGCTCGCCCGGCGCGACGTGGACCTGGTGGACAAAGGTACCCCCACCCGCACACACCACGCAGTGTGTCGTGTATGTGTGTGTGTGTCGTGTGTGTGTCGTGTGTGCCATACTGATCCGTTCCGCCGAAATCCTATCGTCGTCGTCGTCGTCGTCGTCATCATCTGCAATGCAGCTGTGGAGCAGATGCAGGGGCGCATCAAACAGCTGGTCGAGGACAGCGTGGGCACCCAGCTCTACGATAAGGCCCTCCAGTGTCTCCAGACCCTGCGCCACGGATGCATGATTGAGGACGAGCATCAAAGGCACCCACCACCACCACCACCACCACCACCACCACCACCACGACCACCACCACCACCACCACCACCACCACCACCACCACGGGTCCACGCCCAACCACGACGCATGCAATGGCCCTCTTCAGTGGCTAACGGGGGGGGGAGGCTGGATGGGTGGGTGGGTGGGTGGATGGGTCCATGGCAGGTACAACGAGTTCGTGGACGAGCTGGAGGGCTACTACAGGCACAAGCGGCGGGACGACTTCTGGCGCCTTCTCTGCGCGCGCGGCCTCAACGCCCCCCTCCGCGACACCACGTCCCCTTCTCCCTTCGGCGCCACCACCACCACCGGCAGCGTAGTACGTAGTCCGTCGTCGTCAACTAGTTGTTGGTTGTTGTTGTTGTTGTTGGTTGTTGTTGGTTGTTGTTGATTGACCAATGGGGGGACACAACAGACGGCCCAACACACCAAGAGCGAGGACGAGGAAGAGGAGGAAATCGACGTGACCCGCGACCACGCGGAGGAGGAGGAGGAGGCCACCGCCGACGACCTCTTCGACATGATCGAGTAGGCAGGCCGGGCCACATGGATGCCGGTAATGCCTGTGTAATGCATGCACGTCGCCACTACTACGACCCCCACCCACACGCTCACCCAAAAGAGGTCTGTGGGGTGGGATGCACTGCGTTTTTTCTTTACTTGCGGGCGGCGATGCCAGACAGGATGATGACCCAGAAGAAGGCCACCACGTTGACGAACAACACTCGCAGCTCGGCGGGCACGTAGTTGAAGCTGATGAAGCTGGCGATGGGCCACACCTTCCAGCTGTTCACCGTCGTGGGCCTGCCGCAACAACAAACGGGGGTGAAGAAGACGTGAGCCGGACGTCTGTCGCGCATCAGCGAGTTGAGAGCGGGGGGGGGGCGGTGTGAACCAGAAGTTGGACTTGATGAGGCCGCCCATGGCCGAAGGCTGTCCCTCGAGGATGGCCATGAGGACGTAGAAGAGGACGTTGAAGATGGGTCCAAACACGAGCTGGTCGATGGCGAGCTTGCCGTAGACGGCCGTCTTGCCACGGGCAAAGCGGAAGAGGTTCTCCAGCCACAGGAACTTGTAGTGGCTCACGGGGCTCAGCAGGAGACCCAGCGCTGTGAACCGCCACAGCCGGCCGACGTCGAGGCCACGCAGCCCCTTGCGTTCCACCGCCACTTGCGCCGCCACATTGCCCAGCCCTGACAGCACCGCCGACGTCAGCGCCTGCCCATATCACCACGCCCACGCCCACGCCATTGGAGGGAGGGAACAACAACAGCAGCAGCAACAAAAACAGGCCACGCCGTCAGTCGCCAACAAAAGCAAATATTTATTACTGGTTTTCTAGTAGAAAAATATTTCAATAGGAAGAAAACAAAAATAAAAAATAAGCGCTTCAGCGTGAGGGCGTCTTGTTCGGAAAGACAACACAAATGTCCGGCAACGATCTCATGAGGAATCAATAATAATAATAATAAACGTCAAAGCCGTATGGTGTGTTGATTCGGCGGTGGTGGCGGCAAGCAAGTACTTGCGATTACGTACCTTGGTGAGGATCGGGCGTTTACGGAGCTGGAAAATGTAGGCTTCCCAGAGAGAGGCGAGACCGTTGGGCGAGCTGGCGGTGGTCGTGGGCTTCGAGTTGGACATGGTTGGGCGACTAGACTCTTGTCCTTGGTGTAGGTGCCTCGGCTAGCCGTGTGGTGAAAAAGTACCGGCCTTTGCCGCACGCGGTGTTTGCCAATATCGGAGATTTTCCTTTGTGACCATTTCTTGTTCTTTTTCTCTGAGGCCCACAACTTGTTTTTCCGGCTTTCTTCCTCCGGCCAAAAGGAATCTGCGCCCTCCTCCGGTCTTCCCTCACCTCACAGCACAGCACAGCACACATACGATGCATCGGCAGCAGCAGCAGCAGCATCGCAGAGGCGGCGGACACGACCAGCAGAGGCACCGAGGCAATCGCAGCCGCGACGGACCCGCCAAGCAGCGACTGCGCCGCAGAAACGACGAAGAGGAGGAGGTCGCCCTGCTCCTACGCCGCATCGAAGCCGAGACCCCGCCTGCCGGTGTAATGCTCCCCCTCCCTTCCCCCCCCTCCCTTCCATCAACAACAACAACAACGGCCCCTACATGGGCCGTGTGTATTTATTTATGTACGGGCGCCACACGGGCAAGGTCGTCGCGGACGACGGCGACGAAGGGAAAAAAGTGCAGGCCTGGCTGACGCGCCTATTTGCGTGGGCATGCGTGCGTGCGTGCGTGCAGGTGAACCCGCTGGTCTATGACGACCAGCCGGCACCGGCGCGTGCCGCCGCCGAAGCAGCCAGCGGAGCCGACGTGGAGCAGGTGGAGGACGCCGCCGCTGCGGCCACGTCCACGGGGGAGTCTCGCGAATTCAAGGACCTCCCGATCTCATCTCGCAGCCTGCAAGGTGCCGCCGCCGCCGTCGCTGCATGCGCGCGCCGTGGCCACGCGCAGGCTAACCACCTTTCGTGTGTGTCGTGTGTTGTGCGTGCGTTGTGGGCGTGTCGTGTCGTGTGTGTCGTGTGGGCGATTGTGCGAGTGCAAATGCAGGGCTGGAGAAGGGCGGGTGGAAGGTGATGACGGACATCCAGCGTGCCACGCTGCCTCACACCCTTGCCGGACGTGACGTGCTCGCCGCCGCCAAGACCGGTAGCGGCAAAACTCTCGCCTTTGTCGTACCCGTGCGTCCCCCTCCCCCGGGCGCGCGCTCTCTCTCTCGCTCGCTCTCTCTCTCTCTCTCTCTCTGACAGCCGCCATCCACCGCCAGCCACTATTTCCCCGAATGAAAATGGTCTCACCCACTCTATGTGTGTGCGGTGGTGCGTGTGCGCCGGCGTGGTATGCACGCATGGCATTGGGCAGGTGCTGGAGAAGCTGTTCCGGATGAAGTGGACCACGGAGGACGGGCTGGGCGCCCTCATCATCTCGCCCACACGCGAGTTGGCCCTGCAGATCTTTGAGGTCCTCTGCACGGCGGGCTCCAACCACCAGCTCTCGGCGGGTGCGCCTTACCCCTCCTCCTCCTCGTAGGTCGTCGTCGTCGTCGTCGTCATGATGATGATGATGATGATGATGATGATGATGATGATGATGATGATGATGATGATGATGATGATGACGATGGCGATGATGGCGGGCCAGGGTGGTGGTACACTTACGCGTAACCTTGCCAATCGTGGGCGTGGGGCGCGCACCGCAGGGTTGGTGATCGGAGGTAAGAGTTTTGAGGAGGAGAAGGCGCGCATCGCGCGCATGAACATCCTGGTCTGCACCCCGGGCCGCCTCTTGCAGCACCTCGACCAGACCCCCGACTTCCACCCGGGCTCCCTTCAGCTCCTAGGCACACACGCCACCCCCCAAACCACCACCACCACCACCACCGCCACCACCACCACCACCACCACCACCACCACCACCACCACCACCACCACCACCACCACCACCACCACCACCACCACCAGCCACCACCACCGCCACCGCCACCACCACCACCACCACGGCTACGCATGCTCGTTGTGAAGCACATGACCATGGTGCTGGGTGATGACACTTCTCCTCCTCCCTACGCGTGCGTGCGTGCGTGGCACCGAGTGCAGTGCTGGACGAAGCCGACCGCATCCTGGACATGGGCTTCGAGAAGACGGTCAACTCGATCGTGGAGAGCCTGCCTCGCACGCGGCAGACCCTGCTCTTCTCGGCCACCCAGACCCGATCCGTCAAGGTTTGCAGCTGTCTCCCCCCCCCCACAATACCCCGACCACAAATACGGCTCTTTTCCCCATTCGTGGGCGCCTCTTCCCCCCCCCTCTCCCGTCGGTGCATATGCTCACACTCGGCACACACCTTTGGGGGGGGGTCCTGTTGTTTTGGCGGGCGCCGGGGTGGCGCTGGCGGGTGAGCAGCAATTGGCGCGGTTGTCGCTGAAGAATCCCGAGTACATAGCGGTGCACGAGCAGGAGCAGTACGCCACGCCCAAGAACCTGCAGCAGAACTACCTCGTCTGCCAGCTCCACGAAAAGCTCGACACGCTCTTCTCCTTCCTCAAGACCCACACCAAGCAGAAGATCCTCGTCTTCATCTCCAGCTGCAAGCAGGTACCGCCACCGCCACCGCCACCGCCACCGCCACCGCCACCGCCACCGGCTACGCCTCACCCACCACCGCCACCGCCACCGCCACCGCCACCGCCACCGCCACCGCCACCGCCACCGCCACCGCCACCGCCACCGCCACCGCCACCGCCACCGCCACCGCCACCGCCACCGCCACCGCCACCGCCACCGCCACCGCCACCGCCACCGCCACCGCCACCGCCACCGCCACCGCCACCGCCACCGCCACCGCCACCGCCACCGCCACCGCCACCTGATGGGGACACGGCTCCGTGCAGCCATCCTCCTCACGCCCTCCCCCGCGTGCGGTGCGTGCGGTGCGTATGCAATAGGTGAGGTTCGTGTACGAGGCCTTCAGGCAGCTGCAGCCGGGCCTGCCCGTGATGCACCTCCACGGCAAGCAGAAGCAAATGATGCGCATGGCCACCTACACCAAGTTCTGCGAGCAGAAATACGGTACTACTACCTACTACCTACCTACTACGTGGCGTGGCATCACATTGACCACCATCAACACTATGTGGTGGTGGCTGGCTGGCTGGCGGTGGTGGTGGTGGCTGGCGGTGGCTGGCTGGTGGCTGGCGTGCAGCGTGTCTCTTTGCGACGGACGTGGCGGCGAGAGGGCTGGACTTCCCCAACGTGGATTGGGTGGTGCAGGTGGACTGCCCGGAGGACGTGCCCACCTATGTGCACCGCGTCGGGCGCACCGCCAGGTGTGTGTCTACTCGACCCCTCCCCTATCGCGTCTTCTTGCCCGCAAGCTGGTGGTTGGTGGTTGGTGGGTGTTGATTGTTGATTGGGGTTGTGGGGTGGTGGCGGCGGCGTGGTGGTGGTTTCCAAGGTTCCAAGCGGGCGGGCGTGCGTTGCTGTTCCTGCTGCCCTCCGAGCAAAAGATGGCCGACCTCCTCAAGCAAAAGGTGCCCATCCAGGAAATCAAGGTACGGGCCGCCCACCTGCCTGCAGACATCGTTCGCCACGTGGAGCTCATGCTGGTCCTGCTTGTGTGTGTGTGTGTGTGTGTGTGTGTGTGTGTGTGTGTGTGTGTGTGTGTGTGTGTGTGTGTGTGTTGTGTGTGTGTATTGTGCGTGCGTGCGTCCGTCGTGGGCGTGATGTGGTTGGTGGTTGGCAGGTGAACCCGCGGCGCACCCTGTCCATTCAGACCAAGCTGCAGTCCATTCTCGCTGCCGAACCCTCCCTCAAGTACCTCGCCCAGAAGGTACGACCACCAGCCACCAGCCACCGCCGCCTGCCGCTGCGATCCAGACCGCGGCACATGGCACATTCATACGAGATCTGGGTGGGTGGGGGGCGCCCGCCGCGATGTCGTTTGCTTTCCTCTTGTCCTCTGCTTACATGAACCGGTTGTGGGCCGTCGTGTGTTACATAGGCATTCGTGTCGTACATGCGCTCCGTGTTCCTGCAGCCGGCCAAGGACGTGTTTGACGTGAACGCCCTCCCCGCCGAGGAGTTCTCTCTCTCCCTCGGCCTCCTCTCTTCCCCCCGCATCCGCTTCACCCAGGTACCCACCACCACACCCACCCCGGTTGCTGCTGCTGCTGCTGCTGCTGATGCTGGCCTCCCGCCACGGCGCAGAGCAAGAAGGGCCACAAGAATGTGTCCTACCAGATGCAGCAGTCACTCGAGGACGCCGAGCACGAGGACGACGAAGACGAAACCACCGCCGAGCCAAAGGTACTCCTCCACGATCACCAGCCACCAGCCACCATCACCGCCATCGCGGCGCCCACCTGCGGGCACGGCGGAACCTGACCCCGCGCATGGGCGTGGAGCAGCCCAGGGGACGTGCGCAAATGCTGAGCGCCAAGGTGGAGAAGCTGATCGCCCGCAAGAACGCGACGGTGCTCTCCGACGCCTGGTCCAAACTACGCGCCGACGTGGACGACGACGCTGAGGTGCGGCCCTCCCTCGCCCACCAGTCCACGCAAGCTATCATTGTCGTGTGTAGTCCGTGGTATATCGTGTGCGTGTGCGTGTGCGTGCGTGTGCGTGTGCGTGAATACATTGATCGCATCTCCACCCCGCCCACCCACTCGCTCCCTCATCCCCCCGATCGCATCCTCACACGGCGACACACACGACACACACACACACACACGACACACACACGACACACACACGACACACACACGACACACACACGACACACACACGACACACACAGGAGGACGACATTCTGGTGCTCAAGAAGAAGCAGCCTCAGCCCGCACGCCCAGTGGAGGTCAGCAAGGCCGGTGAGGCGCACATGACGGCCACTGTGAGCGCCGAGCAGAAGGCCAAGGCCATCCAATACGCGCAGCAGCTCCGCGACAAGATGAAGTACGACTCGACGGCGCCCCTCTTCGCCGATCCCCGCACCTGCTGTTCCCCCTCAAATACTGACGCCTTCCTTTGCTTCCTTTGGCGGCGGCGGCGGCGGTGGTGGTGGGGCATCGTCGTGTGATGCCAGGGCCTCGGACGTCAAGGACAAGGAACGGCTGCGGCAGATTCGTCGGGAGCAGCGCTGGGAAGAGAAACAGCGGGCCAAGGCAGAGGCCATGGAAGAGGTGCGCACATTAGGACCCCTCTCCCAACGCCCCTCAGCGAATTCGCTGAGTGCTGTCCTGTGGTCTGATCGTTCACTCCGTCTCTCTCTCTCTCTCTCTCGCGCGCGAGCAGATGGGGCTGGGCGCCCAGCTCGTGCCGCCGGAGGAGGGCGAGTACGGCAGCTATGGCGAGGACGATGGCGAGGGAGGCGGCTACGACGACGACGACGACGGAGAGGAGGAGAACGGCAGCGCCAACGAGGAGGACGAGGACGATGATGAGGAGAGCCCTGCCCCGGCCAAGAGGAAGCGAGGCGATGCGGAGCCCAGCACCAAAGTGGAGGCGGCGCGCCAACAAAAGAAGCAGCGCCTGCTCGACGCGGCTTCCACCGACGCCCTCGAGGAGATGGCCCTCAAGCTGCTCCAGCAGAGCTAACAAAGGGATCTCTTATTATTTTTTTTATTTTTCGTCACTCGTACGAGTGTTAATTTAGGTGGTCTGTCCCAGAGATCTGCCTCTGCCGCTGCTGCTGGTGGTGGTAGTGGGCGCCCAACCGCTCCACGGTCTGGAGCAGCCTGTCGGCGTTGAACGGCTTGGGGCAGACATCGTCGGCGCCGGCCGCCTGGATCACCCTCTTGTGCTCGCTGTCGGCGTGGCCTGTCACCGACACCAGCGGCATGCGCGGCGACCTCGCCCTGTTCTCCTCCCGCTCGGCCTCGAGCTTGCGGATGCGCACGATCATCTCCACGCCGCACATCCGCGGCATCTCCTCGTCGATCAGCAGGACGTGGAAGTGCTCGTGCCCGCCCATCTCGTGGAACAGCTCCAGCGCCTCCTCGCTGTCGCTTGCCGTCCACACCGCGTGGCCGTGCCGCTGCAGGATCCGCGTCATGAGGCTCAGGTTGATGGCGTTGTCGTCCGCCACCAGCACGTTGTACCCCGTCTTGGCGAGCGGCCGCCGAATGCCCGCCTGGGCGCTCGGTCGGCGCTGCTGCTGCTGTGCGGCCGCGTTGCCGGCCAACGGTTCGATGAGGTCGGACCGCGTGGGGAGTGGCAGCAGCATGCGGAACGTGCTGCCCCGGCCCTGCTCGCTCTCCACCTGGACGTCGCCGGCGTGGGCCAGGACGATGTTGCGCGTGACGGCCAGCCCGAGGCCCGTGCTCGTCTCGCCGCCCGTGGGCTTCACCGAGAGCCGCTGGAAGGGCTGGAAGAGCTTGCCCATCTCCTCCCGCGGAATGCCCTGCCCGCGATCCATCACCGACACCGAGGCGCACCTGCCCTGCACACGACTGCCCTCGACATGGCCGCCCATGTCCACCCGACCGATCACCACGTCGATGCTGCTGTGGGGATGCGAGAACTGAACCAGATCACCAGCCACGCCAAGAGACGAGAACCACCGTGATACCCGTCAGCTCGTCACCACGCGAGGATGTCGTTGAGGGGGAGGTGATGGTGGGTGATGGGCGAGGAGGGTGCAGTGCACCTTGACGGCGTTGCTCAGCAGGTTGTTGAGCACCTGCTCGATCTTCATGGGGTCGATGAAGAGGTTGATCTTGTCGCGGGCGCCCACGCGGCTCGCTTGCCACTGGTCGTAGGAGAGCAGCTCCCGAGTGCCGCCGCCGCCCGAGGCGGGTGCTGCGAGGACGAGGGCGCCCGGCTCAGGCCGCCGAGAGACGGGTGAGGGCGAGGTGCACGGGCCACCGCCACCGCCACCGCCGCCACCGGCCTCGATGGCGAGGTGGAGGGTGATGTGCTTGGGGCGGGCGTAGAGGGCGTTGGAGGCCACCACGCGGTGCACCAGGGCCACGAGGTCAGTCATGCGGCAGTCGAGCGGCACCGGCACGTTGCCAAAGTCGGACTCGCCCATCTGGAGCAGCTCGTCCACGAGGTTGTGCATGAACTGGGCGCAGGTGAACGACGCGTTGGCCAACTCGACGTGGGGCTCGGCGAGCAGCTGCTCGTCGTCGTTGAGCATCAGCTCGGAGCACATCATGACCGTGGCGAGCGGCTGCCGGATGTCGTGGCTCACCGCGCTCAGGAAGCGGCTCTTCTCCGCGCTCAGCTTCTCCAGCTGCCGGTTCTGCTGGCACACGGAGGCGAGGCTCAGCCGCAGCTCGAGCTGCGCCGAGACCTGGCGCGAGAGCTGCTCCAGCGACCGCTTCTGCTGGGCGTCGAGGTGGCGCGGCACCATGTCGATCACGCACAGATTGCCCAGCCGGTGGCCCGCGGGCGACACCAGGGGCGCGCCGGCGTAGAACCGGATCTTGGGCTCGTTCACCACCATCGGGTTGCACCGGAACCGCGCGTCCTCGAGCGCGTCGGGGATCACGAGCAGCGAGTCGTCCATGATGGCGTGGACGCAGAACAGCTGCTCCCGGTCGACGATCGGTATCTCCGTCACGCCCTCCATGCCCAGCCACGCCTTAAGAAACAGCCTGCAGGCATCGACGAATACCACTACAAACATACCCATATATATTTATATATATAGAAATATGAAGATAGATCACAGTAATGTGTGCCCAATGCCCCACGCCCAAGGAAGGAATGAACGAACGAACGAACGAAATCGCCATGGCCGATGAAGGCCGCACGCGCACACGCGCACACGAGGGGGAGTAGTAACGGGAGGAGCAAGCAAGCAAGCAAGCACACGAGAGAAGAGAACACCCAGACAGGACCGGACCTAAAGCGACGGGCACCTGGCAGATGTGCGCCGCCAGTTGGGCGATCTCGTCGTAGCAGGGCTCCCTGGGGAGGGGGGAGATAAATAGGGGAGATAGATGGGGACAGAGAGAAAAGAGCGAGGGAAGGGGAGGACGGGGAAGAGGTCAGAAAGGGCGAGGAGAGAAGGGCGACTTCCAGTGATGCGCCAAGAGACCTCTACCTATCAGATCCGTGGAAGAGGAGAAGGAACACAAACGGGGTGGTGTCCAGCACGTTGTAGTGTTGGAGCTCTTGCAGGTGCTGCTGCTTGTGCTCATCCATGACGAGCTCAAGTTGGGGGCGGTTCATGCAAGCCAGGTCCTGGGTCGTGGTGGTGGTGCCCATGGCTGCAGCTCAGTGCTAACTTGTTCAACAGGACGCCAAACTGCTGTGTGAACTCACCAGTTGATTGGTGTACATTTGGTGTGAACAAGATGCAGCACATCTATCCTGATGGCCATCAAGACCACCTACTCCAGCTAACCCATTGACATACAGGTTGGGTGCTCTGTGGAGTTCTACTATGCCTTCACCAAAGGGTGGACCAACTACACCCCTCAACAGCACTAGAAAGTGTCATAGCCTGGAATGGCTGAATCTGGGGCAGATTGTCTTGTGCTGGCAGTGATCTACAAAAAGAAGAATTTAAACAGATATCAAGAATTAGGGGTGGGAGGACACTTTGTGTACAGAAAACTGTGCAAAAGTGCCATTGTTTCAGCTTTTTGTGTGTAGATTCTGCAGAAAGAGAAATGGTTGAGTTTGAAATGTACAAATCAAGAGCTGTGTTGTTGTGCAAATCTGGGTGGTCTTGTGAAATGTGATGTCTGGGAATACTGAGGTGTTGTAGAAGTTAGACTGAAGAGGGGTGAGTAAAGAGGTTTATTTGGCTGGAAGAAAAGAACTCAGAAATAGGCTCACCAATTGAAAGACTTGCAACTGGACATGGGGGTTTGGCAAGTGGAGGTGAGACTAGGGGGAGGAATATAGGGAATAAGGAGGGGATGGTTGAGGGTGTTGAAGGTGTTGGTTGTGCTCTGGGGGGTGTTGTCATCCACTCCTTGAGCAAGGAAGTGCAGGACCCAGGTTGCATAGTCCTTGGGTGAGTACTCCAAGTTGGAGGCCTTGTTGGCAAAGGGCAGTAGTTCATGATGATGGGAAGTAGCATGTTGTAGGTTGGGCGTCATAGACTGTGTGGATGTGGTCCTCAGTGGTGGCTGGGAAGTTAATGCTGTGAGGAGGAAGCTCTAGAAGCAGGGATGCAGAAGCACCTTGTTCTCAGCCATGAGAGCAAGACTCACAAGAATAGCTCTAATGTTGTCCTTTTTAGCAGGTGGTAGAGGAATGTGGGAGAGGTAGCAGTAAGGAGCACCAATCCAAGCTGTTGCTGGGAGGAGGGCTTGGAACCCAGATGGTGTTGAAGGACAGTTGGCATGGCAGAAGAATGATGAAGAAGCCACTGATGTGAGGAGGTGCTGGGTGGTCAGAGGTGTGGGCCAAGTGGAAGGTGAGTGTGAGCTTGTACTCAAGGTTTGGCATGATGTGTGAGCTGGTTGATGGCAGATGCAAGGTGTTGAGGGTTGCTGGTGATGAATATGCCAATGCTGTGCAAGTGGTGCAGTTGGGTTGCTGTGTTGTTATTGAGAAGGTAGTTGTTCTGGTTGATGCCAAGATCATGCATGTATGAGACCTGCATAAAGAGAAGAGAAATAATCAGTAATACTGATTTGATGTGTTGGATAGTCCGCATGCACATGAACAGGAAAGACACACAACAAGCAATATGAAAAAACAAGTGTAATAAGATTAACAATAAAAAAGAAATACCTGATCTGACACAGATCAGTGGGATGCCCAGGAACAGGAAAGTGACAACACAAACATAAAAAAAGAAATGGAATAAAACAGACAATAAAAAATAAATGTGTGATCTGAAATGTGTCAGATTGCATGCACAAAAAAGAGAATGTTGTACTGGTTGCTTTTGAGCTTGAGGTGGTGAATCATTCATGAGACTGTGGTCTGAAGAGCACTTGCAAATCTCCACTTGTGCTGAAGAGGCCTTCTTGGCTGCCTTCTTCTTCTCATATTCAGAACAGTTGTCATATCATTGTTCAATGGGTGCCTTGAAGTGTGTACATGCTGCCAATCCAACATGTGTTGGATCACCAACATGAGGAACTTGAAGCTAATATGCTGCCAAAATATAGGCAACAGGCTCACAACATTTCCTAGTACTAAGCACCAACAATCTCTCCTTTCTGCTTCAAAAATCCCCATCTGAACTATCTTATCTGATGTGTGTCAGATTCAACATTAATGGGTCTGGTGCCTTGTCATCTTTTGACATGGTGGGACTGTGGCCATTCATGGACACCAAGGCACTCCCTCTCCCTCATTGGCTTGTGAGAACTCACACTGCTGGATGGCACTTTCTTCAACATCACAGGAGATCATCTTCCTGATGGGATAATCCATCTGCCAGGGGCCATAACAGCACACTTCAACAAACCCAAGGAGACAACACCTCCTCTGGACATAAGCAAGCACATAGAAATCAAGAAGACTCCAGTTTAATACTATAAGGAGTGCCTTGGATGTGGGACCAGGCCTGTTGAACAGGTCTCAGTATGACTGGGGGAACAATAAATAAATAGTAAGTTACTTGTTGAGGTGTACCTCCCACCAAGTGTGAGGGGAGGAGAAGAGAGCAAGAATGGCTGGTACTACTCATTCCTGGAGGGTGGTTGTCTCCTGAGGTGTGCTGTCGTCGGCCCGCTGCTGTACAGTTGCTCGTCGGTCAGCTTCCCACCCTCGCTTTTCGTCGGCCTCATCAAGCTGTTGGGCGTGGTCGGATCGGGAGTCATCACAGTCCTCGTCGTCATCGTTGGTGCGCACCACATGGTATTGGGCGTTGGCGTTGGACGCCACGAAAGAGTCCTCGGACCTGGAGGAGGCGTGGGGCAGGGAGGAGTGCTCGATGTCGTGCATGCTGATGCCCAGCTCGTGCAGCTGCACGTCCTCTGTGTCGGCCACCCCTGCCTTTTCAAACGGTGATGACCACCACCCCGATTATGAGCCCCACCCTGCGCCACACCGACCAACCATTACCAACCGCGACCATGCATAGCTAAAGGCACGCGACCGAGATGGATGCGCAGCCTCCACGGGCGAGGTAGATAGAGATGGAGGGCGAGAGAAGGGGGGGGGGTAGCCGCGTACCAGATGCCGAAAAAGGCGAGGGGAGAGGCGAAACCCAGGACCAGGCTGATGGGGAGGCCCACACAGTAGAAGGCGAACAGATTGAGGGCCGCCCCCACCGTCTGCTTACCGGCCCCACGCAGTACTCCTCCGCACACGCCCTGCGTGCCGTCGAAGATCTACCCATCATCATCATCATTATCATCATCATCATCACCATCATCCATGGGGTAGGCCACACGCCCCGGCAGGCCTCCAGTAGTGAGCGATGGGGAACGGAGTAAGGGGGAGGGGGCAGGCGGGGGGGGGTGAGGAGAACCGTGAGGACGGCAGCGAAGGGCAGCACACGCGCAATGAGCTCCACCACGTGAGCATCGTTGGAGTAGAGGCCTCCCCACACGTTGCGCAGCACAAATATGAGCCCCGCAGCGCATGCCTGCGCCCCTGATAGTCGAAGAGTGGTGGCGCAACGTTAGGCAATTACTAGAACATGTTGCACCAGCGCGCGAAAGGATTGTGCGTGTGAGATGATGCGTGTGCGATGGTGCGGTGGTGCGGTGGTGCGGTGGTGCGGTGGTGCAGTGGTGCGGTGGTGCGGTGGTGCAGTGGTGCGGTGGTGCGGTGGTGCGGTGGTGCGGTGGTGCGGTGGTGCGTGTCTGTACCGATGGTGAGAAAGACACAGATAGAGGCGGCCTTCTTGGCCCTCTCGTGGTCGCCAGCGCCGAGCAAATTGCCGACTCGTGTGCTCGCCGCTGCGCATCAGGCGCCAATGAACGCGTTTGGTCAACCCACCCAATGGGGCGAAAGGGGAGGAGCGGGAGGGGGGCCGCATACCGACGGACATGCCGAGGGGGATCATGTAGCAGATGCCGAGGGTGTTGAAGGCGACGGTGTGGGCGGCCAGCTCGATTTCGCCGATGAGTCCTACTGCGATGACCGTCACCTCGAAGCCCCACCACTCGGCGCACACCATCAGCGTGCCGGGCAGCGCCAGCTTCAGAAACTCGCCCCAGCCCTGGAGGCACTCCCTGCGTCACGCCACAAACACCGCACGGTCCGCCGCACCACAACGTGGTCATCAGCCAAGCCGGCCACAAACCAAGAATGTAAATGTAAATGTAAATGTAAATGTAAATGCAGCTAACAGAAATGACAGCGGTGGTAGGTCTACGCACCAGGACCAGCCGTGCCAAGTCTTGCGGTGGGCGCCCGCGAGGAGGATGTAGGCCAGGAGGAGGAATGGCGAGCAGGCCCACGTCAGGGCCAGGCCCAGGGGCGAGCCCATGAACCCGAGGCCCAGCAGGTACACGAACACGTACTGCGCCAGCACCTGCACGCTCCCGCCGAGGCCGGGGAGGTGAATATGCAGCAACATAGCATTGCCGGAGTGCATGTGTGCGTGCGCGCGTGCGTGTGCGTGTGCGTGTGCGTGTGCATGTGTGTGGTGCTGTGTGTGTGTGCGTGTGTGTGTGCGTGCGTGCGTGCGCGCGTGTGAAGAGAGAGGCGGGTAGAGGCCGCGTACATTGATGAGCACGCTGCAGATGGTGATGTAGATGACGGGCTTGACAATGGCCTGGGACTGGAGCCAACGCCGCAGCACGTCGGCCATCATGTAGAACCAGAGCCCCGGCAGCAGCAGCCTGCGCCACGCCCCACATCACACGCACACACAAGAGAGGAGGCCCGGTGGTGAGAAAAACGGGCCAGGCCTGGCCAGGGCGGGCCAGGCAGGTGCGGCAGCGCACGCGCGCGAAAGTGCGGAGGAGGCGAAGGAGGGGGGGAGGCGCGGTGGAGCATTCGAGGGTAGGGGCCGGCGTACATGCAGTAGCGGCCGGCGAGGGCGGAGAGTTTGGGGGGCAGGCGGCACAGGAGGAAGATCTGCTCCGAGGAGAGCCAGATGGCGGCGAAGGGCACGCACGCGAGCGTCACGATGAGGATGGCCCGCTGCACGATCAGCCCCACCTTACGGTAGTTCCCTGCACACGCCACACGCACGCACACGCACGCACCACCGCACGCACACGCCGCCAGTGTACCACCCCATTCAGTACCATCCCACCCATCCACGCAACACCCAGTCACCCGCGACTGCAGTGGTCAGCATTTGCAGTAGCGGGCGACGGGAGGTTGTGGTATCGCGTGCGCGTGCGCATGTGTCGTTTGTGCGGTGGTGCGTCGTGCGCGTGCATGTCGTTTGTGCGTGCGCTGTGGAGCGGTGTATGTACGAGCGCCGTAGGCCTGTGAACACAGTGTGTCGATGGCGCACAGGAGGCCGATGCCCACGCTCAGGCCCGTCACGTTGGTGAAGGTGATGGCCAACGCCGCCGCCGCGAGCTCCACCTCGCCGTCGCCCACGTGGCCCTGTGGTGTGGCCGTGCGGTAGTGTCATGATGCGCACGCAACATTGGGCAGACAACTTACGCTCAATAATAATAAAAAATTAAATATTATATATATTATAAAAAAATACAAAAATAAGGTGCAGCAGAGGGCATAACATACCACGAAGAGGAGGTTGATGAAGGAGAGCATGAAGTTGATGAGGTTGGACACCACCGTGGGCCAGGCCAGGTTGGCCACCACGCCCAGCTCCGACTCGCTGGCGCGCACTTGAAAGGCCCGCCACCGCCCCTGCCACCGCTCGAGCTTGGCGGCGTCCCCACGTGCCGCCAGCCGCATGGGGACCTCGGCCCACCATTGGCCGCAGCCTCCTCCTCCTCCTCCTCCTCCAGGTGGGCCACCGAACGCCCCGTCCTCGACTTTGAAGCCGTGGTGTGTTTTTTCGAGACCATCTGCATCTTGCAGGTCGTCGTCATCATCTTGCGGCAATTCGTGGAATTGATGAAAATCGCTCCCTCGCGTTGATGCCTCCGGAGGAAAAGGAGAGCCGTGGAAGGAGGAGGAGGAGGAGGAGGTGGTGGTCGAATCTGTCAGCATGTCTCCCAGGGGGTCGGACAGGTCCGCTCGCACTGTGCCGCTCTCAGCTGGCAAGGCAGCGCCACCGCCACCTGCTTCCATCATCATAGCGAGCCCTCAAGGTCTGCCGCGCTGATGGCCGTAGTTGTGCTGGTGCTGGTTAAGAAGTGTGGAGTGCACTCACCACTACCATCACGCCGGCGGGGCAACTTGTTGAGAAGAATCTGCGAACAAAGCCCTCCCCCAGCTTGGCTTGCGAGTTTTCCTCGCTCCAGTTCAACCGTTGCCCCCACGGCTCAGGGTGGGGATCACTCCTCGAGGAGTAGCAAACCAGCTGCCACACGACACAACCAGGGGAGGGAGAGAGACCAAGGCTTCATCATCATCATCATCATCATCAGCGGGCCGCAGGTGTGTCGTGTGATGGTTCATTTGTGGGGTTCTCTATCCAACAAATCCAGGAGGTAGTTAATGGAGGGGGATGACGACGACGACGATTGGCCTCCTCCTGCTGCTGCTGCTGCTGCTGCCGCGAATGCCGCCGGGCTGCTGTTGTAGGCGGCAGAGGAGGTACCGGGCGGCTCGGAACTTCGGTGTGTGCGCGGCGAGGAGGAGGCCGACGGACACGGCATCGAGGGAGAGTGCGGGAGCGGGCAATGCGCGCACACCGCCATCGGCGAAGGTGACGACGACGACGATGAAGATGATGACGATGATGATGATGAAGACGAAATGGTGGAGGAGGCGGTGGAGGAGGGGTGGGGCTGATGGGCGGAGCCGTTGCGCAGAGGCGAACCCTGGCGCGGCGACGTCTGCTGCTGAAGCTGAAGGTGGTGGTTGTAGGGGTGGTGGTGGTGGTGGTTCTGCTGCTGCTGGGGAGGCGGGTCGTGACGGAAGGTGCGCGCCAGCGACAGCGGCGGAGCGGGTCCGCTGCCGGGCGGAGAGGCGTAGGGTGGTGACGAAGACAGCGGCGGGTACGCGTGGAGCAGGGAGGAGTGCCCCTGCTGGTGCTGCTGCTGGTGCTGCTGCTGCTGGTGCTGCTGGTGGTGGTAATGGGGCGGCGGAGGCGGGTACATGCTGTGTCCGGCAGTCATCGGCATCGGCATTGGGTGGTGGTGGAGATAGTTGGCAGCGGGCGGCGGCAGCTGCCCGCTCCAGGCGCCCATGACGGGCATCGACATGGAGAGGGAAATGGACATTCCGCCCACGCCTCCGGCCACCGGCGAAGGCCGGCGGAGGCCTCCGGGCAGATCACCGGACGACGAGGCCGCCGCCACCGCCGCCGAGGAGGGCGACGAGGACCAGCCCATGGGCGACGAGAGGATCTCCTCATCCTCGCCGGCCTCCCTCCCCTGCTGCTGATGGTGGTGGTGACGAAGCTGCTGCCGCTGCCGGTGGTGGTGGTGGTGGTGGGCGGGGCTGACGTCGTCCGAGTCCCGGTGATCGTCCTCTTCGTCGTCCTCTTCGTCGCTGTCGCTGCTTTGGTGTTCTGTCTTGTGCGGCGATCGTGTCCTCCTCTTCTCCATTTCGGGCGGCGAGGCCGCTCGCAGGGCCTGCTGGCGGTGGTGGTGGTGGTGCTGATGCTGATGGTGGGGGAGGGCCGGGATGGCCGGAGCCCACGCCTCGGGGCTGCGCCGCCACTGCTGGTGCTGCGGGAGAGGCAGCTCGTGCGGATAGGCCGACGGGTGCTGCTGCGGGTGCTGCTGCTGATGCTGCTGCTGATGCTGCTGCTGCTGCTGGAAGAGGTGGTGGTGGTGGTGGAGGTAGACGGCGTCCTCCTCCGTCTTCATGGTGGTGCTCGTGGTGGTGGTGCTCGTGGCGGTGGCGGCGGCACCCCATTCGGCCAGGTGGTGCGGCGGGTAGGGGGCGGAGGCGGGCCGCGCGTGGTCGGGGAGTTCGATGAGGTTGTGGAGGCGTTCGGCCAGCCGGAGCTTCTCCTCCTTGGCCAGGTTGCGCTTCTTGAGGAGGGCGTAGCACTGCTTCACATTCCCGCGCGGACCCTTCCGCACGTCCTTGATGCCGGGGAACGCCCGCTTCACCAGCTTGCCGAAGTACTGTCGCACGGGTGGCGGGTGGTGGGTGGTGGTGGGTGGTGGTTGAGATATGTGAGCGGAGGCAGGCAGGAGTTGGAGAGATGGCGGTGGAGATAGCGATGGAGAGAGAGAGAGCGTACGGTGGGCGACATCACGCTGCGGCAGTTGCGCTCGGCGCAGGCGTCGTTGTAGTGTTGGTACACGCCGGCCTTTTCCATGTGGCCCTGCTTCCCGAGCTTGTAGTTTTCCCGCAGCCTGTGTGCCCAGTCCGACCACAACCCCCAAAACATGTGGTCAGCACAATGCGCCGCGGGGTCCGTCTAATTCTCCGCTATCTCTTCATTAAGGCCCTTCACCATCCAACCATCCATCCATGCAGCGGTATCTCGCTCGCCAGCGCCGGTTGTGGGCGGAGAGATAACAACACACAACACAGAGGGGGGGGGAGGTGGAGGAGGGTACCAGGCAATGACCGCCGGTGCGTCGTGGAATTGAGAGTCGGAGGCGGCGGCCATGGTGTGTGTGTGAAAGAGAAAGGGAAGAAAGAAGGATGGAGAGAACTAACTAACTCGAGCTCGTTAGTTGGTGGTTCTCTGCTGCCGTTAGTTGGTGGTCTCGTTGTTGCGGTGCTGGCGGAGGTCCTGGTCAAAGTAGGAGCGGTCGTCGCGGAGCGGTGGTGCTGATGGTGGTGCAGCCGTGGCGGAGTAAAAAGAGAAGAAGAGAAGCGAAGCGAAGCCCCGGCCCGTAAGTACTTTCCTTGTGGTGTTGCGTCGCGGCGGTCTCTCGCCGGCGTTTGTTTTCCCGCCATGGCTACCAACGTCCAGCAACATCCAATGGCGTACCAGCACGCCGGATAACATTTCTCCGGCCCGTCACAAACCAGTTTACCCCGCTTCGCGTGGCGTTCTCCACGAATTTCAAAGAGCGACACTCTCCTTGTGTGCCGATTGGCGGGTTTTTATCTTCCGCGGCCCATCGCCGCCGTGGCCGCGGCGCCGTTTGACCGGTAGAGCCAACAGACGGCGTGTTCCGGCCGTGGCGTTAGAACGATGCAGATCACACCGGAGTTCGTCTCGGTTGCACGTCAGTTTGGATCCTCAGAGCGGATCGACACAGGTTTCGTGGACTGAGAACGTGTCACACGTCACGGGCCAGCGCGTGTCACGCCGTATATCCTCCGTCGGGCTCTTGGTTGTCGTGAGTTCGTCGGCGCCGTTTGCCGGCACTTGCCCTGGTGCTGCGCCGCCGCTTGGCCGTGAGCTCCTCCGCCGCCTCCTCGTCGTCGTTTTCTTCCGCTTCTTCCTCCTCCTCCTCTTCCTCTTCCTCCTGCCGAGCGCGCCTGCCTCGCCTCCTTCGCTTGGGGGCCTCCTCCGCCGCTGCCTCTCCGCTCTCCTCCCGCTCGGCCAGGCGGGCGAGCAGGTGCTCCCATGGCTGGCCCTCCACGTACTGCTCCAGCACATGCGCCAACGACTCTCGCTCCTGGTGGTCGACCACCGCACGACACACGCACGGCCAGGGAGGAGGGAGGTTGCTGGTCAGTCCCCTACTCGGGTCGGAGCGTTGGCAGGCAGGCAGTGTGGAGGCGCGCACCCGATTGACGGCGATGTGGGCGGGCGTGTATTCGCACACGTCGGCGATGGAGGCGTCCACGCGGGACGGCCCCAAGCCCAGCAGGTACTGCACGATGCGCGTGTAGTTGCCAAACACCGCCCAATGCAGCGGCGTACGCCCGGAGGCGTCGCGCGCGTTGAGGTCGGCTCCCGCCTCCGCCATCAGCTTCACCCCTTCCAACCGCTCGCTCTCCTTCATGTCCCTGGTGGTGGTGGTGGTGGTGGTGGTAGAAGTGATGATGATGGTCGTTTGGTTTGGTTGGTTGTGACGTGTCGATTGGTTCATTGAATCGATTGTGCGCAACTGGGTGGAAATTGAGGCGTGTACCGTTTGCCGGAGACGATGGGCATGTGGGCCGCTGTTCGCCCTTTGCTGTTGCGGGCGTCCACGTGCGCAATGTTGGCGCGCCTCGCCCTCTGCGCCGCCGCCGACGGGACCACCGGACTGACCGACCGCAGCGGACGCGGAATCGCTGTTGTAACGGACCCGCGCAGCAAAAATGATCACCACCCACCACCGTCAGTCAGTGCGAAGACGACGAAGAAGTTGGCGCGCGTACTGGCGCGTCCTGCAGACACCACAGGCGGTGCGCCGGATGCGGCGGCCGCGACGGGCGTGGGGTCGGAGGACGGCGCTTGCGCGGCGGCGGCGGCGGCGTCGTGGGCAGCGGACTCGTCCCGGATGGAGAGAAGGTAGCCGACCATGGACCAGTGGCCACGCTCCGCTGCAACGTGGAGCGGAGTGTCGCCGCCGTGGTCGGAGTGCGTGTGTGCGCTCACATCCACGCTCCCACGCCCCTGCTCCACCAGCAGCCGCGCCACCTCCACGTTTCCTGGTTTGCACGAGGAGCCGTGAGAACTACGCACACGACACGACACGCGCGACACACACGCGGCACAGCGTGCGGCAGGGGGTGAGGTAAGCACCGGTGGCGGCAGCCTTGTGGAGGGCGGTCTCGCCCTTCATGTTGCGCCGCTTGGCGATGGGTCGCTGCCGTTGCTTGGCGGCGTCGAGGAGGAGCGCCACCACGCCCGCGTGTCCGTTCTCCACCGCCCGCATCAGCGGCGTGTTGCCTGGAGCCATTCCATTCCATTTCATTCAGTTGCCGTTTCATCACCACGCCACCACCACCCACCACCGCCAGCGTTAACGTTGTGGCACGTCGGCCGGCGTTCATCCATGGTGCCGTTTGGGCGGAGGAGTAGGAAGAGGAAGAGGAAGAGGAAGAGGAAGAGGAAGAGGAAGAGGAAGAGGAAGAGGAAGAGGAAGAGGAAGAGGAAGAGGAAGAGGAAGAGGAGGAGGGTACCGCCGAGGTTGCGTTTGTTGAGGCGGCACTCGGGTCGCGAGAGGAGGTAGGTGACGACGGGCAGGTGGCCGTAGAAGCTGGCGAAGTGGAGGGCCGTCTCGCCCACCACCTCCTCGTCGAGCGACGCCCCGTGCTCCTCCACCAGCTGCCGCACCGCCTCCACGTTGCCCCGCCGCGCCTCCTGCACCCCACCAGCCACCAGCCATGGCCACCACCACGTGAGCCGTCAGCAGCGGCGATTGGGGGGGGGGGCGACACGCCTCCGGAGCCGTCGATGTCACAGTGTAGTGGTGGTGGGGCAGTAGTAGGTTGTACCTGGGGCAGGGACCGGACGTAGAGGTTGCGCTTCATTGGCGTCGTCGCGGTGGCTGCTGCGGCTGTCCCCTCCTCGCCTCCGCCGGCCGCCGCCGCCTGCTGGCTTCCGGTGGCACCCGCGCTGTGGCCGCTGCTGCCCGTGGCCATGCGCGGAGACTCCGCGGCGGCGGCGATGCCGTTCGCGTTGTTGTGGCTGCTGCGCTTCCTCGGCCTGTACGCCATTTTATATGTAGAGGAATATATATATATATATTTATAACAGAGGGGGGGCGGCCTCCTTCGCGCCAAGAGACCAAGAGATCTGCCGTACGCAGTGGATTAAAGGAAACCAAAAAAGGCTGTCTAAGTCAAGAAATATCGAGGAAAAGAAAAGGCAGAAAGGAAAACAAGGAGGATAAAGAAGAAAAAAGAAGAGATCTTTCTTTTGAAGATACAAAGGACCAGCAGCAGCTGCTAGAGAGAGAGAGAGAGAGAGAGAATGAGCGCGTCGCGTCGGCGAGGGGGCTACGGCGCGGACCCCAAGGCACCACGGCCGCCAGTGAGCGGACGTGCGGCCGGCTTGGTGGGCACCGCCCTCGTACCGGACGATGCCGAAGCCAAGCCCGACACCAAGCGCACTGGACCAGGTAACACGAGCACCCTCCCTCATCCATCTCCACTTTGCAATCAATCTTCGTTCGGCTGCTCCTAAGACACACATACAACCACGTCCCTGTCTACACGCCGCCCGGCTGATGGGTGGTGGGTGGTGGTGTTGGGCGGTGGTGCCACGGACCCCTAGTGTGGGAGCAGGTGGTGACGGATGCGGAGGGGCGGCGGCGGTTCCACGGGGCCTTTACGGGCGGCTTCTCGGCGGGCTACTTCAACACGGTCGGGTCCAAGGAGGGCTGGGCGCCCTCCACCTTCGTCTCCTCCCGCGCACAACGCGCCAACCGCCAGCAGCGCCCCGAGGACTTCATGGACGACGAGGACTACTCGGTACACACCCGTCACCCCCCCCCCACTCTCAATGCACCACCACCCCCAACGTGGCCTCGCTGCTCACAAACACCGCGTGTTGTGTCGGCCTTTACATTCGTGTGTGTGTGTGTGTGATATCGTAGGATTCGATGTCGGGAGGCAAAGCGGTGGGCATGAAGGACGAGTTCAAGAGCTTTACAGGAGTCCAGGCGGAGCACGAGGCCAAAGGGCGCCCGCATCAGCAGCAGCAGGCCACCATGCCCGCCCTGGCCGGTGGCAGCATCGCCGGCTTCCTCCCGTCCGACCTCATCGCTCCGGCCAACTCCCCCATCGGTACCACCAGCCACCACCACCAGCCACCACCACCGATTGCGTACACGCACGCTCACCGTACTATAGAAATTTTATTTTGTTTAAACAATCTTTCTCAATACCTCATGTGGGGGTGGGGGGACCAGGAGTGAAGCTGCTGCGGTTGATGGGATGGCGCGAGGGGCAGGGCGTGGGTCCGCGGATGGAGCGGAAGAAGAGGAGGAGGGGCGCGGCCAAGACACAGCTGACCCAGCCACCCGCGCCGCCCACCACCACCGCTGCGGCGGGTCCGCCCAAGCGGGTGTACGGGCTGGCCGTTTCCCTCGACGACCTGCGTGCCCAAAAAGACGACTCGGAAGACGAAGACGAGGGCGACGGCGACGACGCCCATGGCGTGACCCTCGCCCACACCCTTCCGCCCGTCGACACCGAGGTGCGCCTCCCCCTCGACTTCTCTCCTGCTCATCCCCCTTCGACCAATGCCTGATCCCTGACGCGTCGACGGTGACCCTTTGGTTGTTGCGTTTGCGCGCGCCCGCGGTGGTGGTGGCGGTGGCTGGTGGTGCGATGTCTCTCCGGTAGACGGTGGTGTTCGATGCCAAGACCAACTTCTACGGGCTGGGCTACGACCCCTACCGCTCTGCGCCCGAGCTACGCGGTAACCCCCTCCAACCCACGTCGTCGTCGTCGTCGTCGTTGCCGCCGTAGGCTTATCGTCATCGCCGCGGTCACAACTCACTTCCTCCCTCTTCTCCCAATGATCGTTTGATGGTGCTGCTGCTGCTGCTGCTGCCAGGGCGTGGCCGGCTGCAGGGAGGGGCAAGTGCGGGCCTGGGCAAGCTCCACCACGAGCAACAGCAGCAGCGTGGTGGGGCCGGCGGACGCGCCACCATCGGCGCTCTGCTCAGCGGGAGCTCACAGGGCCAGGGCGGATTCGGGCTGGGCGCCTTCGAGGACGCCGAAGACTCAGCACAGCTCTTTCCCGACGACCGCCGCACGTCCACCCGCCTGCCCGCTCGTCCTACACGACACACACGACACACGCACGCACGCGCACCGCGCGGTGTGGTCGCCCCCCCCCAATCCCTTACGTCCGCATTTCCCATTCCCCCCCAATCCAGTGGAGGAGTACGACCGGGAGCTGCGCGACGGCGACCACGACCTGGATCGCACCCGCACCGCCGCCACCAGCCTCGTACGCTACGCCATCCCTCCCGCCGCCGCCGCCGCTACCGCTCTTGCCTGGTGCTGGTGGTGGTGGCTGGTGGTGCTGACACGGGTGCGTGCGGTGGGTCACAGGACTACGCCGACGACGAAGAGGCGGAGGAGGAGGCGGGGGTGGGCGGGCTGCGTGGGTTCCGGGCGTCGTCGCAGCGGCTGACCCCGGCCAAGTGGTACGCGCCGCCGCAGGTGCCCGCCGACTACCGCCCCTTCCACTACTTCGAGACCTCCCTCTACGCCGACGGTAAGCCCTCCCCCAAGCCCAGCCCATTCCATGTGTTCAACAATCATACTTTTCAGTGCACTCATTGCATTCATGAATTATTGCCATAATAATGATAATGATAATAATGGTAATGATCAATGCAGAGGGGCCGGGTCCGGCGATGAACGCGGACAAGCGCGGGGAGATGCTGGGCGAGAAGCCGCTGCCGGCCCCCCACATGGCGCGCACGGAGCACACCGGCTCGGTGTTCGACCTGGTCTCCACCGCCGACAAGGAACGCCTCACGGGCCTCAAGAACCGCTTCGAGAAGAGCGAAACGTTCGCGTCCGCCCCCTCGCCCTCGCCCTGTTTCCCATCACGATAGCCTGACCTCTCCCGTGTGCGGTGGCGTGTGTGCGTGTGCGCGCGCGTGTGTGTACATGCGTGTGTGCGTGGTGGTGCGTGTGTGCGGCAGTGAGACGGAGGCGATGGGGCAGGCGGCCACCTACCACCGCTTTGCGAACGAGCCGGCCAAGCAGATGCGCTTCCGCACGTTCCTCCTCCTCCAGTCCGGGCAGCCCGCCCCGCCCCTCCCCGCCCACTACGGTACCCACCCCTCAACCCAACCCAACCCAACCCAACCCAACCAACGTGGTGGTGGTGGTGGTGGTGGCGGCGGCGGCGGTGCTGTTGGATTCCTCCTCTTCTGCTGCTCCTCCGCTGCCGTCGTCGGTTCGCTCACCCGCGTGTGTGGGCGCGCGCCGGCAGACAACATCACCGATTGGGAGAGGGAGAAGGAGAAGGAGGAGTTCGTCAAGATCGCCAACGACTTCAAGAAGGTGCCCGACGCCATGGCCTCCCGCTTCCAGTCAGCCGGCAAGCTCGGTACTACGTCACTACCACACCACACGCCACACACACACACTCAACACACACACACACACAACACACTGTCCTGGTGGTGGCCGGTGGTTGTCTGACGTGGGGTAACCACTCGGGTGGTACGCCGGCAAAACAGATCTGACGGGCGGCACGGATGGGGACGCGGGGACGACGCATGTGCACCCGCACGACGAGGAGGACCACCAGGCGGTGGCCGCCTCGATGAAGATGTTCGGCAAGATGACCCGCAAGGAGGAGGACTGGTTCCCCGTCAGCCTCCTCTGCAAGCGCTTCAACCTGCGCCAGCCCCACCCCGACCGCAAGCACGCCGTGCAGGGTACGTCATCGTCGTCAACATCATCATCATCATCATCATCATCATCACACCCTCTGCCATTCCATCGGCCGCCGTTTCTTACTGACGCGCGCGCGGGAAACTCTCGGTGGGTGGTTGATGATGATGGATGATGGATGATGCATTAGTGGGGGTGGCGCCGCTGCTGTCCGGCATGGAGACCATGTTCTCGCCCACTGCGCTCGCCATGCCGGGACTCGCCGCGTCCTCCTCCTCCTCCTCCTCGTCGTCGTCTGCGCCCCTTCGTACGTGTGCCCACTCGCGCGGCGCTGCAGCGGCCCAACCGCATAGTGTGATGGTCGGACTTGTTGCCGCACCCCTCTCACCATGCACACGCGACACGCGACACACGGCACACGGCACACAGAGCCGATCAAGGAGGAAAAGGCCGAGGAGGCCGAGGAGGGCTTGCCGGCGGAGCTGGCGGGGGAGCCCGACCGCCCGTCGGTGGACATCTTCAAGGCCATCTTCGAACCCGAAAGCGAGGACGAGGAGAGCGAAGAAGATGACGAGGAGGAAAGCGACGATGGCGATGAGAAAGCCGAAAAGGAGGCGGCGGCGGCCAAGCCCCAGGCCGCCCTCGCCGAGCTCGCCGCGGCCGTGTCTGCGCCGCCGCCGGCGGCCATCTCCGCGCCTCTTCCCCTGCCGACCGCCCCGGCTCTGCCTGAGTTGGGCGGCGGCCGCCTTGCGCGGGACAATCCGTACCTGTACGTGCCGCCCAAGCGCGAGGAGCGCGGCCATCTGCCCCTAGACCGGCCCCAGCAGCAGCTGCAGCAGCCGCCCGCTGCCGCCGCCGCCGCCTCAATCCAGCCGCCGCTCTCAGCCCCATCAACCAGCAGCGGCGGCGGCGGCGGCGGCGGCGAGGACGACCGAGAGCGGAGGCGCAAGAGGAAGAGGGAGAAGGAGAAGGAAAGGGAGAGCCGCAAGCGGGACAAGAGGCGGAAGGACAAGAAGGACAAGAAGGAAAGCCGGAGGGACAGGAGCCGCAGCCGCAGCCGCAGCCGCAAGAGGAGCCGAGACCGAAGCGAGGAGCGCAAACGGCGGAAGGACGACGACCGCCACCATCGCGACCGCCGGAGCAGGCGCGACCGCGACTGATACTGCGGCTCAGGTGCAGCCACAACGCCCCCACCCCCCTCCTTTTTGCGGAAGAGATAAAATGCGCGTGTGTCATTCTTGGTTGATGACGACGGTGCGTGTTTGACCCAGAATGACACACGCACCCAGCAGGGTCCAAGGGTGTATTGTATGACCACGGGAGGGGGCGCGTTTAGAGCTGGGTCCAGTGCACGTTCTGGGAGGGGGCGCGCCGGGTGATGGAGGCGGCCATTTGGTGGTCCAGCCACAGCGTGCGGAGCTGCTCGTAGCGCGCCGGATCCAGGTAGAGCGGGCGCCCACGCTTGAGGCCCACGTCCTGTGGTCATCACCCAACCCCCCCCCCTCTCTGGTGAGCGTGTCTTCTTCTCTTCACTCGGACACAACCACCCAACCAAACAACCAGCGTAGTTGGGTGGTGGATGAGTTGGGCGAGGTGTGATTGAAAAAGAGGGGGGGGGGTGTTCTCTTGGTACCTCTTCCTTGTGCTCGTCGAGGTAGAGGGAGCCCATGAGGCAGCCGTGCTCCGCCTGGCTCTGGAGCAGGAGGGTGATGGTCTGGCGCGCCAGCAAGAACACCCCCTCGCCACCGGCGCAGCTCAACGCGTGCTGCCCTCCCACAAATTTAACGATGATAGATGACGATCTCGAGGGTTAGGACGTGAGCGCGTGCGGGTGTTGATTGGGGGGTAATGATTGATGAAAGATCGCCACGGTACCGTGTTGCATTCGCCGGGCTTGTCCTGGGGCGCGCAGCACGTCGATCCCACGCACACCTGATGTGCGCACCGGCCCACGCTTGCGGGATGAGCCCACCAAACAAACCAACCAACCAACCAACCAACCAACCAACGCAAGGCACGTGGCAAGTGATGGGGGAGGAGGGGGGGGGTAGGTACGAGGCGGTTGCAGAAGAGGCACAGGCCCGGCTGGCGCGGCACTTGCCCGCACGACAGGCAGATGGCTTCCGCCGGCGCGCGGAAGAACACCAGGTCCTGCACCCACATCGCACACACCACACACACGCGTCAGCCGTGGACATGAGGCAGGCACTGGTGGCCACCAGGCACGTGTGTGTGTGTGTGTGTGGTGTGTGTGTCGTTGTGTGTGTGTGTGTGTGTGTGTGTGTGTGTGTGTGTGTGTGTGTGTGTGTCGTGTGTACCTGGTAGAGGAAGGGGAGAGCCCTCCGGTCGAAGTGGAAGGGCAGGTCGGGTGCCACCAGCTGCAGCTCGCGCGGAGCATTGCCCGTGGAGAGCAGCTGTTGGAGCCAACGCCGCACGAGCTCTGACTCGGCGCCCGAGCCCAGCGCGGCGAAGGCGCCTCCGCGGATTCCCAGGCAGCCCAACAGGCCCTCCAGCTCTGCCATTTGCCCCCCCCCTCGCTTAGTGGTCGTGTCGTGTGTCGTGTGTTGCGTGTGTCGCGAGTGTTGTGGTGGTGGCTGGTGGACACAGTACCCTGGCGAGGCGAGGCGGGGGATTCGGGGAGGGCGGGCGCGGGCAGGCCGCCGCACAGGTGGAGGAAGAGGGCCACGCGGCGGGCGAACGGGAGCAGCAGGTGGACCAGCTCCTCCGCGAACCGCTCCCACTGGGCCGTAGTCCACTCGGCGTGGGTCAGGCCCAGGGCGCCCCCCGACGCGCTCGCGATCCCGTCGAGCAAGGCCGCGAGTGGCGCCTTCTGCTCCTCCTGCGCAGCTGCCGTTGCCGTCTCCATCGCGAGGCCCTCTTCATCTGTTGTTTCCATGCAACGAACCCACGTCAGCGACCTCTTGCGATTGGTTGAGCGCCGCAATAAATATTATACGGACCAAGGGCGCTGCCGGAGCAGAGCGTGGCGGCCAGGGTGACGGCGGCCTGGGCCAGCGCCCCCACGTACAGCAGGCGCGCCCAGTGCAGCGGCGCTCCCTGCTGCGCCTCGTCGTTGCCCTGCGCGTCACGCGCCGCCGCACATACGGTGTCATTCGCGACATGCGAGCGTGTGCGGCGTGTGCGGTGTGTGCGGTGGTGTGCGGTGGTGCGTACCGCGGGTTGCAGGTGGAGGAGGTCGAGGAAGTAGCGCCGCACAAAGTGTGCGAACATGTCGCCCCGCAGGAACGCCGCGCCGCTGTCGCCCTCCTCGGCAGCGGCACCGACGAGCGAACGGCGCAGGAGGCCGTCGGCCCGGCGCAGGCGTTGGCGGTCGCCGCGCAGGAGCGTGCGACCGTAGGCCAGGAGGGCGCGGCACGTCGTGCGAAGGGTCGAGCCGCGTCGCTCCTCCGCCACCTTAAAGAGCGCGCTCCACCCGCCGGCAGTGGCCAGCACCGGATCCTGGTTAAACCGCGCAACAAGGTCAGCCATTACAGACGAAACCAACGCTTGCACGCTTGTGCGTGTGCGGTCGTGCGCGTGCGCGTGCGTGTCGTTGGCCGAGGGGCACGTACGGAGCGGGTTGCGAGTTCGAGGGCGGAGGTCATGCAGGCGGCGAGGGACCACAGGTGCGGCTCGAACTCGGCGGGCACAAGATCCACCGTTTCCATCGCCACATTGTTCTGCAGCCATAACACCACCGCACAACGACACACACAACACGACACACGACACACACACACACACACACACGACGCACAGTCAGTTGATTGATTGGAGGCGACAGCCTGGTGTGGTCGCGTGTGGCTCTCTCACCTGCGCGCAATAGACGCGGGTGGCGAAGTCGTGTAGGGTGGTGCGGACGCTCTCCTCGTCGGCGTCGGGCGCCTCCTCCGCGCCGGCGTCGGTCGTGGCGGTCTTCTGGTCCTCTGCTTCCTCCGTCGGCGGCACGGGGGCGACCACGCGCCCCAGCCAGGCCTCCCACTCCCGGCCTTCGTCAGCCTCCACCGTGGCGGCGGGGAGGGAGCTGGCGGCGGAAGTGAGGTGCGGGAGCAGCGCGTTGCCCAGCGATCGGCACAGCGGACACCGGAAAGCGCCCTTCACCGTGTGCCGTGGTGTGTCGTGTGTCGTGTGTGACGTGTGTGTCGTGTCGTGTGTGTCAGCACGAGCACGAGGGGGTAGCGGCGGGAGGTTGGTGCGGACCTGAGCGAGGGCCGAGGGGGTGAGCATGGGGTCGACGGTGAGGCGGCCGCGAGCCGAGTCGCGTGCCACGGAGAGGCTGTACTGGTGGCGGCACTCGGGGTGCATGAGGTGTCCGCACGAATTGACCACGGCGCCGCCGCTCCCCTCTACCTCCCGCTCCAGCTCCGCGCACCACCTGCGCGCCCGAGCCCGCTTCTCTTCGCGCGCGGCCTCCTCCTTCCGGCGCGCCTCCTTGTCCTCCTCGTCGCCGCCGCCCGACGCCTCGTCGGTGGTCTCTTCCTGCGACGTCGCGGCCTGGTCGGTGGGCGCGGTCTCCATCGGCGTCTCCTCCTGCTCTTCGCCTTCGGCCTTGCGCTTGCCTGCGCACTCGCACGACACCACACGACACGCGACACACGACACACGCGAGCCCGCGCAAACGAATGAGACACGCCGGGGGGGCAGGGCAAGGAGGGGGAGGGGGAGGGGGTCGCACCCTTGCGATCGGACGGCGGGGAGTCGCGAGGAGGCGGCGCGGAGGACGAGGTCCGGAGAAAGTCGGCGAGGAGGCGGTAGTGGGGCCGGTGGAGCTTGCCCACGTGCTGCCGCTTGGCCACGGGGAGCACGTGCGAGTGCTGCACCAGCGCCACGTAGCCCAGCCCCTTGCCCGGCTGCGCCCCCTCCTGCCCTCGCACACCCACCACCACCGACCACCACACGCCTCCATTAATCCCCGATCATCTCTGCATGGCAACCAACCAACCAACCAACCAACCGGGAGGAGGAGGGGAACTGACCTTGCACAGGACGCAGACGAGGTCGGACGAGGGCTGCGCGCCGTCGGCGAGCGCGGCGTCGCCGCCATTGGCCGGGGCGAGCTTGTCGGGCACCGGCACCGGCACGGCCGCCGTCTCCTCCTCCTCTGCCGCCTCCGCTTCCCCTTCTTCGCCGCCGGCGCCCTCCTGCCGGGCGGCGGTCTCTACAAAGGCCTTCTGCTGGGCGGCGAACTTGGCGAGGATGGCCTGCTGGCGGGCCTTGTTCTCCTCCAGGCGCCGGCGCCGGAGGGCCTCCTTCTGGGCGGCGGCCTCCCTGGCCCGCCGCTCCTCGTCCAGGAGCACGGTGAGCTGGCTCAGCGCGGCCTGCACCCGGGCGCCGCCGTGGGTCTCGACGAGGCCCACCACCTCGGTGAGCGCGTCGCGGTACTCGGCCAGGTCGTCGCTCTCCTGCGCTCGCAACTGGGAAAAAACAATTCCCAGGCGACACCCCGGTGGTTGCTTAGCAATAAACCAGACCCGTAGGTTACGGAAGAACCGAATTAGGCCCCGTGGGCGGGTGGGGTACCTGGAGCAGGAGAAGGAGCACGCTCTCCTTGACGGGCTGGTCGTCCGGCCCCGGGACGCGGGTGAGCACGAACTGCTGGCACATGTTGACGGCCGGATCAGAGCTCCGGAATTGGACGTCGAACAGGCTGCCCACCTCGCACGCCTCCTCCCCCTTTTCTTCGTCCATGGCCTCTGTCACATGTCACCGCCCACCACCGCCCACCACCACCGCGTTCAATCATACGTCGGCAGCAAGCAGCCAATCGCCCCAACAACAAACAACAACCAACAACCAACAATAGGTGACCAGCGGTACCCGCGGACGAGGTGGCGGGGTGTGCCGCGTGGAACTGGAGGATGAGCTTGAGGAGGGTGAGGGTGGGGTGCAGCAACGCAATGTCCCCGAGCGTGCTGGCCTATAGACGCGCCGTTCGGAAGATCAAAACGAGCGTTAGTCACCGAGCGCAGAGCTGGACTGATTGATCTACCAGATGATGGTGAGGATGGTGGTGGTGATGGGTAGTGGAGGGGGCGTACGGGTGCGTCGGGCTGGCGAGCAGCGCGGATGTGGTGGAGGACGGCGAAGAGGACGGCCATGAGGGTGCGCGAGCAGGCCACGCTCGCCGCGCCCTCCCGGATCACCTCCGGCACCGCGCGGAGACTCGGCAGCGCCACCCCCGACGCCTGCGCCCGCATATATATAGAAAAAGATAGATGAGAGAGATGAGAGAGATTAGGCACACAGCGTAAGTGGTACAAGCGAGGCGAGGGGCAATTTGGGGGCGTACGTGGGCCGGGCGCAGCTTCTTGGCGGTGACGTGGTAGAATTCGATGGCGGCCTGCTGCTCCTGCCGCGTGTAGTGGAGGTAGTAGGGGTCGAACAGGGCCAGGCAGGCCGGCTTCAGCGCGAACGTGCCCGTCGGGTGCGAGGGCCCCGAGGGCGGCGTAAAGTCCGCAGTCTGATCACACACGCCACACGCCACACGCGCGCGCCCCGACCAACCGAGAGGTGAGCGGGGAGGGCGGCATGTGAGGTTGGGTGGCGGGCGAGTACCTGGGCCATGACCTGCTCGAGGAGGGTCTGGATGCGGACGTGCGGGAAGTACCCGTGGCGGTGCTTGAGCATGCGCTCCCCCACGGCCTTCACCACTTGGCTGTGGGTCTTGGGGCCGCACGCCAGCGCGTGCACCACCGTCCTGGAATAATCGATACACCATGGCACGCATGAGTGCGGCGTGTGTCGTGCGATGTGCGTGTGTGTGTGTGTGTGTGTGTGTGTGTGTGTGTGTGTGTGTGTGTGTGTGGCGTGCGTGTACCGAACGATTAAGTCCTGCATGTGGAGGCGGTGGTGTTCGTCCTTCCATCCCTCGTCGGTGGCGGGGGGCCGGGGCGGACCCACGACGGTGCGGTCGTTGAGGAGGTTGATGGCCAGCCGCAGGAAGTTCTCGGCCAGGGCCTGCTTGTGCTTGGCCTCGAGGCCGTCGTCCGCTTCGGGCGCCGCCCAGTCAAAGTAGCGGGAGAGGGTGAAGCGGTGGAGCAGCGCCGGCACCAGCAGGTCGGCCTCCTGCTCGGGCAGCCCGTGGCGCAGCAAAGTCGCCGCCACTTGCAACGCCGCCACGTCCGCATTCATCATCCCCTCGGCCTCCACCTATCATTGGCCAACGATTCGGTGAGTGGCGTGTGCGGTTTGTGTGTGTGTGTGTGTGTGTGTGTGTGTGTGTGTGTGTGTGTGCGGTCGGCGTGTGTGCTCTGTGCGTGTACCTGGGTGGTGTACACAGAGGAGGCTTGGATCAGGCCGTAGCCGTTGCGCACCCAGGCGCCGCTGCTGGCCTGGGAGCCCAGCACCTGAATGCGCAGCGGGTCCTCGAGCAGCGAAAGCGCGTAGCCCACCAAGTCCTGCTTCGAACTGCGCACCCACGCGTACCCCCCCCCAACCACGACAACCACAACCAGGTGTGACACGACCGCCACCTTAAGCAGCTAGGCACTGTGCATGGGAGAGGCCGGGCGTACGCGTCGGGGAAGAAGTTGTGGAGGGGCGCGCGCCACACGAGGGAGGCGGCGACGAGGAGGCGCGTGAGGAGGCGGTGGAGCGTGATGTGGAACGACACGCCCGAGTGGCGGTGCACGTCGTAGTCGGCCACGCGGTACCGCCCGCCGGCCCACGGCAGGGCCACCAGCTGGCCCGTACCCGCCGGCTTGCCCGGCCGCTCAAGCCCGGCCACGTCCTCGCTCTCCTGGTCGTCGTCATCCTGTCCAGCCGACGATGATGATGGCGGTGGTGATGATGATGATGACGTCAGCACAAAGGCGGCGGCGTAGTGCGTGGCGTGGGGGGGTTGGCCAACCTCTTCGGTCTGGGCGGCGCCGGGGGCGACCTCGAGGCTGAGCTGGCCGTCGGGCGAGAGGCGGTAGCGGAGGGGCGCGGCGGACAGGAGGGCGTCGAGGCACCGGCGGAGCGCCGTCCGCGCGTGGGCCAGCGTCTCGGGCTGGGCGAGGGCTTCCTCGGTCAGCACCTCCACCCCATCCGCCACTTGCTCCGTCACCGCCTCGATCATCTCAATCTCTGCCGCACGTCATTAGCGATGTGCGTGCGGTGTGTGTGTCGTGTGTGTCGTGTGTGTCGTGTGTGTCGTGTGTGTCGTGTGTGTCGTGTGTGTCGTGTGTGTGGTGCGTGCGGTGTGTGTACCTAGGGTGAAGGCGTGGACCCAGGAGTTGGACTCGACGGGTACGTGCGATTGGATGCGGCGGCGGGGCGTGGGGTCCATGCCCTGGAAGAGGTCCCACAGGCGGACGAACCGCTCGAGGGTGGCGAGGGCGCCGGCCACGAGGGGCTGCACCACCGCCGGCACCGCCGTCACGGCGCGCAGGTCGTAGCAGAGAATCCAAAACAGCCGCTTCCGCAACACGGCCGAACTGGTGTCGATCTCCTTGCTCACCCTACGCTCTTCCTCAGCTTCCTCGGCTTGCTGAGGCGCCTCCTGGCATTGTGTGTGTGTGTGTGTGTGTGTGTGTGTGTGTGTTACGCGTGTCGCACACGTGTGCGGTGAGGCCTCACTGCTGCAATGTCTCATACGGACGGGAGCGTTCGCACGAACCAGGAACGCGGTGCGGAGGGTCTTGTAGGTGGTGTCCACGAGCATGTCGAGCAGGCCGGCGTTTTGCACCAGGTGCGGGATCAGATGCGGGTGGAAGAATTGCGTAGACATGGTCAGCACCGTCTCATATTTGGACTTGTGCGCCTTGGTCTTTTCCTCTACACACGACACGACACTCACAGGCATGTGAGATGCAGACCGGCACAGTTGAAAACACCAAACGAGGCGATGCACGCGGGGAAGGTACCGATGTAGACGTCGACAAGGAAAGGATATGTTTTCACATAGTAAATGGAGAACAGCATCTTGTACTGCGTGTCGCCGATGAGCGTGAAGTACCACTTTCGCACCTGTGCACGCCCATGACCGTTCAGTTCATATGTGTCGCGTGTGTCGTGTCGTGCCGCTGTCGCGTCGCGTGTGCGCCTTGATGCAGGCCGCGAGAGTGGATTGGGTGGGGAGGGAGAAGCAGCACCTCTTCTTGGAGAGGGTCGGGCAGAAGGTGGTCCATGAGGAGGAACTGGATGACGAGCTTGTGCGCGGCCGAGGCCTCGGGCGCAGGAGGCGGGCCGTCCGGTTCGCCGGCCAAGAGCGGGGCTTCGTCGACGGCCAGGCAGAGCAGCCTCCGCAGAGGGTCGCCGAAGAAGTCGACCACGTGCTGCAGCCAGTTGAGCAGCAGTCCGCACTGCACCGCCCCCTGGCCCACCTGCATCGCGATCGCTTGCACCTCCTCGTTACTGCCATGCGCACACGACACACGGCACACACGGCACACACGACACACGGTGAGCATCAGTTCTGTCGAGAAGGTGGAGACGGACGTACGTGACGGGCTGCGTGATGGGCGGCACGAGGTGGCGGATGGGCGGAGGCGCGGAGACGGGGGTGAGTCGAGAGCGGAGGCGGGAGACGCGGAGGAGCGTCTGGGCCAGCACGCGCACCACGGCCCGCAGCGTGGCACGGGCAGCGGTGCGCTGGCGAGGCGTGAGCAGCTCCGATGGATCGACGCCCGAAGTGCCCACGTGGTGGCGGCAATTGCCTTCCGGCCGCCACGCCAACGGATCACCGCAGTCGCCTGTCGACAGGCATGTGTTATTATTATTATGCATGATCATTATTATTTATTTTATTATTATTTATTTATTATAATACTAAACAAAGCGAAGAGCTCTCGTACAGCATCCGCCAGCGACCTGAATCAGGAGGTCTGTGCAGGGCAAGAGACAACAAGAGCACGAGATGTTAGCATGCACGCCATGACCACTTCGCTGGGGGGGGGAAAGGGACGCCACAGGCGTGCGTGTGCATCAAACGTGTTTGTTGCGCGTGCGGCACGTACAGTCGTGTCCCTTGTGGTCTCCCTCCTGGAAGCACTCAACGCACACAGCGCTATGTGCGGAAAAAAAGAAAGAAAAAGAAAAAAATGAGGTGGGCAACACGATCGCACGAGTAAAGAACAAAGGGGCGTGTGTGTACCAGGGTTCGTCGTAGCCACAGTTGCGGCACTTGTAGGCCATGTCGCCGTTCTTCCATATCCTACCGCACACGTTGGACTTGCCCGCACGCCTCTTCTCCACCTCTTGCTTCACCTCTGCCGGCGAGCCCTCCCCTGGTGCGCGCCACGCCACCGCCACCACCACGCACGTGCCAGGACTGGTCAGGGTGCACTGCCAGCTGGCGTGGACCACAGCGAAATGGTGGCCGGCGGCCCACGAACGCTACTGCCAACGATTGGTGGTAGCAAGGTTTCTCTCTACGCACCGCCACAGAGAATCCAGAGACACGTCTTGAGGGCATCTCGGGCGCTGCCAGGATGGGACAGCAAGTGGTCGTGCACCGCCTCCTCGATGCACTCGGGATGGTCGGCCATGTAGCGCGAGACAGTTGCATGGTCTGAGGCAAAGATTTGCTCCACAGACAACTCCATCTGTGGTGTGGCTTTGTTGAGAGCTTTATTGTTTTTACCTGAAGTACGCAAAAAAAATCAAGTATGCGCGGCATGCGGCTGCGCCTTTTCTCTTTCTGTTTCTTTTCCCTGTTCATCTTCTCTGCTCGCGTGAGTGCACGTATTGCCTCACTCATCATCCGCCAACCCCACGCACGGTAAGTAAGTACGCCAAGCCCACTAGGCGAAAAGGGAGGGCTTACTCCTTTCCGTTGCCTTCCTCCATTTGAAGGTATCCTCCTTGAGGGAGGGTATTTAGTAATCCGTCGCAAGTCTCGTCTTGCCGTCCGACGGTTATCTATTTCGCTCCAGGTTCAAGCTTCCTAGAGCTACCTTTAAATGCATTTCATTCATTCAGCCACAGAGATGGACAAGTTCTCTTGGTTGCACATTCGTGGTTTATTGTCGACATCAATTAATTTACCTATTCAAGGTTTGTGTCTGTTCGGACGACAGGACGGGAACGCGTTGCAACTTGCGTTGTGCGTTCCCTGGCTCAGTGCGCACACTGTGCATGAAGCGCAAACATCTGCTAAAGCGTTCGCTGAGTGTTGCTTACCTCCAGCCATTCCAGTCTTTACTCACTGAGTTAGACAACGCATGCTTCCTCATAGAACAGCAATATCACTTCATTTGGCTGAGAAGACTTCAAAAGAGAAGAGGCCAAACGCTAGCATCGTGAGTCCCAGCGACGGCCAAGTGGACGTGCGACGCTAACGCACACTTGTATTGCCTTAGGTAAACGAAAAGAAATTGTTTTTCTCTCTTTCGGCAGTGTTCCACCAATGGGACACCACTTTCGTCCAACACCACCAATGGGAAAGCCTGTTTGGGCATTTTTAGGGCTTTTTCTCTGTCCTTCATTTTCTGTTCTGCCTCTGTGACCTTCGAAGGGGTCGCTCCACCTCCTCCAGGCCCTTCTCTACCCTCCTGCTGCTCGAGTTCGTGTTGCGTGCGTGAGCTCACCACGGTCGTAGCCACGGTGAGAGGAGGTCGGACGCTTCCACACAACTCGTAGCCTACACAACCCCGAATCGACTCCTTTCGCGCATTCCCAACCATTTCGGGAGGGGAAGGCGCAGGCCGTCTTCCTTCGAATGCACCACTCCAAACCCGCCGCCTCCAGCGCCTCGTTCGACGCAGGGTCCCAGCACGACCACAATCTTCTTCTACACAATCGAGTAGAACATGACGAAGTCAGTGATTTGATTCTCGACCAGGATGAGGACCACGCCGCCAGTCCCCTACATAGCTACTACGAGTCCAGCGGCCCTGGCACCGTCGAGAGGAAGAGCGCGACGCCTGGAGCTTCGCCATCGGTGTCATCGGTGCTGATGTCGGCAATTGGTGGTGCTTTCCCCATGGACGACGATTTCGCCCCGCATTCGTCGTCCTCTTCGTTCGATATAGGCTACCCGAACTTCTCTTCGTTTGGCTCGGGCTCCAGCTCAAGCTCTGGGGGACTCGATGAGCACGATCTCCAATTCTCATCATCTCCTCTCCACTTTCCCTCCCATTCTCGACACACGGCCCCTGCAAGTAGCCAGCTGCAGCCACTTCACGCCCCACAACACCGCCCTCCACGAGATCTCGATGCCACTCAGGCAAGCCAGCAGGCGAGCATCGATGAGGAGGCCAAGGAAATAATAGCCCGGCTCTACGTGGCCAGTGCCCGCCCATCTCCTGCCTGGTTCGAGCAGCACCAGTGTGGAAGCATCTTGCACGTGACCACTTCGGATGCTGCATCTTCGACATCTTCGCCATCGAGCGAGCCGATGAGCATCGAGATGGAACACAACGGGTCGCCCTCGCACATCACCAGCCGCACCGTGGTGGTGGTGCTCGAGCACCGAAGCGGAGACGTTGCCAGCCTCGGCTCCTCGCTCAAGCATGCCGCCGACGCGGTGCACGAGACCCTCGGGCTCGACCCCAAGAGGTCCGTACTCCTTCGTGCTGGCGCTGCGAGCGACGGAGGCGACGAAAGCGAACAGCAGCAGCAGCACGAGGCCGAGGAGCACGAAGTCGTAGCGGCGACGGCGATGGCCTACCTGGTGGCGGGCGCCAAGCTATCGCTGAGGGTGGCGGTGGAGCAGCTCACCACCGTACTCGGGAGCGACCGGGTGCAGCGCATGGGCGACGGCTTCAAGCGACAGCTCATGGCCATCGAGACCCACGTGTCGCGTCGTCCTCCCTCGCACGACTTCTTCGCGCCACCGAGCCCCACCGCCAATGTCGAGGCGGTGGCCTCGGCCCCCGCGCCCACGCAGTCTGGCCCGGCGACGGTACCCTCCACGCACTTTCATTCCCTCTGCTTGGCCCCTGGTGCGCATTGTCGGGGTGACACTCATTGAGCGTGCGTGCGTCGTGTATGCTCCTCACTGGTGGACAGACACAGCCGGCCACCAAAGCGATCAAAGCCGATGGGCCGGATGGCTGGTCCTCTGTCTCGGAGGTAACACAATCTAGGACCCCGCCGCGCTATGCACACATACATCGGGAAGCCGATGGCTTAACGGTGGAGGTGGTGGTAAACCAACAGGGCGCGACCAATAAGATGGTGGTGCTCAGCTCCAGCCATCCGGCCTTGCCCGCCGATGCGTCAGTCTCGTCTTCGACTTCAACCCAGTCGTCCCTGCGTCCACCGACCTCAGCGCCGCAGTACGTGTAGCACGCCCTCCCACCCTACCCACCCCACCACCACACACAACGTTGGCAACGTGGGCTGACCTCCGTACGCGCGTCCCTTTTGGTGTCGGCAGAGCGTCGTCGGTGCGTTCGCCCCAACAGTCGGCTCCCTCCACGCCCATGCTCTCCCCTCGCAGCAGCTCCTCCCAACCTACTTCCCCCAACCCCTACGGTGAGTCCGACAGGTACGTTAAGCCCCACCTCAAACGCAAACTCTGGGCTCTCTGCGGTCGTTTCGTTTCGTTTCGGCTAGCTTGCCGCGGTTGCATGACATTAACTGCTGCGCGCGCATGTAACAGTCCCCCCGATTCAGCTGGAGGGAAGAGGCCGCGGACGGAGTCAAGCAGCAGCAAGGAGCAGCCTCCCTCGAAGCGGCGCGGCCCCTACCGCTGCGGTCGCTGCGGGATGCCCAAGCGAGGCCACTCGTGCCCCGAGAGCAGCAAAGGTGCTGCCTCCCTCCCCCCACCCCAATCATTGGTCTGCCCCCCCCCCACCATCACTGCGCGCGAGGGGCCGGTGCTGAACTGAATTGGCGGGTTGTGAACAGGTCAAGACGGCCCGAGCGCGCAGTCGCCGGCGGTGTCGACGCCCAACACAAGCAGCCTCTCTTCGTGTCCCTCTACGCCCGCCGCGCCGGTCGTGGTGGCGACCGTGCCCGCCAAAGCCGAACTCCCGCCGCCGGCTTCTCTGCCGCCCTCGGCATCGTGCACCGACACCAGCTCCACCCCGTCGCTGTGTTCTTCGACCTCCGCCGCCGCCACCGCGACTGTCGCAACCGCGTCAGATGAGTCGGCAGCCAACGCCGCCGGAACTCCATCAGCCGGTCCGTCAGGGCCATCAGCATCGGCGGCGGCCGCCGCTGCGTCGCCGGTGTCGCCCTCGTACGACGAGCTGATGTCCAAGATCGCGGAGCTGATCCGGGATCGGGACTACTACATGAACCGCTACCTGGCCCTCCTCCAGGACGGCGCCGCGGATCACCTGCCGAGCGGGGAGCAGCTCCAGCTCCATCAGCAGCGCGCCGTCAAGCTTGGCGTCTCCTCCGTCCTGTCCACCCCCGACCGCCGCCAGCCGCAGCCGCAACAGCAGCAAGGCCTGGCGTACCCTTCTCCTTCGCGTTCTTCTCTCGCCGATCACCAGCAGCAGCAGCAGCAGCGGTACCACCAGCAGCAGCAGCCCGGGAGCGTAGTCCACTCGCCTGCCTCCGCACACTCGCCCAGTCATCCGCTCCCTATAGGCCCCCGCTATCAGCCGCAGCAGAAGCAGTACTATCCACAGCAGCAGCAGCACACGCACCACGCGCTGATGCGGACGTCCAGCACTGGGGACAGCGCGGGAGGGGCCCCCTACAGCTCGCCCTCGTCGTCCCCGTGCCTCACGCGCCACGTCGGATCGTCGCGCTCGGGGTTGGTGTCGTCGTCCCCCGTCGCCACCACGACCACGGCCGGCGGCGGTCGGTTCACGATCGGTCGGTTCGGCCCCGACGCCTCGGGCTTCTACTCGCCCTCGCACCACCACCGAACGACGCGAGAGCCCAACGGCGGCGGCGGCGGCGGCGCGCCCTTCCATTTCTCCTCGCCCTCCTTCGCCCACTCCTCTTCCACCGTGGCCACGCACCCGACCCAACAGCTCGTCCTGCCCCACTTTGCCAACCCGACAGCTGGCGCCGCAGGCCTCGAGGACCAGCAGCAGCCGCAGGCTGGCCAGCAGTCATCGACCTCGTCGGTGGTGTCACCCTCGCTCGGGACGTCGTCGTCGCCGCTCTCGCTCAAGGCCGCCGAGGACTTCTTCTACTGGGACGATTTTTGTGCCTCGACCAACGGCTAGTCTTCCACCCACCCGCTCTACTTCTCTTCTTCTCCTCCTCTGCGCCAGCTGCTCCTCCTTTTCCACCCACTTCGACGACAACGACGACACGCCAGCCCCCACGGAAGCCGTAGGGGGACGAGAGTGTACTTCCACTACTACTACTACGACTACCACTTCCACTGCCCGCCTCGATGGATGGCGCGGATGCTGGCGGCCTGACTGCGCCTGGTCGCCACCCACCCTACCCCCCCCCCCTATTTATTGTCAGATCTCGCGCAATGCTGCTGCTTGCAAGTAAAATGGATGTGACTGTGCTTGCCCCCCACATGGTGGCTCCACCTCCTGTCGCTGGTGATAGCAAAGGACACTCACTAGTGCCCCCCACTGTGACGCAGCGTCGAGAAGAACCCGCCAGTGACAACACGACGGCCAAGCGTGAACACGACCACCCGAACCCACTGCTTCAGGGCGCTCAACCGCAAAAATTGTCCAACACAGCAGAGTAGTGTGCGGTTTATGTGGGGGACGTGTGCGATGGAGCAAGATCTGGGTCATGGACTCTCTCTCGTGCGTCACCGACCCAGGCTACTGGTAGAGCTCGTTGGGGATTTCGTTCCACTTCCTCATCTCACCTGCAAAAACGTTGGCAGTGACAGGTGAACAAACAACACAGAACGAAAAAGAGCGTGAGCGGTCGGAACGAGGCGCGATTGCTGCGGCCGGCGAGGCTGGGACTCAGAGCGAGCAGGCGGGGCAGCGAGGAGGGAAACATGGGGGCACGCACCAGGGGGACGGGTGATCCGGAGCTCGGTGATGTCGGTGAGACCACCCACGCGCGCAGGACCGGTGGCGGAGCCCTCCTTCTCGAGTTCCTTGAGGACGTCGGGCTTGCGGGGCACGGGCGGCGAGCGCTTACCAGCGGCGTGCCTCCAGTAGTAGATCGTCGACAGGTCTCGGTGCGCCTTCGCAGGAATAGTCTCCGGCGAGTACTCGGTTCTGGTGGCAAAATCAACAGAATTAAAATAAAAAATAAAGTAATAGATGTTTGTCAACACCTGGCACAGAGAACGCCTCGAGAGTGTACGATTTGGCTCCTCCTCTAAATATGAAAGAAAATTGGAGAGTAAATGGAGATTGTGATTGTTTGGGGGGGGCGCACTTGGAGTAGGGCACACGGAAGTTGGTGGGGTACTGGACGTAGTCGGGCGCCGTGGGCACCGGGTGGAGCGTGAAGTTCGGCCTAAGCGCAGCGCGAATGCGCGACCAGAGTCCAGGCGTCTTCGACGAGGCCATTCTTTACGTTTTGATTCAAAAAAAAAGGCAAAAACAATGAAAAAGCCTGCTAAACGGGTGTGGAAAGCTGCACGATTTGTGACAACGATAGCTTGTTGGGCTTGATCTGATCCGCATCACAGAAAGAGCGCCGCTAACAATCATGTCGGGTGAAGGAGAGGAAGAGCTGTTCGTCCAGGCCGAGGCCGACGACAATCTCGAGGCCCAGATCGAGGGCGAAGGCGCTGGGCAGGCCACTGATGAGGTATTTCAATTCGATTTTCGCTTTGATTGTTAATTGTAGCAGCAATCAACAAAATATCGACCTGGCCATTCACAAACTGTCAAATCGGTGGCCATCGGTCCTAGGATTTCTCCGATTTGAAGCGGCAGGTGCAACAGATGCAGGAGGAGGCCGAGAAATTGGAGGAAATCCAGAAGGAGGTGGAGGCACAGATGGGCACCAGCCCCTCGCCCGCCAACTCGCAGAGCATCGACGCCAGGTCGGTCTACGTCGGCAACGTACAGCCCCCCACCCCCACCCACCCACCCACCTACCACAGCTATCTGCCCGCGTTCGCTTTCTCTTCTCTTTTATTGAAGCCTGCCGCGCGCGCTCACACTCCATGGGCGTGTGGGTGTTGGTGGTAATGGTGGCGGTGGCGGCGTTTGTGGTCGTGATGATGATGATGATGATGGCGGCTGCGACGGCGGCGGCGGCGGGTGATTAGGTGGACTACGCGGTGACGCCTCAGGAGTTGCAGGCCCACTTCCAGTCGTGCGGACCCATCAACAGGATCACCATCCTCTGCGACAAGTTCACGGGCCACCCCAAGGGGTACGCACACTCGTTACACTTCTCTCTTTCGCGCCATTTGTCAACACACGACACGCACGACACACACCGTTTGTACTTTTCCGTGCGAGACTCGCTGTACACACTCATAAATGGTGTGTGTTGTGTGTTGTGTGTGTCGCTTGTGCAGGTACGCGTACATCGAGTTCAGCGAGGAGGACGCGGTGGGCAATGCGGTCCTGCTGAACGACACGGTGGTGCACGGGAGGCAGATCAAGGTCAACCCCAAGCGGACCAACGTGCCGGGCTTCAACCGCGGCGGGTACAGGGGCAGAGGCGGCCGCGGCTTCAACCGCGGAGGCTACCGGGGTAGGGGCGGCCGCGGCAGGGGCGGTTACTACCACCCCTACCAGTAGTAGTAGTAGTGGTAGTTGTCGACCACTGGCGACAGTAGCCGGCCTTGCTTCTTTCGCTCCTGCCAGTTGTTGCAGGGAGCAAGCCTACAAGGTGAAGGTTGTAGGTAAGCCACAAAACAACAAAAACTTAAAAAAAAAAAAACTTTGCGTGTGCAGGAGTTGTCACAGTGAAGTTGTTATTGTGGTGCAATCACGAGCTGGGGGTGGTGGGCTTCTGAGTTGGGTCAAGGCCAAGCTGCTTCATCTTGATGGCTGCCTCAAACTGGTGCGGAGAGGAGAGAGTGGAAGAGAACAAGATGGTGTTAGCCTATGCCTTTGCGTGTTGCAGGAGGCAAGGCTGCTGTACCAGATAGTCGTAGCACTCGGCCTGGGTCTTGGCGTGCTCCCAAGTGTCACTGCACGTGCGCACACGAGTTCAGTTAGAAGAAGCTTGCTGTGCGTGTGCGTGTGCGTGTGCGTGTGCGTGTGCGTGTGCGTGTGCGTGTGCGTGTGCGTGTGCGCTGGTTTTCTTCAGGTACCCCCAGATGTAGACGCCGTGGCGGCGCACAAGGACGGCAGTGGCCTTGGGGTAGGCCTTGATCGCCTGGTCCATGCTCTCCTTGAGGTCGGCCTCGTGGGCCGTGTTCTCAATGATGGGCACCACCAGCTCGTCGTGGTAGCCCAGGCCCTTGATGCCCTTGATCATTTCCATGTGCGTGATCCTGAACTCCTTGTCGTAGAGCAGCGTCACCAGCATAGCGTGCATCGAGTGCCTGTGCGTGCAGTGTTGAGTGTGTGCGGTGGTGCGTGTGCGTGTGCGTGTGCGTGTGCGTGTGCGGTTAGCACTGAGGGTGGATGGTGGGCGGTGGGTGATGGGCGGTGGCGCGTACGTGTGAATGACGGCGCCGGCACCCACGCGGTAGGCGTTGAAGAAGAGAGGGGTGCAGGCCGACGGTCGGAGGTGCTTCTTGCAGGGCGCCTCGATCAGCTGCTCGTCCTCGCCGTAGATGAACATGTCGTCCGACTGTACGCGCTCCTTCTGCACGCCCGACGGCGCGATGTACACCTTGCCGCTGCGGAAAAAAGTACGATGTTACAATAAGTATAAATACTTTAACAATAAACCAATGATTAATATTATTTTAATCTCATTGAAAGTCCCGGTGCTCACAATCAGAACGCCATGCAATTCATAATTGAATCACAACCAGATTGCACATAATTTGTTATTTAAAAAATTAATAACGGCACGAGCTACGTCTCCGGGGGGGGGGATACTCATGCTTGACAGAAAGGCCGCCACCAGTGCCGGTGACCCAGCCCAGCGAGTAGAAGAGCTTGAGGAGATCGGGGATGAGGGCGGTGGGATGCTCCGGGTGGGTGTGGTCGGCCATCTTTTCTGGAGAGAGCGTTGGGCGAGGAGAAAGAAGCCTCTTCTTGCCCGAGCGAAGCGCCGAGCGTTCGATTTTCGAGCCATTTTCTTTTCTGCTTTTGGGACTTTAGGCTTTGAAAGCTTGTTGGTCGGCAGTAATCACAAGAAATGGCGCCAACGGCTCTTTCGTTGTGCGGTTATTACCGGGTAGGAACATAACGGTTAGTTTTGGCGGATTTGCCTGTCCGGGCTTCCCAGCCAAGACGGTAGCACAACAGGGTTTTGGCGCGCACGACCGGATGTCCAAGCAACCGCGACCGGAAATTTCCCGCTGCATGTTGTCGGCAGAGGGAAATTTGGCGGCATGAGCCTGGGCTGCCGGCATAACGGTCCGCAACAAGACTACCTCCCCCCCTCTTCACCTCGCGCCAGAAGACGAACGGTGGGCTGCTGGTCCTCGCCTCGTGACATTTCCCTTCAAGATATACAGATTCCAAGATGGAGGCCCCACTGACCCCGAGGCGCGAGGGCATCTCTTCTCTAGCCACGAGAGACTTTGACGTCGTAGACCTCTCCCCCGATCAAATCATTCGGCGTATGTCGCTCGATCACCTGATGCCCGTCCTATCCGCCATTCCCATTGTTCTTCCGTAACGGACTCCAGAACCGCCCTTCGCACGTGAACTGACCGTCCTCCTCCCTCTTCTACAGGACCCATTCACCAGGCGCCTCCTTCATCCCGTATCGTTAATTCGTACGTATTTCCATGTTCCCTTGCAGGATTGCCATTGCGAGCAGCGACCTTCGACTTGATGTCTTATCAGTCGTTGGGCTCGCTCCGCAAGCAGTCCTGTGCGCACGCTTCCTACATTTCTATCACATGAGTGGCCTTGAATCGCTGAACCACTAATCACTCTCCCTCCCATCTCGAAACTACACCATTCCCATGCACAGGCACGGTGCGCAGGGTGGTTACCTCACGCCATCGGCAGGTCTCCACGTCGTACATCAGACCTCGACCTTGCCAGGGGGGCTGGGTGGCGGCGCCTACGCCCCCTCATCCCACGCAGCACATCTTACCAGCGCGGACACATCTTCGCCCCGCTCCCCCGAGATGATCGTGGAAGAGGCCGGTACTGTCCCCCGAGGCAGATCTGCGCAGATGGTGCACGGTGCCATCAACGGAGGCGCCCCCGGAGCACACCAGCACCAACACAGCAACGGGGCCAGGCCCAGGCACCACCACGAGGCCGGGTTGCCTCTCCCCTTCATGGGGGGCGCGGCCAGCTCCTCTCCGTCGGCTGCCTCGTCAGCGGCAGCGCACTTGCTCGAAGCTTCGCAGGACTCAGGCGACGACGAGGAGGTGCAGTGCGCCGGCCACGCGGCGGGCGTCAAGACAGAGAAGCGGCAGGTGGTGCGCAAGTCGAAGGGCCGCTGGACGAAACAAGAGGTACGCCCGCTCGCCGGCCCCTGTTTTCCCCGTCCCCCATGACCCCGATAGCTGTTGAGCTGCCCTCTCGCGCCTTCGTCAACGACACCTTCGTCCCCTTCATTCCGTTCTTGGCGTTTCTGTCGGCGTAACGGTCCGAAATTTTTTGTGTCGACGCCCCTTATTTCGGAAATTTCGCAGCGATGTCGCCAGATATTTCGTTTTCCCGGTTTCTCTTCTGCGTTTTCCCGCGTAACCGAATTTTCCCGCGCGTGTGCAGGACAACACACTCCGAGAGGCAGTCAAACAGTACGGCGCCAAGAACTGGAAGCAGATAGCCGAGTGCGTGCCCGGCCGGACCGACGTCCAGTGCTTGCACAGGTCCGTGTCACACTACACTTGTCACCCATACTCGGCTTGGGCTGACTCGTGTGTGGGTATTCGTCGGGCAGGTGGCAAAAGGTGCTCAACCCCGAATTGGTGAAGGGTCCCTGGACCAAGGAAGAGGACGAGCTTGTGGTCAAGCTGGTGCAGCAATATGGCCCGAAGCGATGGTCACTTATTGCCTCGCACCTCAAGGTATTGTATTTTTATTGAGGTCCACTTCAAAATTGTTGTTCTTATCTTCTCTTGCACGCCAACAGGGAAGGATTGGCAAGCAGTGCAGGGAGCGGTGGCACAACCACCTCAATCCTTCGATCAAGAAGGACGCGTGGTCGGAGGAGGAGGATAGCATGTTGATCGAGGCACACAGGCAACTGGGCAACAGGTGGGCGGAGATCGCCAAGCTCCTGCCCGGTCGCACGGACAACGCGATCAAGAACCACTGGAACTCCACCATCCGCCGCAAGCTCGCTAAGACCGAACCCTCCTCTTCACCCTCCGCCTCGCCACACAACAGCAGCAGCAGCGCCAACGTCAGCTTCAACAAGGAGAACCGCGAGAACTCCTCCGCCGCGAGAACTCCCTCGCCTCTCCCCTCCCCCGCGTCCCGTGAGCGCTTGTCTACCAAGGCCCTTGCTCCCTCTGCCGGCGCCAACAACAACAGCAATGGCGCGAACAGCAACGGCAACGGCGCCAGCAAGGCCATCTCGCTCACCCTATGGGTCGCGGGCGGTCCCGCCCTCACCCTCACCGAGCCGTCGGGAACGTGCGCCGCCGCGTCCTCCTCGCTCCCCGCTCCGCTTCTCCCGCCCCCTTCGTCTTCCACCCCCATCGCTTCCGCTCCTCTGTCTCTCCCCACCACCACTCCGCTCAAGGTATGCCCTTCTCCCGCCGCACACGTGTGCAACCAACCGCACACACTGCACGCCGTGTGCTCATTCGTGTGTGTATCTGTGGTTGTGTGGTGGCGCTACACAGACGGAGCCTAAGACGCCGCCGTCGTTGAACATCTCCCCGGTGCTGCCGGTCATGTCCAACAGCCCCTTCCCCACGCTCTCGCCCGCTCGCAGCCCGTCGTCGGGCCTCGACGGCAGCTTCCTCTACTCGTACCACCACCACTCGGGCCAGAAGACCATCGACCTCCTAGGCACGATGGACCTCGAACTGCCGGCCCTCGACAGCATCCAGCTGCCCGACCTCAGCCACTTCAACGCACAGCTCTACACCCCCGGACGCACGCCCGGCCGTACGCCCGGCCGCAGTCCCGTACGCCACCCCCTCGGCTGCCGGTGGTCCATGTGCCGATCTGTGCTGACGTCAGCATTTCTCTTTCTCTTTTTCTGTTTCGCTTGTTACAGAACAAGCGAGGAGCGAACAGCATGCTGCCGCTGGACCTGAGCACGACCCCGTCAATTCTGCGTCGTGACAGCTCCAAGCGCAGGCGCTCCAACGGCGCCGGAGTGGAGGCATCGGTGGCGCTCTCGTTCGAGTCGCCCCTTCCCACTCACGCCTCGCCCGTCGCCCTCTCGCCCTCCGTGTTCTTCCAGGACATCCTCTCCTTCCCATCGCCCATCAACCGTGGCTTCCTCACCCCCAACCGATTCACACCGAACCGGTAAACACTCCCCGCCTCACACGTTTTGTTTATTCACTTCTTATTTGTTGATTTATTTATTTAGTTTATTATCTTTATTGAATTGGCTCATTTGTTTTTCCTTCCTTGAATAGGCGAAGGTTGTATTCGCCGTCGCCGTCTCCGCTCCGGGCTGTGAAGGTGGAGAACGCCAGGTGGGCCCAGCCGGGCGAGCAGCAGCCTGCTCAACCGCCGGCCCAACAGCAGTCGCAGCCGCAGTCTGCCGACGAGTCGTTGGTGGAACCGTGCCCCGTGTCGCTGAGGCAGCAGTTCAAGTCCATCAACTCGCGCATCGGGAACGTGAGGCGTGGCGCGCCTGCCCTTCGCCTTTCTTTCCAAGACGACGGCTGGAAGAAGAAGGAGGAGCTGGAGATGGGCGACTCGTCCATGTCCGGCGACGAGGAGGACAACGGCTGGAAGGCCCTCCGGTACGACACACGCACACACCACCTTCGCCTTCATGTGAGCTTCTATGCTGACATCAGAATCACATTTAACGAACAGACTGTTGCAACCGACGGACGACCGAGCGGTGTTGTACGAGCAGGCGCAGCAGATTCTGCGGCGGGATGGCGCGGAGAGGTCGACCTTCACCTCTTCGGCCACCGTGTCCCTGAGCGTTTCTCTTGGCCAACTCGAGACCGCCAAGAACGAGCCGGTACCGTCTCAATCCCCCCACCTCCGGCGCTCTTTCCGCTCACAAGCTTTTTTCGTCTTTTTTTTTGCCCACAGGCAGTTCGGCCTTGCTCGGTCTAGAGCAAGCGTCGACATGGCCGACCCCAACAAGAGAGGCCAAATTGCCACCTATTAGGACGAGAGGAAAGAGAGGGAGGGAGAGAGAGAGAAGCCCGAAAGGTCGCCCGTTGCACCTGGCATGCCCCATGGGCGTGCGTGCGGCAAGGCGTCTAGACCTTCGGCCGATGGCACCGACCCCAGCTTCAAAATCCGAACAACACCAAAAAACATTTGCACAAACAAAAAACCACAAAAAATATACTTATTTTACTCGAGATTAAAAAAACACTAGTTAATTCGATGTCGACAAAAAGATAATACGGCACGTTTCTTCGTTCCTTCGTTTGCTGTTTTGTTGATCTCACCAAGCCGACGGAGCAGACTTGCTTGATATCATCATCACAACACTTCAGTATGGAGGGCAAGCGTGCTACTTACTCGAGGGAGGATTTTCTCGCGGTGTTCAAGGAGGTGCACCAGGAGCTCATCGAAGAACTGCCCCGCGAGTTCGAGATGCCCCCCGACGCTGTCAACTGGGTCGACAAGGTGCGGCCACCCCCTCCCGGCAGCCATTTATTTTGTTCCGCCCCTCGATTCGAGTGATTTGATTTGCTTCGATCTTTGTGTCGCTGATCGTTCGTTCGTTAATTAATCGATCTTTCCGTCATCTCCCAGCTCATCGTGGACAGCGTGCCCGGTGGTATGCACCCAACGCAACGCCATTCCCTGCTCAAACCTTGACGATTTACTATTTACATTTTTTTTTTGATTTAGTTAATTAATTAACTAATTGGTTGCGTGTGGCTGCCGCGGTGCAGGTAAGCTGAACCGTGGCCTCACGGTGGTGCACACCCTGCAGGCCCTCTCCTCCGAGCCCCTCACCCCGGCCCAGCTCAAGCAGGCCGCCGTTCTCGGCTGGTGCATCGAATGGGTACGCGCCCATCCATCCATCCACTCACATCCTTCTTGGTGGCACCCGTGCTGCTGCCTCCCGATCGTTGCACGTGCTTTTTTGCTCACACTCCCCTTTTCTTTCTCTCTTTCGTTCTCTCTTTCGTTCTTTCTTACGTTGGGTGCATACCAGCTGCAAGGGTTCTTCCTCGTGGCCGACGACCTCATGGACTCCTCGCAGACCCGCCGCGGCGAGCCCTGCTGGTACCTCAAGCCCGCGGTACGCTCCTCCTCCTCCTCCCCCACCCCAATGGGCCTGTGCCACCTCTCACGCTGTGGCGTGTGCGTGTGCGTCGTGTGCGAACGACGCAGCCCAAGTTCGAGGGTCAGAAGGTGGGCCTGGTGGCGGTGAACGATTCGTTCATCCTGGAGGCGCACGTGTTCCGTCTGCTCAAGAAGCATTTCCGGTCGCACCCCAACTACATTGACCTGGTGGACCTCTTCCACGAGGTCGCCTACCAGACCGAGCTGGGCCAGCTCCTCGACCTCACCTCCCAGCCCGCCGGCGACAAGGTCGACCTCTCCCTCTTCACCCTCGACACGTGCGCCCCCCCCCCAATTCACCCCCTCCTCCCTCCTCCTCCCCCCTTTTACTCACCACTCAAAATCGTGTGCGTGTCGTGTCGTGTCGTTTGTCGTGTCGTGTCGTGTCGTGTTGTGCGTGCGTGCAGGTACCTGAAGATTGTGAGGTACAAGACGGCGTTCTATTCGTTCTACCTGCCCATCGCCCTCGGCATGTACCTGTCGGGCCACGCCACGGAGGAGCTGCTGGCCCAGGCCAAGGCCATCCTCCTGCCCATGGGCGAATTCTTCCAAATTCAGGCACGCATTCCTCGCGCGCCAGCGGCATACCAAGCATGTTGGTTGGTCGCTTTTTGTTGTCTCGACGAATGGGCACTGGCCGTTTAAAACCGTTAACCAACCCTGCACCACCATGATAGGACGACTACCTGGACTGCTACGGCGACCCCGTGGTGATCGGCAAGATCGGTCGCGACATTGAGGAGAAGAAGTGCGGCTGGCTCGTGTGCCAGGCCCTCCTCCGCGCCACCCCTGAGCAGAAGCAGCTCATCCAGGTGCCGTTCTCGTCTTGTGTGTGTGTGTGTGTGTGTGTGTGTCGTGTGTGTGTCGTGTGTGTGTGTCGTGTGTGTGTGTGTCGTGTGTCGTGTGTGTGTGTCGTGTTGCGTGGCTGACATTCCGCTCATGTTCATTCGGGAATGCACGCACAGACCCAGTACGGCAAGGAGGACCCCGAGTGTGTGCTGAGGATCAAGGCCCTCTACAAGGAGCTCGACCTCGAGAACGTCTACAAGCAGGCCGAGGAGCAGAGCTATGTCGAGGTAAAATGCTCACCATGTTTCAACAACGTGTTGTTGTTGATGATGTTGTTGTGTTCGGCACTTGCTGATGGTCACATGGCGATACAACTGTGTCGCGTGGTGTGGTGTGCTGCAGCTCAAGGGACAGATCGAGGCCGTCAGGCACGCACCGCTCCAGCACGCCCTCAACCTGCTCCTCGCCAAGATCTACAAGCGTTCCGCTTGAGCCCCCTCTACCAAGCGGGGCTGTGCCGCGCGATACAAATAAAGACGACAGCACTCAAGTGACTGTGGGCTCCCGACCCCGTGATGGCGCAGAGGGGGGAGGCAGAGTTTCTGATGCCCTTTGTGTTTGTATTGTTTATTGTGTTCTATTTTAATATAATGCGCTAACACATGCAACAACAGGCATCTCTCCACTCAGCAAGCCACTGCTTCAACACATCAAGGACATCATCAACAAGGAGATCAGGTTCCCAAATACTATCAGTCAGCATCAAAGGTTCAAGTCCATATTGTCATCATCATACTTGAGGCTCATGCTGTTGCAGGGAGGCCAAGAGGCGTTGGCTGGCCAAGCGCTGCAGGGCCACTGGCAAGCCCAACCCACAGCAGCTGCTCAGGTTCATCTACAAATGCTATGCCCAGGTCACCACTCAGACCAATCCAGAGGACACGCTCTCCATCCTTCAGGCATGCTTGGTTAAGCTGGGAGGTGTGCTGGGAGGAGGAGTGGCCTGAGATGTGCCATTCATTGTGAGGTCACTCCAGGCCACCATTACATGCGCCCCACTGAACCAAAGCAGCTTGGACTTCAAAGAGAAGTAGAACAAGGGTGAGGAAAAACTCTTTTTCGTTGTTGTTGTTGTTGGGGTGACGTTGTATCTGTACAAATGTGTGCCTCCGCTCGCTCTCGCGCCAAACGAGAGATGCGTCAGCAAAAACGAAGGCCTGGTTTCGGGGCAGGACAGGCTACCTGTCCCACCACACGATGCCCTTGGCCTCTCGCCTCGACAGATCATGTGTGGCTGTCCACCACGTAGCAAGCGTATGTGGTGATGATGATGCTGTGATCAGTCATCGAGGTGGTGGTCGGCAGCGGCGGCACCGAGCGGTGAGGGCACGGCGGCGAGACGCGGGAAGCGGACGGGTCGGAGGGCGGCCACGGTGGCCACGTCCTGCGCGTCAACCGTCCAGCTCCGCGAACGCAAGCTCCCGCTGCCCTGCTTCTTCGTCGAGAAGTTGCGAATGCTCGCCAGCCCTGTTTCCATTGCGAAATTGCGTCAGCCCCATCGTTCTCACACGTGTGTGCGTGTGTGTGTGTGTGTGCGCGCGCGCGCGTGTGTGCGTGTGCGTGTGTCGTGTGTGCGCACCTGTCTTCATCTCCTTGGAAAAGTTGGAGTGGTTCATGGGCACGTAGGCCTGGGGCTCGCAGAAGGCCGGGGCCTCGGCCGTCTCCCAGAACTTCTTGTAGCCGCCCTCGAGCACGTACATCTCCGGGTAGTAGAGCTCCGGGTAGCAGTGCTCGTGCATCTTACGGTCCCAACTGCGCAGGTACCGACACCTGAACGAAAATAAAAATAATATTGATGAATAAATAAATAAAGTGAGTTGAAAGAAGTGGTGGCGGAGAAGAAGCAGAAGAAGGTGGACGTACAGGACGGGACCGCGGTGGGAGGAGAACTCGCAGTGGAAGATGATGCACACCTTCTCCTTGAGCGGGATCGGGTTGGTCATGAAGTACTTCTCCACGTCCTGCGTCGTGGGCAGGTTCAACGCTCCTGCACATATCCCAGACACACACACACAATGTGAGCATCTCGCACTTGCAATACACGAGTATGTAAATAAACATAATTATATATGTAAATAAAAACAAAAACAAAAACAAATAAATACGTACCTCGAATGTGTCCGCCGTCGTACTCGTACTGGAAGCGGCAGTCGATGACGAAGAGGCGCGTGAAGACGCCATCGAACTCGCCGCGCAGGAGGCGCATGAGGGTGGCGGGCTCGATGCAGGGCAGGTCCGAGTGGCTCGCGTGCGGGTTGGTCGGCAGCACCGGCACGTGGGCCTCGCGCATGTCTGGCGTCGACGTCGAGGGTGACGTGGCCGACGACATCGGGTGGAGGGCCGGCAGCGAACCGCACGACATCGTGAGCGACCGCCCTACGCGCATCTTGAGCCGGCGCGCGTTGATTCCGGCCGACACGCCCGACATGGTGAGCCCACCGCCGCCGGCGGCGGGCTTGGCCTCGGCCCCGTTGAACGGCGACGTGGCCACCGACGTCGACGTCGACAAAAATGACGATGTCGGCGCGGCAAAGGGCGAAGTGGAGACCACAGCCGACGATGATGACGTCAGCGACGACGCAAGGCCGCTGCTGTTGAACGGTGAGGCTGTGGTGGGCACGGCGGCGGACGAGACGGAGAGGCCGCGGTGGTGAATGCGGAACGACTGGTCATCGGCGGCGGCGCCCGCGAGGTCGTCGTCCGAGGCGAGGAGGCCGACGTTGTGGCGGCGCAGGTGGGGGCGGTCGGTCATGGAGCCGGCGCGGCGCGAACGGCTGGGCGACGAGGGCGACGGCGAGAGCTGGAACAGCGGCGGGCGGTAGGGCGAGGCGCCGCTGATGGCAGTGGGTACCACGTTCTCCTTGTTGTTGTCGTTGTCGTCGTTCTCGCCGTTGTCGTCATCGTAGAGGTCGTCATCGTCGTCGCGCGCCGCGGCGAGGTCATCGCAATCCATCGTTGGCAGCTGATCGAGACGAAGCGTGGGCAGCTTCGAAGATGTGGACGAGGTGATGGCCTGGCAGGCACGACGCGAGGTGGGACAGCTGCCCACGCTACGTTGGCCCGAGTAGGGCGAGGTGTCGCGACTCAGGCCATCGTCGACGCAATTGAAGAGATTTCTGGCCTTTGATGAAGGCTGTTGGGCCGCTACTCGATTTTCGTGATCGAGATCGATGGGCGACAGCGGCGATCGATCGCCAAAGCAGAAGCTCTGGGCTCGGCCGGCACGTCGCATCGCAGCGACATCGTCGCTGGATGTGGTGAGTAGCGAAGATGTAGACGATGTCGAAGGGTGGGGGGCGGTATAAATCGAGGAACTGGAGGCAGTCAGGGATGAAGAAGATGACGTAGTCGTGGATCGGACGATGAAGCTGCCGGGCTTGCGCTTGTCGGAGTGGTGGAGCTTCTTGGCGCGGGTGAGCTTGGTCGAGGGACCCAGCGGCTTCTTGAAGGTGTTACCGGGGTGGGCCGAGGCCGAGCTCGTCAGTTCGGCCAGGGCCGAGAACGACGCGAATGCATCCGGCGAAGTCGCGCTCGACGATGAAGTTGTGGATTGGGCCGACTGGGCTCCGAAGAGGGACTTGCGCACTGGGACCTCGCGGTCGCCTGCCGTGTAGAGGTCCTGGAAGTTGCTGCTCAGCTTGGAGACGGGAGAGAGGTCCATCGAATCGCACATTTTTTGTTGTTGAGTGGAAGATGTAGATCGTCAAAGAAGAGAATTGGACAATTACGAGTTGGCAATGGTAAGTTTCAGTGCGAGTGCCAGTGGATCCCGAGTGCCACGTCCCGGGATGCCCGTGTCGATCTGTTTCGAGAGAAGGAAGAGAAGAAGAAAGACCACCACCGGTCTATGGCCACTCAACAACCCAACGTTGGGTTTCCAACGTTGCAGAATCCGACCGTTGCGCGCCCAACGGACTGTCCGCAGGAAATGCAAGCCTGAAAAAGTAATTGTGCCGACACGCGTTCGTTGGTAAAACAGAGAAATATCAAATAATAAATAATAAATTGTTTATTGCACACAACAGAGATAAGAGGAAGTAAAAAATTGCATTTATTTTTATCAGCGGTTCGGGCGGCCCCAGCTGTCGCGATGGGCATCAACCTATGTTGACGAGGAGGGAGGAGGTGACTATGATGATGACGACGGACGGTTGGTTGGAGAAACAATCGGTTCGGCTTCAGCTGCACGGGTCGCCCTTCGCGGTCTTTGATGTGTCGTTGCGTGACGTTGGCGGTGATGATTTACTCGTCACCGTCCTCCTCAGCAGCAGCGTCAGCGTCGCCAGAGGCATCAGCAGCCGCCACGTCGTCTTCCTCGTTGGCGGCGCTGGTCTTGGCATTGTCCTGGTGTTCCTCCTCCTTCTCCTCGGCCTCCTCGGCGGCCGGCTTCTTGGCAGCAGAGGCGGGCTTCTTGGCAGCACCGGCACCGGCAGCCTTCTTGTTGGCACCACCGGCGGCGGCCGAGCCGTTCTCAGCCTTCTTGGGGGGCGACTCGAGGGCCTGCAGCTCGGCGGCGTACTGAGCCTCAAGCTTCTTTCGCTGCTCCAGCTTGTCGGCCGCCAGCCGCTCGTAGAAAGCCTGCGCACACAACCATCACCATTAGGATCGGATGATATCGCAGTACGGCGCACACGCACACGCACAAACACGCGCAAGTGGGCGACAGAAGGAAGTGTAAGTGCGCGCGAACCTTCTTGCGGGAGATGCTGTCGAGCGCGGCGGGAATCTCGTCAAGGCTGGTGGGTGGCTGGACGGAGAGGAGCTCAAAATCGATGTGGGTGGCCATGGTGAACTGGAACGCCCTCTTCTTCTTGGGGGCCTTGGGGGCAGCCTCGGTGCCCTCCTCCTCCTCCGCGGCGGTGGTCTCGTCCTTCTCCTCGTCCTCGTGCTCCTCGTTGTCGTTGCCCTCCTCGCCCTCTTCGCCCTCCTCCACCTCCTCCTTCTCAGCCTCCTTCTCCTCCACGCTCTCACCCTCGGCGCCCTCCTTGGCGACGGTCTTCTGCTTGGATTGACGATTGACCAGAGCGGCCGTGAGCCTGTCGCACAGGGCGAGCTCATCCTTGTAGGCCTGTGAGAGCTCCTGGAGCGCCTTGTTGCGCTGCTCCTTCTTGAGCTTGATGCGCTTCTCCTTCTCGAGTTGGGCCTTCTTCTCCCTGTCGGCCTTCTGGAGCTCCTTGATCTTGTTGTTGTGCTCCTTCCTCTTCTCGCGGATCACGGCGTAGACGGCATCCCTGTTGGACCCAAACACGTTGAACGCATACTTAGTCTTGAGGCCACACACTAGCGAGAGAAGACCAAGCAGTGTGCCCCGCACCGGTCCTTCTTGAACTTCTCGATCCTCTGCGCGATGGCGGATCTCTCGAACTTGGCCGCGCCCAGTTCGTCGCCCTTGGCCTGAAGAGCGTCCTTGAGGCGGTTGACGTCGCTCTTGACCTCGCGCTCGCCTTCGTTGAGCTTCTTGAGCTCCTCGTCGAGTTCCTTGAGGCGAGCGTCCAGCGCGGGGTTCACGGGGGCTTCAGCCTCCTCGGCAAACTTGGCCCACTGTGAAGTAGAGAAGAAGTAAGGCGCGTTGTAAGCAGAAGATGAATCAGAAGCGGCGAATAATGAATTGTGTAGAATGGTGATGCGGATTTATGCGGATGATGGTGGTGCGCACCTCCTTGACCTGACGCCTCTGGGCAGCGATGACGCCGAGCTCCTTGGATGAGGCTCTGTCCTGACCGGTGGAGATGGAACGCTTGATCTGGATCTCCACCGCACGCTCCCTAGCCTCGAGATGCTCGAGATTGAGGGCTACAACCTTCTTGCTGTCCTTGATGTCCTTGCTGATGGGCAGCTGCCTCTTCTGCTTGTTCAACTCTTCCAGCTTGCGCCTGCGAGCGTTAATCTCCTTATCGAACGTCGAGCGAAGAGCGGCACGCTCATCAATGAGCTTCTTCCTCGCCATCGAGTGCTCCGACCGATTGTCGCGCGATTCCAGCTCCTGATCTTGGATGGCCTTACGCTCTTCTTGAATGACATCGATACGGCGACGGATTTCCTCCTACAGGGACACAATCACAATCAATTAAGGGAGCAGCAAATGTTCAGGCGAATCAGCGAAGTGTGCACAAGCAGGGTTGTGAAACTACAGAGCGGATGGAAATGCGTACCAATTCGGAATAGGCAGCATCGATCTTGGCGGTGAAATCATCCAGCTGCTTGTTCTCCTTCTCCAATTCGAGCCGGGGGTACTTGCTGAGGTAATCGGGCTGCTTTGCCGCGGCCCCCTTCTGATCATTACCTCCCCTACCGCCAGCGCGCTGACCCTGCTGCTGCGGCTGGGACTGCTGCTGACCTCCCCTGCTAGCACCGCCGCCGCGACCGCCACGCTGACCGCCAGTGGCCTGGCCGCGGGCCTCACCGACGTTGGCGGGCTTGGCATTTCCCTTCTTGGCGGCCTGATCATTATTGCCACTCTTCTGCGCAGAGGGCTCCGAGACGCCCTTACCCTTTCCGCTGTTGGCCTTGCTCATCTTCTCAGTTGGTCGCTGCACAGCAGATAGATCTATCTGTCTGGGGTTGGGAGTGATGATGAATTCGATTTGCGCGGTGACCTCCACAGAGCCAGCCCCCATGCTGGCTTTTTGCCAAGTACCCTTAAAAGGAAATCCGCATAATTCTTTCCCCAGTTCTGTCTGAACGGCCACTAACGCGTCACAAATAAATTAACCCAAAAGGTAGAAGAGGGAGGAACAGGGCGCGGGGCTCTTTCTGTCGGGTCTATGTACGATGTCGATCTCTCTCTACTCGCTGGCCTCGTCGAGGGTGGAGAGGCACGTCCACGTGGGCTCGGGCTGCAGCGATTCCTTCCACAGCGTGACCTTGTTGTCAGCCGACGACACCGCCAGGATGTTGCCCGTCAGCGACCACGAGACGCGCCACACGACCTGCTCACACATCATCGGTTGCACTCGCGTTAGCAACATGGGAGACATTCACAGAACCGCACAACACACGCGCGCACGCACGCACACACGCACGCACACACACGCACACACAACACGGCACACGGCACGCACAGACATTGTGGGGGTGTTTGGGCGCGCACCTCGGAGAAGGTGTGGAGGGGACGGGGCTCCCAGCCCTTGGAGGAGTCCTCCTGGGTCCAGATGATGACGGTCTTGTCCTGCGAGCACGAAGCGATGACGCTCGCGGTGGAGCCCATGTTGGGGGACCAGGCCACGTCGCGCACCCAGTCCTGGTGGGCTTTGAGCTTGTCCTCGCAGCGCCACTGGTTGTCCTGGGGCGAGTGTCGCCAGATCTTGACGAGGTTGTCGCAGCCGCCGGTGACGAAGCGCCTCACGGGGGGCTGGGCGATCGATCCCGAGCGGAGGAGAGCGCCAGGGGCGACGGCGGGCGCCCAGGAGATGGAGTTGACGCCGATTTGGTGCGCCTGGAATCGCTGGGCGTCCCATTTGGCCTCGGCAGGCGAGTAGGAGAGCACCGATACATGGCCATCCGAGGAGGCGCAGGCGAGGGCGAGGCCGAATTCGTGGGGCGCGAAGGCGAGGCTGTTGACGGAGAGCTCGTGGCCCTCGTAGACGTGAATCTTCTCCCAGATGTTCTTGGCCGCCTCCTTCCACACGATCACCTTGCGATCGTAGCCGCACGATGCGAGGATGACGCCGAACTTGGGGTGGCCCCAGCACACTTGCCACACGGGACCTTCGTGACCCTTCAATTCCGCGACTTGCGTGTAGTTGGATTCATTTGAGCCCTCGAAGATCTTGATTGTTCGATCGGAAGAGCACGTCGCGACTCGCTTGCCGTAGTAATCGGGCTGCGCATCGTGCACCATATCGGTGTGCTCCGTGTTCACTTGCGCGCTCTTTTCCATTGTCTCGTTATTTAATGTGAAATGAATAAAATTAGATTAATCCACTTGAGCGATGCGCTGAGGGTGGATGTGAGGTTGAAGATGGAGTGAGCGGTGGTCGATGGCAGAAATGCAGCGAGGGCACGCCTTTGTAGAGAATTGAATTGCAATGTTGGCGCCGTGACGTGGTGTCTTCGTGTCCTTGCTGCCACGTCCCCAGCCCCCTTAAGGCGGAGGCGCGGCATCACCCCTTTTATTTGGTCTTCTTCTTGTTGACCCTTTTCTTCGTGTTGCTGCTCTTGCTCTGCACGTGGTTGGAATGCTGCGAGCGCCGTCTGTAGATGAGGATGGCGAGGACCAGCACGACCACTGCGGGCGAGGCGAGAATGGCGTAGTTGAGGCTGTTGATAAACACGTCTGAGTGCCACGTCATCCAGCTGTCTTGGGCCGACTCGTAGCCGCTGACCTCGGCATCGATCATGCACCGGTGCTCGTCGTCGCTCTTGGCGCCCACAACGATCTGACACCATACACGCCACAGCGATCGTGAATACCACTTCTCATGTGTGCGTGTGCGTGTGCGACGCGTGTCGCGTGGTGTGTTTCACGTACAGTCTGTTCCAGGGCCTTTTGGCCGGCCTCGCCACGGATGCTCACCTGGATTTCGGTGGGGTGACCGGTCTCCTCACCCCACGCGATCTCGATCGTGCCGAAGTTCCTGTGCTCAAAACCGCCGCTCACTCGCCACTTGCTTCCCATCACCTGCAAATTGTAGCCACCACAACAATGATGATGATCAATGCTCAAATCATAGTTGTGTGTCATGTGCCGTTGATGAGCGCAGAGCAAATAAATAATAATAATTATCATTGATAAATAAAGATTGGGTACCGCGTTGAAGATGCTATGTCCGAAGCCCAGCGGGAAGTGGTCATGAAGGCAGTGAGTCATGCCGCTGCTCGTGATCTCGTAGATGCCCTCGTAGTCTGCCCTCGTAGTCGTCAGACAACGTCTTCTTGTGTCAATCAAGAAAAGAATACCACAACAACAAAAGCAATGGAAATTGCGGTGACGCACGCTTGGCCTCAGCCCCGCACCGGGGCCGGGTCTTGAAGATCTCGGCGTAGTGCACGTCGCCACTGAGTAGCACGACCGTGCCTTTCCTGAAGATGATGCAATGAACGATATTCAAAGAATGAATGTGAGCCAAAACACCTCAACATAGCCACATATCTGCATACCATAGTCACATTGAACACGAGAGGTCGTAACACGTACGACAGCTGGAGGGTCTTCTCGAGGCGGGCCAGACTGCGCGGGAAGTTAGTCCACTTCTCCTGGACGGGCTTGTCGCGCGGGAGCACCTGGATGCCCGACCCGACAAAGTTGATCTGCGCATCGGACTCGCGCAGCTCCCGCTCGAACCACTGCCACTGCTCCTCGCCCAAGATGTCGCGGTCGGGCACGGTCGGGTCGTCCCGGTTGTAGCGCACGTCGAGCAGGATCACCTTGACCCGCTTGCCCGCCGGCCCGAACGTGTAGGCCCCATACACGCCGTTACGCGTCCATCGCGCGCTAGTCTACAAAAAAAAAAAAAACACATCAATGCCACGTCAGCGCACGACACGGCACTCATGGCACACGTATATGTATATATGCCTTGGGCTCGTCAAAGAAGTCGAGGAAGAGCTGCTTGCTCTGCTCGCGCTCAAGGTAGGCGGCTCCACCGTTGTTGACGCCGTAGTCGTGATCGTCCTGTCGTCATGAACAAAGATCGCCATCAGACCGATGCACACACAACACACACGATATGCGCGTGTCGTGCGTGTGTCGTGCGGCGTGGGTCGTGTCGCGTGTCGTGCGTGTGTCGTGCGGCGCACCCAAGTGCCGATGATGGGCGTCGAGCTGGAGAAGTTGTGGTAGGCAGGCCGAGCCTTCTGGGCATCGTACTTGGCCTTCATGACGCTCACCGGAGACGGCTCCCAGAACATGGGGAAGTGCTTCGTGTCCGCGTACACCACATCGCCTGCCATGGTCGGGTGAGTAGATCACATATGTTGCATATATTTTTATAATAAAAATGGAAAATTGAGCTCCAGTGTGGTGCTTTATTTTTATATTTCAAACAACAACAAATACTAACATATAAAAAAAAAACATCAGATGAATTGATGTCATGACAATGAAGGGATTTGAGAAGAGGGGTTACGGGTACCGAGCCAAATCCAGAGCTGGGGCTGGAAGTCCGATATGGGGGACCACAGCGGCTGCGGGCGGTCGTGTTTGGAACAGGACCCGAAGGCCAGGCGAGTGAGTGGCTGCTCGGGCGACTGCATGCCCTCGCTCAGCGGCACACCCACAACAAAACTGTGCGATAACAGCGCCATGCACACCGCCAACACTGCCGCCATGCCAGACATCTTCTTCATCTTGTGTGCTCTGTGTGGATTTGCAATTCTGTTTTTATTTTGCATTTTTGTAACAAAAATGGCTAAAATAGCTCAAATTCATGTGTAAGGAAATATCAAAGGAAAACTGGAATTTCTTGGAACAGCAGCCCACGCCAGCTGGCACATAGCATCACACCAGCGGCACAACAACCACACTTCACAAAGATGAGACAGAGCTGCGCTGCACTACGTGTCAGGCCCGGCGGACCTGCCCTGCGCACTGCAGCGGGCTCAGCACTGCGACCATGGTCGCGTCCCACAGGCTTCCCGCTGCCACCACTCGCTACGCGCGCTCACAACGCTGCCACAGTCCTGCGACAATGGCCAAGGCCGCGCAGGTTCTTCACCACCTCCGCAACATCCCCTCCGCCGCCCGCTACCGTACGACCTTTTATTTATTTTTATTACGTAATTATTTATTATTAAGAGCGCTAACGCTACTCGACGGGGGGGGTTTGCACGGCAGGGGCGTACGAGAAAGGTTTTGGTGGCCACGGCCGGGACCGGCCTCGTCCTGGGCACTGCCGCGCTCGGTGGCCTCTGGGTCTTGCTTCTCCCATTCCCGCCCTGGTCTTGCCCGCCCAGCTCACCGCGCGTATTGTGTTGTGTGCGTGTGTGCGTGTCTTATGTGTTGTGTCATGTGTGTCGTGTGTCGTGTGCAGCATGTGGCGAAGGGAAAGTACCCGCGCTTGGAGGAGCTCAGCTGGAGTGAGCGCGGGGAGCACCTGGCCCGCTTCATGCGTACGGCGTGGACGGGCCTCGTGGTGTCGCTCGACTACAAGACCCTCGCTCGCTACGAATACGGCACTCCCGAATATGCCGCGGCACGCTCCAAGGTGCGATGTCGCACATCCTACCAACACACGTCACACGCCACCCCGCACACGACACACGACACACAGTGTACTCACCAGCACCGCATATTGTGTGCTGTAGATCCATCAGCGAACTGCCGACAGGTTGTTGTGGCTCTGTCGAGCCAATGCCGGCGTGTACGTCAAGGTGTGTAAACAACATCTCACCTCGCCACACACACACACACACACTCACACCCTCTCTCGCTTTCGCTCGCGCCCAGGCGGGGCAACACTTGGCCTCGATGAACCACGTGCTGCCGCGCGAGTACACGGACACCCTCACCGTGCTCCAGGACCAGGTGCACGCTCTACACTGTTTACACTACACTGCTTTTTTTTTCTCCCCCGCTACTCGCCACGCAATGTGCTGACCCGAACGTGGTTGGCGGGGTGGTCTCGAAAGGCGCCGAGCCGACCGTTCGCGGTGATCGAGAAGGCGTTCATCGAGCAGCTGGGCGCCCCGCCGAGCCACTTGTACCCCCTTCTCCCGCCCCTTCGCTTCAAGTGCCAACACTGCTGACGTGGCACAACAAAACGAAAATGAAACGAAAACGAAGCTTTTCGTTTCTCGAGGAGCAGCCGATCGCCGCGGCTTCGCTGGCGCAGGTGCACCGCGGGTGGCTCGCCGACGGCACCCAGGTGGCCGTCAAGGTACCGAGACACCCACGCCGCCACTCCCCGCATTCCTTGCGTGCCTGGTTACATGTGCGGAGACCGGTCTGCTAATGACGACGTCAATGCGCCAGGTCCAATACCCCGATTTCGAGCGGCTCACGTGGGGCGACCTGTTTTCCATCGAAGCTGCCGCGCAAGCCATTGCCTGGGTACGACACGACACGCGCTGTCGCACTCGGCGCGCACGCTGCTTTGCGTGAGCTGAACTGTGCGTCGCTACGCGCAGTTTTTCCCGGATTTCCAGTTCTCGTGGGTGGTCGGTGAGTTCGAGAAGAACCTCGAGATGGAGATGGGTACACTGCCCGCTCTTCCCTCCCACAAGACACACACGACACGACACACGGCACGCCGACACACGACACACAACACAATCGCACAGGCACAGGCACGCCGACACTAACTCTCGTCCAGATTTCGTGAACGAGGCGAAGAATGCCGAGCGCATTGCCCACAATTTTGCGCACAACAAACAAATCTACGTTCCCAAGATCTACTGGGTACGAACGTGTGGCGTGTGTGGCGTGTGTGGCGTGTGCGATCGCTTGTTTACTTTTGCATGCTGATGAGGGCTGGTGGCGAGCAGAACATGACGCGGAGGAAGGTGCTGTGCATGGAGTTCATCCACGGGGCCAAGATCACGGACGTTCCCAAGCTCGACCAGATGGGCATCAACAAGCGCGAGGTGGCCCAGCTCCTGCACGAGCTATTCTGCGAACAGATCTTCGTCCACGGATTCATCCACAGGTCAGTCGCCCACATCAGCAACATTTGGGTTATATATATGCGCATCAGTATTAACGACAACATCACTATATATATATATATATCAATATGTATGTTGATGTTGTGTAACAGTGATCCCCACCCGGGCAATATTCTGATTCGTCACCTGCCATCTTCGCCCACCCACCCGCAATTGGTGCTTCTCGACCACGGCCTCTACCGCACCCTCGACGAACAGTTCAGGTACTCCTCGCGCGCCCTGTTTCGCTGTTGCGAATCGACGCCACTTGCCCACGTCACGCACACGCCGCACACACACATGCTTACCATCGCACACTCATCATTGCACACGCACATGAAACACGCACACGACACAGGCTGGACTACTGTCATTTGTGGAAGGCCATCTTCACGGGCAACAGAGAGGCGGTGGAGAAGTACTCGCGGCGTATGGGCGCCGGCGAACACCACGAAATCTTTTCGGTCATCCTCACCTTCCGTCCCCTCGACACCGGGTATGCTCACCGCACGCACGCACCACCGCACACGCACGCACGCACGCACGCACCACCGCACACATCAGCCCAAACGAAATCTTGGTAACACACACGCGCGCGCAACAAACAGGAAAACGGGGCCGGCGCTGGTGAAGGACAGCGAGATGAGTGTGGCGCAGGTGCGCCTGATTCGCTCGCAGATGCGCGAGCGCAATTTCCAAACGGTCCTCTCCGAGCTCCTCGAGAACATGGACCGCCAGCTTCTCCTCGTCCTCCGCACCAAGTACACCCTCGAATACACGCACACGCACACGCACACGCACACGGTGAGTTGCTGAAATCTCAACTATGTGGGCAGCAACTTGATTCGGTCCATTATCAAGGACCTGGAGGAAGGCGGGTCTGTTGATCGGTTCCTGGTGATGGCGCGCTACGCCATTCGCGGGCTCTACCACCGCCACGACAACTCGCGTGCGTTCTCCCAATTCCATTGAGTTCTATGCAGACCCTTCTCCTAATGTCAACACGCACCACACACAACACACGCCACACGACGCACGACACACGCACACTTGGCGCACTGCAGTGTCGCTGCCACGGCGGTTGCGGGGCGTGGTGGAGTCAACCAAGTTCGAGGCGCGGCTGCAGATCCTGTCGCTGGTCATCCACCTCTACCAGTGGTGGACGCGGGTGGTGTCGTGGTTCTACTCCTTCCCCGCCTCCCCCGTCCCAGTCCTGGACTCCTGATTGGTTGGGCTCAACATAAAAAGAAACCAGCCAAGGCAAGCAGGCTGCGGCCAGGACCAGCGTTTTGTGTTTTGGACTGGTGGGGTGTGTGAGACAACTTGGCCGAGTGGTTAAGGCGGTAGACTTGAAATCTACTGGGATCTTCCCGCGCAGGTTCAAACCCTGCAGTTGTCGATTGCACTTTTCAATTAACTGTGGGCTTACAATTTTTACCCTAACCAGAGGCAAACAAAAAATGATGGCTGCACCTAGTTATGTGTGTCAGAGGATTAGAGAATAGAGTGGCACACCTGGGCCATTGTGTTAACTGGGCAGGGTGAAGAGGTACTTCTTCTGTCACATCCTGTTGAGGCATGGCCTCTTGGCTGTGTGATAAGTCCAAATAGGCAAAGAAATTTGTGGTTTTGTCAAAAAAGAACATACATTTAAAAGGTAAGGCGCAAAAGAGAGAGGTCGACGACGGCAGGATTTGAACCTGCGCGGGGAGACCCCAGTAGATTTCTAGTCTACCGCCTTAACCACTCGGCCACGTCGTCTTGCACAGAAAACATGTACCTGATAGAAATTGGTAATTCCAAAATTGGGAGCATCTTGAGAAATGGCAGATTAAAATAACATCATAATGAGAGATCTGTAACTGGGTCATCAGTCAAGGTCTGGAATTACCAATTTCTATCATGTACATGTTTTGGTACACATACTTTATCACATACACATACATGATGACAACGCACCTTTTTTTTGCTCCTTTCCTGAACAAGGAGGAGATATATTAGCAAACATTCTATCACATATGCATACACAATATAATGTCCTGCAGTTTCAAAGCAAAATGGGCTATGATAATAGCATGTATGCAACCTCCTTCATGAGCTTCAACAGTTCCTTGTTGTTGGCCATGGCTGATGGCAGGGTGACTTGCACCTATGCATACACAACAACAAAAACTGTAAAACCAGACACTTACTTTATCACATACACATACACAATGACTACAGTTTATCATGTATTCATACATGATATGGAAAACCAGAACTTTGCTTGTTTTGTGTAAGTGCTCCTCAAACTGTTGCTTTTGCTTTCATACCCTCCATCAATTCCAAAATCAGTGGCCAACATGCTGCCCTGTGTTGCTGACAGGTGGGGCAAATGGCTACCCATCACTTGATCTGGGGGAACATGCCCCTCCACCAGTGGTGCTGCCACACCCACTCAATGGTGCACTTCCTGCTATGACCTGTTTCATGTCCCCTGTTGTCAGGCTGGGTGAGTACCACACCAATAGGGTGTGGATGTGTTGGTGTGTAGTTATCTAGACCCTGGACACCATAAACACAGTCACCTGGCCACCAATGACAGTCACTCAGTCACTCTTTGAAAAGTGATTTTGTGAGTTTAAGCTAATAAAAATAGTTTTGACAACACTAAAATGGTTTATCACCACACTCAACCCAGGAGGCCTTCCTGGGGCTAGCAAACTACTCCTGTCATGGGTCTGTCCTGTCAGACTGGCAATTGCTAGCTGGAAAACAACCTTGGCATGTTTACACCAGTAGCCTGGCAAAACAGACAGAACTTGTGGTCATTTGAAATGAGAGGTTACAAATCACTGCAGAATTTTTGTTGTGCTAAAATCTTGTGAGATTTGACATTTTTGATTTACAGGGCAGTTTTGATTTGGATCTGCATGTGTGATTTTGACATGCTAGACTGCTGCTTAGAAGTGATATTGAGGGACTTGAGAAGAAAATGATTTAATAAAAACTTGGAATTTGTGGAGTTAAAAGTGATTTTATCAGTGTGGAATGGAGTTGGAATTTTACCTTCAGGAACAGTGCTCCAATTCAGCACAAATGTGAAGAATGAAGTTCAGTGCATGTGTGCAACTGACTGAATATGGTGTGAGGTTGAACATGAACTGGATGTGAGCAATCCCAAGGGATTAACTGGCCCCTCCAATTTATCCCAGTGGTGAGGTAACTTGGAGCAAGCACTGGTGTTTGTCTATTAGATAAGCAAGTGGCCAGAGGTCTGACACCTTCTGGACACTGAAGCATAAGCCATAGCCCATATATTACACTATATCATGTTGAGACGAAGACGAAGATGAGCAGCGTGTGTTCTTGCAGTCCTATCGTCCAAGGGGGTTAGACTGTGCTCGGTTGGCCGTTCCTGATCCGGAGAATTATTCTGTGCAAGACGACGTGGCCGAGTGGTTAAGGCGGTAGACTAGAAATCTACTGGGGTCTCCCCGCGCAGGTTCAAATCCTGCCGTCGTCGACCTCTCTCTTTTGCGCCTTTCCCTGTTTGGTGCTCGGAGCTGCTCTGCCGCTTGACGATGACTTCCCTTGTTTTCCTTGTAGCGCAGAGCACAGGTTGCCTCCCGCGTTGGATGATGTGGTTGATGATGTTGTGATTTTATTCGCGACGGGTGGGATGGGTGTATCTACAGTCCCTCTCGCTGGGTGGTGACCCAGCAAAGGATCCAAAAAACAAAAAGAGGGTCTAGAACGGCGGCCGCTGTCGTTCGTCGTCGTGAAGTTCGTTTCCGTCGCGCCTTGCTCGCCTCTCCAATATTTAGAGACGAGCGATCACCTCTTCTTCTTCTCTTCTGCTTCGCTTTCGTTCTTCGTTTCTCGCTTCGATCTTCCCCTCGCCCTCGTGTGTGATGCGTGTGCGTGGTTGTGTGTGGTTGCTGTACAGGGTGGTGCTCTCGCTTCATCGTCGTCTTCTTCATCTTCGTCGCAGTCGTACGTCTCGAACGAACGAAGAGAATTCAGAGTCGGATGACGACGGGCTTGAGCTCCTCCTGCCGCTTCCTCATCAGGTAGCCGAGCCGGCCTTCGATCTCCTCGGGAATGGGTGCGCCCTGGGGCACGTTGTGGAGCAGGGTCATGATCTCCTTGTCGAGCTTGCACACCACGCGCCACGGCCACTTGCGGTTGCGCACGGCCTCCTTCCACCGCTTGCTCAGGGTCGACGGCGGAATGCCCAGCTTCTTGGCCGCCTCCGACTGCGGCATGTTGAGGTACTCCGTGATGTCGACAAAGTTCTGGCCGTTGGGCACCGTCACGGGGTTGATGATCCGCTTGTTCTCCGGCGACTGCGTCGACACGAGCGCGTTCGACTGCTGGCCCGGCGGCGAGCCCTGCGGACCCGGTTGCTGCTGCTGTGGCTGCGGGGCCTGCTGCTGGGCCTGGGCCTGCGGCTGCGGTGGCTGCTGGGGGACGGGCTGGCCGCGGGCGACGGGTCGGCCATGCTGAGGGGCTGCGGCGGCGGGGCCGGCGGACTGCTGGGCGGGCCGCGACTGCTGAGCGGGGGCGGGCGCACCCTGGCGCCCACCGGCGGCGGAGGCCTGGGTGCTGGAGGGCGGCGGGGGGACGAGGCGCCCGTTGTCGAGCGGGGCGGGGCCACCACCGCGCGAGGTCGATGTTACGGTGGCATCGCGATGGGATTCGGCGGCAAGGGCGGCCTTGTCCTTGGAATCGAGGAGCGACGGGAGCGAGGGCAGGGCCGAGGCAGATTCGAGCGAACCGAACGAACCGAAGGAGGCATTGGAGTCGAAGAAGTTGAAATGGTTGCTGCTGGCATTGGGGCCACCGAATGGTTGGCCTCCGCCAGGCGACACCTTGGTCACGGGCGCGTTGCCAGCCGAAGGCGGCGCTCCTGCAGCCTGGCTGCCATTGCGTGTAGCAGCATTAATCGGCGACGATGATGCACCGCCCGAAGATGGCGGCAAACTGGCGCTCGAGGAATTATTTGTTATGTTGGTAATCTTGGCGCCACCTGCAGCAGCAGAGCCGCTGCTCGGCGAAGAGTCAGAGAGGGTGGGTCGGGAGTCTGTCGTGGAGGCCATGTGTGCGTGCACTGGACTGGCGGGCTAGAACAAAGAGAATTTCGACTGGCGACCGTTCAGGCTTGTTTCACCGTAAAATGCGGGGGCGCTACACAGCCCCCGTCTGATAGGCTCCTCCACTTTCGACGAGTTTTCTGGCCGACTGCGATTGGTCGCGCCACACGAAATCTCCATCACCACGCAATTCGCACGCGTGCTTCGGTTGGAATTTCCTCCAAATAGGCTGACTTCCAGGGAGGAGCGTTCTCGGCATTTGTCTGTCCAATCGCCGCGCCTGGCTACGCGCCTTGCAGCCGAAAACCAGACGATTTGCCCTGTTTACGAAATTTCGACACTCATAACCGTTGCTTGTCACACTTGTTCGACGATTCGGCTCGTGGGCTCACACCAACGGCTACCCGCCAAATATTTCCACCAACTTCTCGAAAAAAAACTAAATAAATAATAAATTAAAATTATTATTCCTTTTGCGCCATGTCGGTGCTGTTGTTGTGAAAGGTCCACGAGACGGGCGGGAGGAGGTCGGGGCGTTCCTTGTAGAAGCTGGCCGTGCGCTGGTGGCCCAGACAGAAGTAGTACAGCAGCCGATCCAACGCGGCCTCATCCTCTCCGGCCGCCTGGCCCTCCTGTTCCTCGAACATGTGATCACCAACAGTTAACCAACCATCGGATTCTACACTCGGCAGACGACGTACGAAGGAATGTAGCAAAGAAGAGAGAGAAAGAGAAAGAGAATAGAGAATAGAGAGGCTTCACGCACCGGTTGGTGCTTGCGCAGAACGGCGGCGTATTCGCGGCAGAGGTAGTACATGGCTTCGATGGAACTCAGGAAGCCCTCCCCGTTCGACTGGAATCGCCAGAAGAACGTCTTCCGCGCCTAGAGACAGACACACAAATAGGAGACGACGGCGTGAGTGGCCACACACGCAAACCGATCCTCCGTGGCGCGATGCTGGTGCGCACCTCGATCTTGACTTTGGTCAGGTTAGCCAGCTTGGGGTCGTTGAGGATCTGCGTGGAGCCCTCCCACGTGGCCTCGATAACCACCGCCCGCTCGATCCTCTTGCCCTTCTCCTTGAACGCCAGATATGCCTGCGCCCCAACAAATCGTTGGCCAACTATGCATAGAATGCTCTCAAGCGCGCGCGGAATGTATGGCAGCAGCAGCCGCTCGTAAGGTTACCTCTTCGACGGACAGCGCGTCGGGCGAGGGGTAGAGCACGACGGTGGAGTCGGGGTCGAGATCGGGCATGCGTGACGAGAAGGAGGGCCGCGGCTGCGACGTTAAGGGGTCGGTCGCCGACGCGGCGTAGGCGGCCGGAGAGTAGGTGACGCGGAAGGGCTTGGAGTGGGAGGCCAGCGCGCGGTGGACCTCGACGTAGCGCGCCGACGAGAGGACGGCGGCGACGATCGACGTGCACCGGCGCAGCTTGAGCTTCGGGTGGATGATGATGTCGACCTTGAGCGGCAGCACAAGCGAGTGCGGCTCGAAGTCCTCGCGGCCCCACTTGACCAGGATCTCGGCGCGCTTAGCCTGCGCCTGGAGCTCGCGCTTTCGCGCCTCCCTTCGATCTTCGTTGTCGTTGGCGCCGCCGTCGCTTTCGCTCTTCTTCTTGAGCTCGTCCGCCTCGCTTTCGTTCTTCTCGACAGCCTCGACAGCGACTTCGCTTTCGTGTTGGCGTTCGTCCTCCCCGAGGCCGTGCTCTCCGGCTTCGTCTTCGCTCTTCTCGTCGTCTTCTACTACTTCGTCTTCGCTCTTTTTGTCTTGTTCTTCCTCTTCATTCTTTTCCTGGTGGGACTGCTTGGCGTCGAGCGCCTCCTTGAGCACCACCAGCCGCTCGGCGGGTCGAATGCGTCGTGGCTTCTTCTTCATCTTCTTGTTATTGTTGTTCTTGCCGCCGTTCTTCTTGATCTGCTTCTTCTGCTTGCCGCCGTTGCTGTCGCCGACCTTCATCACGACGACGGGCTCGAAGCAGTCCCAGCAGTAGAGCGGACGACGGTAGCCGCACCGCGGGCACACCTTGTTGTTGAAGGTGAAGTAGGCGGCGTAGGCCGACTGCGGCAGGGCCTCGAGGGCGAACTTGTCGTAGGGCGACGCCGCCACGGCCGCCGGCACCGCGGCCGCCTGCAGGGCCGGCAGGTCCACCATCTGGTCCACCCTCTCCTTCCATCGCACCAGGCACTGCTGCTGCGCCTCGCTGCGCAAATAAAAATAAAAGAATGATTAGATTACGAATAACAATAAAAATAAATAACACAGTTATTAATGCCAAATAAAAATATGATTAAAAATGGGAATAATAAAGGAATAAGAATTAACAGTGACGAATGCATCAAGCCTTCGGAAATACCTGAAAAGGGTACGGTGGAGGTAAGCGGCATCGATGGCCTTGGCGGTGTAGAGGGGGCTCCACTCGGCGCCTTTGTTGATCTTGGAGCTGATGATGGAGAGGGCCTGGAACACGTTCTCGCGCTCGCTCTTCTCCCTGAGAACCTTGTGGCCGTGCAATCGGAGAATGTTGTTCAATTTCTGAATTTCGCCCTCGTAGCGCTTCTCATTGTTGAAACACTTGGCATAGTTCGGCTTCCGGAGGATCTTGTGCGATGTTCCCGCCGAGATGAAGATGCGGCTCTCCATCTTGTGTTCAAAGAAAAATAAACGGAATAAATAAGTAAACAATATTAATCTGCCATTTATTGTCGACTGGAAGAAAGAGGGAAAAGCCGGACCTAAGAAATCATCTTCATCTCCATCGGCATCGAACAATCTTGCACAGTTCCGGGCGTGCAAAACACCTCGACAGAAGCTATGCCGAAGCGAAAGGGAGGAGCTGGTAAACAACAGAGGGCGGCGGGACAGAACGGAGGAGTGGCGGCGACGGGGGGCGAATGGAAGGAGGTAGAGAAGCTGGCCACCGAGGTGGCCCTCCATCCGGAGGCCTTCGTCGGCGGTGATGAGGCCCTCTCGCATCGGCTCGCCCAGGCCACCAAGCATCTGTTCGATCTCAGTACGCGATTCTCATCTTTTCGAATTATCCTCTACACACATGATTTTTGAGAAACAATGATCAATAACGATTATGCAACAATTAAGGATGATTCACGCTACACCGTAATTTTCCTTGTTATTGTTGCTGCCGTGCCATTTGCTTTTGCTTTCATTTTCCCAATCGCGAGATTGCATTTTAATCGACCATTGATGGCGCACAGGCCGACGTTGGGAAAACACGTCCATGACACAGCACGGCGGTCCGCTCAGGGAGCTGACGCTGGACGGCTTCGACTCGGAGCAGGTGTGGGAGCAGCTGGCCCTCCACCACACTCCGCTCCTCCGCCATCTCCGCCGTCAGAGCTACAACCTCGCCGCCGCCTCCGAAAAGCGGCCCCGCACCTTCTTCCCCTTCGTACGTCTCTGTGCTTGCGCGCGTGTGCGGTGGCGTGTGCGGTGGTGTGTGTCGTGCGGTGGTGTTGATGGCGTTGTGTGTGTATGTGGTCAGGTCGGGCGCGAGCCGGAGGTGGTCAAGGAACAGCACATGGAAGAGGAAGACGAGAGCGAAGACATGGAAGAGGAGGAGGAGGAAGAGAAGGCAATGGTCAATGGCGACGAAGGCGAAGCCGCCGACGATGATGAAGAGGAGGAGAGCCTCGAGAACGGGAGCCTCGATGCTGACGTCACCGGCGAGGAAGACGAGGATGAAGGCGACGACGTGGACGAAGAGGAGGATGACGTCGAAGAAAACGAAGACAAAGAAAGCAAGAACACGAAAGCGACGAAGCAGCAGCAGCAAACGGGGAAGAAGCAGAAGAAGCAGGTGAAGGACCGGTTCTTCAGCTTTGACGACATGGAGCGCTTCATCGAGGAGGGCGAGCTCGCGGCCGAGAAGGAGCGGGACGAGGAGGACGGCATCGCGCGGAGCGACGACGACGACGACTTGGACGGCGGGCTCGCCGACGATCTGGAGGACATCGAGGCCGAGGACGAGGAGGGCGCCCTCGATATGGAGTTGATGGGCGGCGACTTCGATGAAGATGAAGACGATGAAGACGACGACGGTGGTGGCGATGATGATGATGGTGACGAGAGCGCGCTGGGCGGCGGCATCAAGTACGATCAGTTCTTCGACGCGCCGGAGGGCAACAACAACAACAACAACACCAACAAGAAGAGCAGCAACAAGAAGAAGGGGCTGGAGGAGAAGATCGCGGAGCTCGAGGACCAGATCGTGGGCGCGAAGCCGTGGCAGCTGCGGGGCGAGGTCGACAGCCGCAAGCGGCCCCTCAACTCGCTGCTCGAGGAACACGTCGAGTTCGAGACGGCCATCAAGCAGGCGCCGGTGATCACCGAGGAGGTCACGATGGCGCTGGAGGACATCATCAAGCGACGCATCGTCGAGGGCTCGTTCGACGACGTCGTGCGGCGCGAGGAGGACGAGATCGACACGCGCAAGCCGCGGCCCGAGCTCGACTTTGCCAAGAGCCAGAAGTCGCTGGCCGAGCTCTACGAGGACGAGTACCTCAAGTCGGTCGACAAGGCCAACGCGGCCAACGAGAAGCCGCAGCTCGCCGCCGTGCTCGAGCAGAAGCGCTCCAAGGACCAGGAGGAGGTGCTCCGTCGGTTCGCCCACCTGGCCTACAAGCTCGACGCCCTCTCCAACTTCCACTTCACCCCGCGGCCCGTCGTGCCCGACCTGGCGGTCAAGGAGAACGTGGCCGCCATTCGCATGGAGGAGATCATCCCCATCGGCGTGAGCGACTCGTCGCTGCTCGCCCCGCAGGAGATCTTCGCCGTCGACAGGAAGACCAGCGCACTCCCCTCCAACGACTCGGCCTCCCAGAAGAAGCTCCGCCGCAAGAAGAGGAAACACACCGGCTCCAAGGTGCGTGTCGTGCGTGTGTGTGGTGTGTGTGTGTGTGCCGTGTGTTGTGTGTGCGATGGCTGATGATGTGTGCGGCGGGCGGCAGGTGAACAACGGCATGCCCAAGGGCAAGAACGTGAAGCGGGCGGAGAAGGTGGTGGGCGGGCCGATGACGTCGACGAAGCTCTTCAAGCAGCTCACCCAGGAGAACCAGGCGGCCAAGGGCGGCAAGCTCCCCACCAAGGCCCCGCGCCAGCAGGACGCCCCCACGGGGGCCCGGAAGGACACCGGCTTCAAGCTCTAAGACACACTCGCCTTCTTATCTGCTTTCCACTCCTTATCTGCTACGTGTGGCAGGCATTCTCTCATTTTTTACAATAAAACAAACAAACAAACAAACAAAACAATACAATGATGGGGGCTGTTGATGAGGTGAAAATTGCACTGGCGGTGAGGGGTGAGGAAGGTTACGATCATGATCATCAACAGTACAGGCGAAAAGGAATTGGTCAGGGACGGGCAGGGATTGAACCCGCGCCTCAGCTTCATAAGAGCCGCATGCATGCTCCACTTACACCACCGCCCCCTCACGAAGGAGTTCACCCTTCAAACAGAGCTTCACACATGCACAAAAACACAATACGGCGCCTTCTTATCCGACAATGGCCTTGTCTACGTCTACTAGAGATATAATATATATATCTCATAGATAATGGCACACAATCTATATCATGAGATGGCAAGTACTTGAGTTCCGCAGCTGGCTCCACCGTAGCGTGGGCTTTTTACTCATTCATATAAATATTCTTTTAATTATCAGGACTCGTGCGGAGCCGGAGCAGAACGCGCACAAAGCAGCACTTCTTGCCTGCTGGCCGCCACGCGATTTCGACATCGAAAATCTGGCGCTACTCGCGGCATCTGATTGAAACCGCGGCCAACGCTGCACACAAGCTCATCAAGAAGAAGAAGAAACAGAAGGCGGACGGGGCGAACCCCGGCGTCAACCACATCAGCAGCATCAACACAGGCGACGTAGCACGTGGCGCATACCCCGCAGCCGCGGCAGAAGGAGAAGAGCAGCTGCAGGTCCTTCTACCATCAGCTGACGAGATGCAGGCTCCACCTCACGATTTGGTTGCCACTCCTTCAACGCCGTTGATGCAGCGGCGCGCCACCAACGAAGGGTACCCCTCCCCCCAAACAAAGAACGAAATCAATAAATAATAAAAACGAAGAAAGAAAGAAGACGCAAGAATGAACCGTTATAGTGGGGGGGGGGATTTTATGTAACGTTACTTTCGCTACAAACCATTGTCTCCCCCTTTCCTCTCTATTTATTTATCTCTGGTCATTTTATTTTATTTATTTATTTATTGCAGGGGTCGGGCGGTGAGCTGGCGGCGGGTGCGGACGGACAATGTAGCGGCCACCGACAGCCTCTTGCGCGGGCGCCAGGGACTCGTGGCCGCAGCCGTGCCCCGACCCGGCGGCGATCACAGCGTCATCATCCTCCTGTTTGGCGGCTTCAGCTTCGATAGTGGCGGTGGCCACCACCACCACGACCCCTCACCCGCCATCATCGCCTTCGATCCTCGTACGAGCCCTGCATCATCACCACCATCGCATGAACTCTCATAACTGTATTGTGTGTTGTGTGTCGTGTGTGTCGTGTGTCGTGTGTGTTGCAATTGGTGAATTGATCGGTTTTCAGTGCGGAATGGGTGGGAGAGTGTGGCGGAGGAGACGGCGGAGGAGGGCGAGGCGGAGTTGGAGTGCGGCCCGGGCCGACGGGCGCACCACACGGTCTGCGCGACCAACGGCCTTCTGTACTTCTTCGGCGGCGTCTCCACGAGCGACGAAACCCGCCTGGCGCCCCACGAACTTGACATCTTCAACACAGGTGTCTGTCGCGTGTCGCGTGCGTGTTGTATATATCTTTTCCAGTGCAAGTCCTAACCACCGCACACGCACGCACCGCACATGCGCGACAGAGACGAACAAGTGGAGCAGGGAGCCGATGCAGGGCTATCCGCCCTCGGCCAGGAAGCACCACGCGGCAGAGGTGGTGGGCAACCAGATGTACGTCTTCGGCGGTGTCGACAGCGACGGCACGCTCTGTCCGCCGGACATGTACATCCTGGACCTCGGTACTCCCTTCCGACCGTCCATCGTCCCTCCCGCTCTATTAACACGCGTGCGTGTGTGCGTGTGTCGTGTTGTGTCGTGTCGTGTCGTGCGTGTGCGGTCGGTGTTGAATGACAACAGCGAGCAAGATGTGCATCATGGCGTTCGCCGAGGGGCCGGAGCCGGAGTCGCGGATGGGCCACACGTGCACCCTGGTGGGCCACAAGCTCTACATCATCGGCGGCAAGGGACACGACGGTCGCCACATCGAATCCATTCACATTCTCGACACAGGTTCGCACACCGAGCGCGTGTCGTGTCGTGTCGTGTCGTGTGCGTTTCGTATGCGTTTCGTATGCGTGTCGTGTCGTGTCGTGTCGTGTGCGGAGTCTTAAGAGTTGGTGGGTGCGCGAGTGCAGCGGCGCTGGTCTGGGAAAAGGTGGAAGTGGGCCACACGCCCCTGCTGGCCTTCCACTCGGCCGCGGCCGTCGACGACCACACCATCGCCGTCTTTGGCGGCGAGGCCCCTGACGGTCAGCCCCAGCCCGACCTCTACCTCCTCAACACCGGTACCCTCCCTCTCGAAACTTTGTTTCGCTCTTGCTCACCCGCGCGCGTGTTGTGTCGTGTGCGGTGGTGCGTGCGGTGGTGCGTGTGCGGTGCGTGTCGTTGACAAATCAAAGAGAAGCTGGAGTGGAGCGTGCCACGTGTGTCGGGGGTGCTGCCGTCGGGTCGCAGCCACCACGCGTGGGCGATGGCCAATGGCCGGCTCTACCTCTTCGGCGGCGCGTCGACCGACTCTGGCGGAGCCGTCCCGCTTAACGATGTGTTCGCCCTAACGCCCCATGGTACGCACCGCTCTCTCCGTGCGTGTCGTGTCGTGCGTCGTGCGTCGTGCGTCGTGTCGTGCGTTGCAATTTTAATCATTGTCATGTTTGCGTCGTTATAGAAAATGAAGCCGAGCAGGGCTACAATCTGGTGAGTGGAGAGCAGAGCCTGATCTACCTCTCGCCCACGGAGGAAATCGAGGATGAGGAAGAAGTGGTCGTGGATGAAGCCGAAGAGGAAGTGGAGGTCGTCGTCGCCGGCCGCGAGCGCAGATCGGCCGCGAACGGCAACAACAACTTTCAAGAGGAAGTGGAAGAGGAAGTGGTCGTCAAAGCCTCCACCGCCACCACAACCACGACGACCGAGCGATGGCGCGAGCGGCAGCGAATTGAGGGCACCATGATCGAGGTCCGGTTCACTGAATTCCTCACCATTCATAGCATTCCAAAAAGCTGACGTGGCTTTCATGGCGCAGGTGCGGGTGATCAACACGAAGGCGCAGGAAGAGGAGGAGACGGTGGTGTCGACGTCGAATCGACCCAAGTCGCCCGAGGTCGTGCGACACAGCAGCAACCACCACCACCATCGGGACAAGAAGGCGAGCGGAGAGCGACGACGCGTGAGCAAGAAGGCGAGCGATCCCGAGCACCGCGGTGGCCAACACAAGAAGCACCAGAGCGGCGAGGAGCGATCGCCGCCGCGTCCGACGCTCAGTAGTAGTGGGTCGCCTCCGTCGGACCGCAAGCACGCCATCATCGAGCGGCTGGAGGAGAACCAACGCCAGTTTAGGTACCCGGCAAAGATTAGATCTAATCTGATCGAAATGTTAGTTCGTTTGTTTAGCTCCTATGTGAGGTGATCTTAACCCGAACGTGGCACGTTGTTGACGTCGCGCAGGTCGGACTTGTTGATCGACATTCGAAGCTCGGCTTCGGCCGGCCGGGCGGCCGAGATCGCCGCTCTCCAGCCGCCGCCTCAACCAGTTCAGAAGGCCGGCAAGAAGAACGACCGCGCTGGTATGAATTCCTGTCCTAGCAATGCACGCACGCGCGCACACCACCATACACCACACACAGAACTCAAATCACGCGCGCGCAATCACGCGACAGGGGAGGAGAAGCCCCACCAGCCGGGGCGCAGGAAGTCGTTCGGCGCGCTGGTGAGCCGACTGAGCGATCTCCGGCCCCGCACCACGCGTCACACGCGCGCCGATTCGTCGGCTTCGTCCCCCATGCACGCGGTCGACGACGAGGGCGGAAGCGGCAGCGGCGGAAGGAATCGGAGCAAGTCGCGGAGTCAAGAAGTTCTGCGCACCTCAGCGGCCACGCTCGATGATTTTTCCTCCGCACAGCTTGGCGAGGCGTCGTCATCGTCGATGTCTTCGTCTTCGTTCTCTTCGTCGTCGCCCGCCACGCCGACGAAGTCAGACGAGTCGCGAGAAAAGAGCGAAGAGAAGAAAAAGCGAAGAGCGAGATCGAAGAGCCAAGACATGAAGTCGCCCGCCAAGAAGAACAAGACGACGACCCCGACGACAAAGAAGAAGGCGCAACGTACCAAGTCATCGTCGTCGGTCAGCAGAGCGAAGCGCGCAAAGAGCGAAGAAAAGAGCGAAGGCTCCTCCAGGCGGGAGACTAAGAGCAGCGGCAGCAAGAAGGAGCGGAAGAAGGGCTCGTCGCCGACGTCGCTATCCAACAACAACGACAACAACAGCAAGAAGAAGGTGCCTTCGGCGCCATTCCCCTTTGCCTCGTCGACGTCGGCGCCCCAGCTCAGCAAAGGCCAGCGATCGCCGCGCGACGCGATGATGCTCGGCGTGCGGTTCCTCTCCGACACAAGCCACTCACTCTCCCGCTCGCGCTCCCTGATCGAGCCCGTCAGCACCCTCGACTCGCCGCCCCTCGACACAGAACCGCCCCTCCTCCAGGGCTGGCTCACCAAAAAAGGTACGCCTCGCGCCTTTCGTTCTCGTTCTTCGTTTTCGTTTTCATTTTTTCTTCGCTTTCGTTCTTTGTTCTTCGTTCTTCAGCTGACTTGACGGGGGGGGGGACGTCAGACAACAAATCGGGCGAGTGGAAGATGCGGTGGTGTCGTCTGCTGTCCTGCCCCGCCGCCATCCAGTTCTACAAAGACGTAAGAACACACTACGCACACTTTTTGCTCTTCATTCTTTTCATTCTTTGTTCTTTTTTTTGCATTCACTGCGCAGGAGACCACGCCTCTGGGCAGCATACCGCTGGTGGGGGCGCTGCTGCGTGTGAACAGGGTCGACGTGAAGAAGGGCCTGCGGTCCGATCTGGCCTGGAGCGTCGCCAGCCCCGGTACGCACACACGTGTGCGGTGTCTGTGCGCGCGGTGTTTTTGACGCGTGTCGTGTGTGTCGTGTGTCGTGTGTCGTGTGTGTTCCAAAACAGGCGAGCCGGAGAGCACGTTCGTGGCCAAGAGCGCGAAGCAGAAGCGCAAGTGGGTGGAGGCCATCCGGCAGGTGAGCGAGGCCGCGGAGGAGTGGAACGGCGACCGCGCCGCCGCCGCACAGTGCCTCGCGGTCGAGATCGCCGACATCGACCGCCAGATGGCCGAGCTGGCCCAGCTCAAGGCCCGCAAGGCCCACCACCACCGCCTCCTCTCCGACGACGACGATGGCGATCAGCACCCGGCCAACGCCAACGCCGATGGCGAGGGCGAAGAGGACACGTCATCCTCCTCTACCACAACGACGACGGGCAGCAGCAGCCTCGACCCGTTTGGCTTCGTCACCATGACCAGCCAGGACATACGCTTGGCCCTCGCCGCCGGTTCGTCCCCAAACCACTCGTGTGCTTGTGCGTGTGTGCGTGTGTGTGTGCGTGTGCGTGTGCGGGTGCGGGTGTTAAAATAAGGGGTTGCAGGGCGACAGCAGATGAAGAGGGAGGACGAGGCGCAGAAGAGCAGCGAGAGCATGGAGCGAGAGGAGACTCGGCGGCCAAGTTCGAAAGAGGAGGAGGAAGAAGAGGTGGTGGAGGGGAGCGAGGAGTGGAGCGAGGAGTGGAGGCGGTGCATGGATATGAGCGTGCGGGACCTCGTACGCGAGCTCATACGCTACCGGCGCCTGGCGGCCCAGCTGGCTGGTGGTGGCCACCCACCAGCCTCGCCACCGCAGCCGCCCAAGGGCTCCTGACCCGGAGAAGACCAGTGCTCGTCTCCTCCTGGCCTACAAAACCCCCTGTTGCACAAGAAAAAGTGTTTCTATCAGCTCTGTGTTTTGTGTCACGTGTTGGTGCAGGTTCTGCAAGCATTGTGGGAGAAAGAAAAGGTTGATGTGCCTCATGATGATGCTGGGATGAGCTGGACGAGGAGGGAAGCCAAAAGGAGACAGAAGACCCTTAGACCCGAGGGAGAAAGGAAGGGAGGGATGAAGAGGTAAAAAGGATACGGCACGGTGGATTCCCGGGTGGTCGCCCACCCCAGTACTAACACCGCCTGGCGCAGCTTAACTTCGCTGTTCGGATGGGAAGCGGTGCTTTCTGCGCAGTATGGCCGTATCCGTCCGTCAACAGTGCCACGTGCGACGGACGTTCGTGCGTTTTGGTTCTTTTGGCCGACGACTTGCCAGTGTCGCGACACGACACGACGTGTTGTAGTGCCAGTGTGCAGGGAAGAAAGTTTGTCGTGTGATGACGTTTAGTGGATGGGCAAGCCGGTTTCGCCAGAAGAGGAGCGGGCGAGGAGGGCGAGCTTGAGCCGCTGGTTCTCGGAATAGAGGCGGGCCAGCGCGGCGTCCCTCTCCTCCAACACCTGACGCACCACCGACAGCGGCGCCATCGCCTCCTCCCTACGCGTAGGGACACAACAAACCACGACACACAGCATGACACGCACGCCGCAAGCACACGCACGACCGGACGAGCGTCAGTGGACCACACGCATTGCACGAACAATGTGGCGCGTGCGGCCGGGGAAGCGCAGTACCGCGGGCGCGGGCTCTTTTTCTCGGGGGCCGCAGGGCGGGCGCTCGCCTTCTTCCGTCGCTTGGGGTGGTGCGCCGCCGCCGCCGCCGTGGCCGTCGTGCCCTCCGCGTCTGGTCGTTTTCGCGCCTCCGATCTGCTTCTCGTGGTGGCGCTGGTGCTGGTGCTCGACGTGGCAGTGGCGAGTCGCTCCTTGACCTTCGCTTCGCTCCCCGTGGTAGTCGTCGTGGTGACCATCGTCGTCTTCTCTCGCGTCGTCTTCGGCTTCGGCTTCTTGGCGTTGGCGTTGGCGTTGGCGTTGGCGGTGGTGTCCCGCTTTCGCTTCTTTTTGGCGCGCCCTCGTCGTCGCTGGTGGTGGTACCTGCTCGCCCCCCGTGCGTGAGTGTCATCACTATTTCATTTCGGCCCGCGCTGTGCGTCGTGTGCGTGTGCGTGTCGTGACGCACTCGTCGTCGGATATGATGTCCTCATCGTCGGGAATGCCCGCGGCGGTCCGCCGTCGCTTTCTCCGGTTGTCGTAGTCCTCCTCGTCGTCGTCCTCGATCACCTCGTCCTCCGTGCCGCTGCTTCCCATCAACACCGGAGTCAGTCCTTGCCCGCCCACGCACGACACACACGACACACACACGACACGCGCACACGGTCGCGAAAGGCGGTAAAAACCTGGTGTCGGCGACGTGTTGTCCGGTGGAGGACCCCCGTATGAACCCCTCCCGCAGCCGCAGGAAGAACGTCGACCCGGCACCACCGCCGCCACCCGCAGGCGGCGGAGGCGGCGATGAATGGCCGCCGGCGCCGCCGTGATGATGGGCAGCGCTGCCGGCCGGCAACGATGACGACGCCTCGGACTGGTCGCCGCCGCCGTCGCTGCTGCGGTGCTCCGAGCCGGCGGGGCCGGCTGACGTGGGTGTGGCGGTGGTGGCCGAGGTGGTCACATGGCCGCGCAGGCGCGTGTTGAGTGCTGGCAGGTGCACCGACGTCTGCTCCGTCGTGCGCAGGCCTCGAAGCAGCGCACCTGTGCACGTGGCGTTCGTTCGCTTCAGTTTTCCACATGTAGACGCACCGCACTCATGTAGACGCACACGCACACGCAGTGTCGGAATGTGGAAATGTGTACCAGGCGGACGGGCAGGGGCGGTGGCGTGGGAGGAAGGTGGTGGTCGAGGTCGGGCTGGCCCTGCCGATGATGGCGGCGGGTGCCGCTCGTGCTGCGACGAGGGGCTTCTTCTCTGGGGAGCTGTGGAGGAGGGAACTGCGGCTGCTCGCGGGAAGGGCGTGCATGGCGGTTGTGTAGAGGTTGAAGATGAAGTTGTTGTCGATGATGTTGTTGATGGGCAAGTAGCGGCAGGGGTGAATGAAGATGAAGAAGAAGAGGATGAAATCGCGGAGGAGCTACTCGGGAAGGATTGGCGTAGAGGGAGGTGGGGAGGGGCCGGCAGGGGGGTGCGGGCGGCGTGCAGACCTGCGGCGTCGTCGAGGAGCAGAGGCGACGTAGAGCATTCAGATGACGATGAGGAGGGGCGAGGCGGGGTGGACCATGGCCGGCACGGGATCTCATCGGGCGGCCCCTCCTTGAAGGTCACCCGCTTTTTAATTATTGCCTGCTTCTTCATTTCAGCAGATCCAGGCCGTAGCCTCGCCTCTCGTGGCTTATCTTTCTCGGCACAAAACGATATAGATTGTTTATTATTTCAATTTGAGAATTGAAATTATTGAATGGTGGCCTCTTCTTCAGCAACGTCGAGGTACTGTACAGGAAGAAGAAGGAGAGCAGATGTCTCATGCATGGATCACGCTTGCGTTTGGTTCTCCTCCTGCGAAGGGGTGCCGTCTTCTTCAAGGAAGGAGAGGTCGTCACCGTGTGGCACCGATAAGCCGCGCTCCTCGAGCCACGTCGTGTTGTAGATCCTGCTGTTGTATCGCTGCCCCGAGTCGCACAACACAGTCACTGCACACACGACACACACCACCGCACACGCACACACGACACACAATGTAAGGAATGTGAAAAAGGCAAGGTTGAGGCTGGGTGAGTGCGTGCCGATGGTGTGTCCGGGGCCGAGCTTGCGTGCGAGCTTGACGGCGCCCACGCAGTTGAGGGCCGACGACCCGCCCACGAACAGGCCGTCGTGGCGCAGCAGGTGGTGCGCCATCGCCACGCCTTCCTGCTCGCTCCCCTGGAACGCTCCGTCGTACCGCTCCACCTGCGCCCCCTCCCAGCATCAACCACCGCACACGCACTACCGCACCACCGCACACGCTAGGATCGCATACCTGGGTGAAGTTCTCGGTCTGTCGGTTGACGCCAACGCCCTCGTAGAACGAACGCGCGCTCAGCGGCTCCACGGTCATCGTGTCTTGCCTAAAGAAAGGCGAATAAGGAGGTCCCTTTAGGATAAAAATAATCTGAATTATAAAGTATAAAGAAATCAAATTATTATATCATTATATATATATATATATCTAAATTGTAAGAATAGGATCCGTACGGGTGGAACATGACGCCCTTGGTGACGAGGTGGTACAGACCGCTCCCCGGCGGGTCCACCAGATAGCTCACCACCGCCGGATTCTTTTCCTGTAATGCACATAGCATACATTGGATCATCACCATCAGTCGTCACCAAAGGCGCCGTGCGCGTGCGATTGTGTGCGTGCCTTGAGATATTTGGTGATGCCGGCGAGGGTGCCACCAGTGCCTGCGCCCATCACCACCCCGTCCACCCGCCCGTTGGTTTGGTCCCAAATCTCCGCACCCGTCCCTGTGCGCACACACCGCACACCGCACACCACACACGCATGATGACGTCAGCACCGAGCTGATGCTGACGTCAGCAAAGGGCCTGCGTTGGGCTGCGTGCCGTGATAGTGGGCGCGCATGTTGGCCAGGTTGTCGAACTGGTTGCAGTAGTAGGCGTCGGGGTCGGCCAACGCGCACGACATGGCGTAGTGCATGAAGTGCTCCGGCTGACTCATCGGCATGATCGGCACAATCTATGCATGATGCACATTGCGTGTTGCGTGTTGTGTTCAGCGGGTGTGTTGCGTGTGTTGCGTGTCGTGCTGTGTCGTACCTTGATTTTGGCTCCGAGGGTGGTGAGCAGGTCGACCTTCTCAGTGGAGACGTTGTCGGGCAGGTAGAGCTCTACCTCGTACCCGCGCGCTCGCCCCAGCAGCGCCAGCGCGATGCCCGTACTGTGCACCCACAGCGGAAGCATCAGCCCAGGTCACGCTGACGTCAGCAGCAGCGCAGCAGAAAATGAAGTGCGCGGGGCTGGGGGAGGGGGAAGTGGGGCGGGTGCCTGCCGGCGGTGGCTTCGACGAGCTTGGAGACGCCCGGGCGGAGCTTGCCCTCGCGCTCGGCCTCGACGATGATGTTGCGCGCCACCCGATCCTTCACGCTCCCGCCCGGATTCACTGCGCGCCACCGTCAGTGACGCGCACCCGACACACGGCACGACACGCACGACACACGCTGCCCCACGTACTGAATTCGGCCTTGGCGAGGATGGTGCAGCCTGTAGCCCGCGACAAGCTCTCTATCTGCACAAGGAATTTAAATCATACAATTAAAAAAATAATAAGATAAAATAAAACTTGACATCGGCTGGTTATATTTATTTAGAAATAAAAACATGTTATTTGTGAAGAAAAAAAGATTGAAAAAAAGGTACCCGGAGGAGCGGGGTGTTGCCGACGGTGTCGAAGAGGGTGGTGACGTGGTCGGTAGCGACAGAGGATGAGGAAGAGGAAGAGGATGAAGATGACGAGGATTTAATCTTGTCTCGCCGGCGGAAGAGGCGAGTCTCGTACCAGAGGTAGGCCCCGCTGGCCGCCACGCTGGCCAGGCCCACCGCCACGGCGGCCCAGACCAGCGACGTGGCCTCCCTCCTCACCAGCCCGTGGCCGCTTCCGCTTACGCCCCAGCCCTCCATTTCGTTGATTTATTTTATGTTTGTGTTTTTCAACTGAAATTATTTGGGCTGACGTGGCACCGACCAAACGGCACGCGGTGCAGAAAAGTCGCAGGAAAGAGAACACACAAACAAAAAACAAACAAAAAAAAATAGAACAAGAAGATGGAGGGTCCGGTGGTGGTCGGACATTGGATTGCCGACGACGCCGCTCCGCGGTGTGCTCACTGTTGCGAAAAATTTACTGGCATAAACCGCAAGGTCCGCTCTTCTCTTACCTTATTCTACATATTTATATATATATGATATTAATTATTTAGATATACTCATATTCATTGTTTATGCTCCTTTGTGGACAGCACCACTGTCGCCTGTGTGGTACGTTTTTTCCCTCCTTCCTTCGCTTTTCTTCGTCGCATTCGCTCTTTCGTTCTTTAGAGCTGATGGCGGACCCGGCGGGCTGCGGCAGGGAACGTGTTCTGCGCCAAGTGCGTCGAATGGCGCCTCACCCACGCCGAGCTGGGGCTGGACGACCAGAAGGGCTGCCGGGACTGCCACCAGTTCCTCACCATCGCCCTTCCCCTTCTCCTACGAGGTGCGCTCACACTTTATACGTCGTGTGCGGTGGTGCGTGTCGAGTCGTGTGTGACATGTGACGTGTCGTGTGTGTCGTGTGTGTCGTGGCGTGTGCGGTGGGCCTTACATCTGTACTGTAGGGAAGACGTTTATCTACTACACAGAGGAGCGAAAGAGGGTCGCGACGGTCTCGCTCCACGATGAGTGGTCCCACCTCCTCATCCGACCCCTCCCCTTCTTCGCCCCCACCCCCGCCACACCCCTCCTCCTCCGCCCCTCCACCTCCACCACCTCTTCATCATCGTCGTCGTCATCATCTTCTTCTTCACCATCACAACCGCTGGGCGACGACGACGAGCTCCTCGATCTTGCTCGATTCAACTGCGTGCTCGACGGCCAGCAGACGCCCGTCTTCCAGAGCTACCAGCCCCACCCTCTCTTCTTTCTTTCTTCGTTCTTTTGCGGCGCCGGCGCCGGCGGCGGCAGCGACGACGTGGCCGTGCTGTCGCCCTTCTGCTTCTCGGTCCTGTTCGGCGGCCGAGAGCACGGGTCGCTGTACGGCAGCGACGTGCGGACGATCGATCTGCAGGCCGAAACGCTGGAGGACAAGCAGGCCTTTGTGGCGGCGTTGACGTGGTTCGCCCGCTGGCGCGCGACGCAGGGCGGCCGCCTGTTCGGCGTGTTCCGGGCCGAGCGGCGCAAGATGGCGCGACGCGACGACGAGGCGCAGCGGCGGGAGGCGGAGGGCGAGCAGCGACGCGAGACGGCGGCGGAGTCGCGAAGGGCGCGCGATCGCTACCACGCCTCGCGCGACGCCATGCGCGACAAGTACGGCCTGAGCGGCAGCACGACGAGCCTCGTCGATAAATAAAATGATAATAATAAAATGAATAAATAATGACACCCTCCAATCTATTCAACAAAAATAAATAAAATCAGGTAATAAATAGTATATGAGACAGGCATTAGTCGTGGCAGGGGAGGGTGATGTCGAAGCCGAGGAAGAAGGAGTGGTGGGCCACCGAGTAGCCGGCGTCCACAGTACCGTTCAAGTGCAGCGGCAGCTCACCTGCGAAGTATCGCGTGTCGTGTCGTGCGTCGTGCGTCGTGTCGTGCCGTGCCGTGCCGTGAGACGTGAGACGTGAGACGTGAGACGTGAGAAAGGGGGCAGAGGGGGAAGGGTGGTGGAAACCTTTGAGGCCGCAGTCGTCGAGGAAGTGGGCCAGCACCTCGGGCGCGGGGTTGTCGAGGGTGACCACCACGCCAAAGGGCTGCAACAACACACCACCAACACAGGACGCGAACTCGTCAGGAATGTGTCGCACACTCTTGCCGCCACGTGTGCGAGAAAGAGAGAAAAGGAAATAAAAAGAGAGAAGAAGAGAGAAAGAGATAAAAGGGCGACAAAGAAAGAAGGAGGGACGCACCTGGTCGACCGTTCTCCCAGGGAACACGTGCTTCTTCTCTAGCCGCGTCTTGCCCACGGCGACTGATCGATGGTACACCGTCATGTTGATGCTCTGCACGAACATCACAACATCATATGGGTGAGAACTTTTTGAGTCTTGTGTCGTCGTGTTCGTGTGTGGTGTGTGGTGTGTGGTGTGTGGTGTGTGGTGTGTGGTGTGTGGTGTGTGGTGTGTGGTGTGTGGTGTGTGGTGTGTTACGTGTGCCGCGTGTGTTGTGTCCGCACGCGTGTGCGATGGATGGATTGCCAAGCGTACGTGGACGGAGAGGGAGACGTAGTTGGGGTTGTCGATGACGAAGTTTTCGGTGAAGTTGAGGACGAAGGGAACGAGCTGGAGCGTGAGGTTGCTCTCGCCCTTGCGCTCGATCGTGGGCATGCGCGGGAACAGGAAGTAGGCCGTCACCGCCACCGCCAGCAGCACCGCCAGCGTCACCGCCACACACACGCCCCAAATCGCCCGTTTGTTCCTGGTGTGGCCCCAAGATCCACGTCAGACACGACACACGACACACGACACACGACACACGACACACGACACGATGGAGTGGCGTGTACAGACAAGGCCGGCGCGGCTTGATAAAGCGGTTGTCGTGGTAGTGGTCGGTGTCGTAGGCGGGTACGGCGTAGGCTGGGGCAGAGCCGAGCAACGGGGTACGCTCCGGATAGCCCTGGCCGCCGGCGGGCGCCGAGCCGTAGCGGTGGGGCGTGTAGGTCGGACCGCCGCCGTAGCCGCCCTCGCCGCCCGCCCCGTAGCCTCCGCCGTAACCTCCACCGTAGCCGCCGCCGTAGCCGCCTCCGTAGCCAGCTGGGGAAAATAACAAAAAAAATAAGAGTTATGATTGATAATTCAAAAAAAAATTACTAATTATGTATTCACATATTTATCTTCCTTTGCCCTTCGTTCCTGTTCTTCCGTAGGAAATCGGTCAAAATAAAAAAATAAAAAATAATCCGAAATTAAGCGTACCAGGCGAGGTGGGAGCGGAGTTGTAGGCGTACTGCTGCTTCTGCTGTGGTGAGTGCATCGCCCCTTGGGGTGTAATTTGATTGATTGAGGGCGCGTTGTGGGGCCAGAAGCAGGACCCACAGCAACCACTGCTCTCTGGTTGCCCATTCGACGTTTGAATTCGCGAGAATTGTCGGAGCTCTTTACTTTTCTGGGGCGGTTACCTGAATTGGTGCGAGCGCCCCTTCCGCCAGTGGCGGTTTGTTCAAAGAAGAGGTGCCCGCGGGGAACCAGTAGCCAGACCACGCCCACCCATGAAACAGCTCTTCCGTTCCACATTCTGACACTACTAGATGTTTTAGGTCGCATGGCTCTTATGTCGGTTCGGCTGCAACCGTGAATTAGGTCAAAAGAAACATCCAAATTAGGTCAGCTTTCAGCTTAACCGACTGTGAGATTGCAAGGAAGTGCGCACCACAACGTAGCACAGCCATGTGACGGCATGCGGGCACACGGCAAAACTAACAGCCATGCCACTAAAAATGAGCGGTAGGCGGGCGGCCCATCTACATACACGCGGCATTCCGCAGGTCTAGCGGCGCCGGCGACATTCGGGCGTGGCTTCCCGAGAAGGTGGCGCGCAAGAACGGGCCTGCGCGCTTGGGAGTGCTTCGCGCTTATTTGGAATTTCTTTTCTCGCCGAGACCGGATTTCCATCAAACCGTTCGATTTCTGATTGGCTAAAAACTGGTAAAAGCGAAATTTCGGGTGCAAAAATCCGACGACCTATTTTCCGACTGGCGCTCCGGAAATGCGGCGCGAGGAACGCCACTTTTTAGTGGCCGCCTCGCCGATCATCAGAAGCCGGGCGAAGTGGCTAAAGGTGCGACGGCGTGGGTCGGAGGTTTTAGCCACTTGAGCCAAAGGCCTTTTGCGTGCCAACCTCATAAAACCAACCGACCCACAGACCCTTCGCACCTCTTACTCGAGCCACTAACAACTACAAGAAGAACAAGAGTTACCAACCTACCCTGATCAAGACATGACGACCTCCTTGGACATGTTCAGGAGTCAACAACAAGAGGCCGCGCGGGCGCTGTTCGAAATGAGCGGACTCTCGATGGCTGCGAACACGACGACCTCTTCACTGACACCACCCACGTTGGGCGCGCCTCTCTACCTCCTGCCCGACCTCCACCTACGTCAACCGCAACAACCACCCAGCCACAGCCACCACTACAACCATCTGCTCCTTCCTCCTCACCTCTTCATGAGTGGCGGAGCCCTCTTCATGCCGGCCTTCCCGGTCTTTCCCTCACCTTCCGTCAATGCCGGGCCGGCGACTTCGGCAGCAACCGTTACATGCCAGAACCCGTCGGCGGCCGGCGAGAAGCGCCTGTCGGTGGCCTACCTCCTCAACTCGGACGAGCCCCCGATGTCGACGTCGACGACGATACCGCCCACCTTCCTCAAGCAGGAGCAGCCCTCTTCGCCCGAACTTCATCATCAACCCAAGCGCAAGGCGCCGAGCTCGTCCAAGGCCCAGAAGAGCCATGCCAAGCGATCCAGGACTGCCTCTACTTCTTCTTCTTCTTCTTCGCCACTTGCTACGCGACCATCATCCCTACCGGCCGCCGCGACGACGTCGACCACGACGACCACGACGGCCATGGCCGCTACGTTCAAGGGCGACCTCAGTCTGTTCCCACACCTTCAGCTCCAGCTCCAGCGCGAGCAGCTCGACCCGCAGCAGCACACCGAGCTCGTGCTCAAGGTGTGGAACCGCCAGCAACAGGTGCTCAAGCTCCAGCAGCTCCAGCAGAAGAAGCAGGAGCTCAAGGCCCAGCGTCTCCAGCAGCGCCTCCAGCGCAAGGGCCATGGCAAGGCCGTTGTCGAGTCGACCCCCGGCTCTCCGCCTACATCGTCTTCAACAGCGTCGCCTTCATCACCTACGCCAGCCTCGCCGCCCAGCTCTACATCGTCGGCCGACGTGGTGTCGGCGGCGCTGCCCACGCTCGACGAGATCCTCAACGGAGCCGACGCCCAGGTCGACGAGGCGAGCGACGAGGACTCGAGCAACAACAACTCGAACATAAATAAGAAGAAGACGAATTCGAGTAGCGGAGGCGCGGACGCGAAGAAGCCACGGCGACGCATCACGGCGCAGCAGGTCGCCGTGCTCGAGCAGGTGTTCGCCGTGGAGCCCTTCCCTGGGCCGTCGACGAAGAAGGTGATCGCCAAGAAGCTGGGCATGCAGGAACGTAGCATCACCATCTGGTTCCAGAACAAGCGCGCCCGCCTCAAGCGCATCGAAGGAGGTCACGGCGACAACAACAACGGCGGCAGCAACGAGGGCGAGGGCGGCAGGCGCGAGGTGACCTTCCACAACCTCGCCGTGGGCTTCGACGGCAAGCTCGACATGCTGCCCGAGGACTTCTGAGTCCTTGGTTCTCATATTGGCTCTTTGTACATAGTCAGAGATATTGAAATGTGAATACGATTGAATGGATGAAGGCGCATCCTTGTCTTGTAGTCAGATCTAAAGCTCAGGAGAAGGTTGAAAAGAAAGGTGTTTGTTTTGATCTTTTCCTTTTTCTCCTCTTGCGCTACGCTTTGCCGCGGTCAGACTTCGCTTGAGTCCTTGCTTGCGTTTGCAGATCAGATGTCGTTCTTGCAGAAGATGGGCGTGTCGGTGCGTTCATGGAAGGAGTTCGGCAACACGAACAAGCTCCAGCTGCCCAGTGTGTCCAACCCCAACCTTCTCCTACAAAGGCTTCAGACCAATGTGATGCATTGGTCTGGAAACTACCTCATCATCAGCGCTGTCATCTTCGGCTATGGGCTGTACGTAGCCACTCATCCTCTTCAATTCATGAATTCATGAAGTCACGTAGCGCCAATCGCAGCCCATTCCCAATCTCTCCTCCCATTTCATCTGCATCTCTTGGATTTGTGTTTGGGAGGCCTTCTTCTCAACATCGCTGTTCTTTAGATTCGCGGCTCCCCTCATGATCGTGGCGATTGGATTCGCGTTCCTGGCCTACTCGTACTTCATGGTGATCAATGCGACCCCCATGCGTGTTGGCGGCACTGAGGTAGCGCACCTTTCCACCGCAACGAGCCGTTCGACTCTCGGCTCATGCTCTCATCTCCTCTTCTTCTCTTCTTCTTCAGCTCAACACGAAGCAGAAGATCGGTGGCGTGGTGGCCATCACCGCCTTCCTCTTCTTCATCACGTCGGGCTTCACCATCCTCTGGGTAGCCGGCATCGCCTCCCTCGGTACCTACCACACACACAACACACAACACACGCACGACACGACACGCGTACGCACTTCTCACACACGCGTTTCTTCATTGGCGCGCGATCGGTGGTGCAGTGGTCCTGTTGCACGCGGCCCTGCGCCAGCCGTCGCTAGGCAGCAAGGTGTCGTCCTTCCTCGACCACTTCTCGCCCGACGGCACCGGCCAGGACCCTGTGACGCCCTTCCAGGATGTCTCAGAAGCCATTCAGGTGACTTAGGCTCTTCTCTTGCGTCTATAGCGTGTGCGTGTGCGTGTGCGTGTGCGTGTGCGTGTGCGTGTGCGTGTGCGTGTGCGTGTGCGTGTCGGTCGCACTCACTTCTATGTAAACACACACAGGACATGCAGGACGACGCTGACCAGCAGCAGGGGTCCATGCGGCGGGAGGAGTGGGACGCCCAGCGCGAGCAGTACCACCAATTCGCTTCACAGATGCGGGTACTGCGCACTTTTTCCTTTCGCTCGTGTGTGGTCGTGTGCCATTGTCCAGGCCGGCGGCTCACACAACGATCCCATCATCCACACGCGGCAGACCAAGTACGACCTGGCCCCACAGGAGCCCAAGGACACCGTCTAGACGTTGGCCGAAGCGGGGGGGGGCATAGCGAGGCGAGGCCCCTCCTCATATCACCATAACCTTCACACACTCCACTTCACACGTTTTCATTCCATCACATCAAGAGAGAGACTACAACACGAAACGCACACATCGCTTCATCCCGACTCACTGGTTCCACACACAGTCACCGCTCATCGTTTCCTGTTGTGCGCAGCCAACCCCCACCGTCATCAGACTCACGGCACACGGCACACGCATGGATGGTGCGTACGCCTTCGAGGAGAGGGTATTCGGCGAGGGCGTCGAGCACGGCGCATCCGCCGTCCCTCTCGAGCTGCCGCGTGGTGGCGTGGTCGAGGAAGGCGCCCGACCTCCGCTGGGCCAGCACGATCGTCGCCGCCGACGCCGTAATCGTGCCCCGGCTGCAGTGCGCCAGATGGAACCTGCGCGCGCGCGTGCGGTGAGTTTGCATGAACGGCGCGTGCGGTGTGTGCGGCGGCGCGTGCGATGCGTACAGATGGAAGGTCTCCATTTCGAGGGAGGCCACGTCAGGATGAATCTCGAGCACCTCGTCGAGGAGGGTCTCGTTGTAGTCCTCGAAGTGCGTCGTCACACGACCTGTCCACCCATCCACCCATTCATGAGCTCGTGCGTCGCGTGTGTCGCGTGTGTCGTGCGTGTCGTGTGCGGTGTGTCGAGAAACACACCTTGGCTGCTGTAGAAAGAGTCGCCGGTGATGTTGAGTCCCCGGTGGATGATCTCGGGCCGCACCGACTTCTCGAGCTTGGCCGTAATCTGCGCCCGGGCGGCACACGTCAGTCGTGTGTTGTGTTGCACCACCGCACACACGACACACGACACACGACACACGACACACGACACACGACACACGACACACGACACACGACACACGACACACGACACATCGAGGGAGACGGGGAGCGGGTACGAGTTCGGAAAGGGTGGCGTCGGCGGGGAAGATCGTGGAGAGGGCGTAGTAGTCGAGGGCCTTGCGCGCGCCCTCCTTCTGGGCGCTCTCCAGGAAGGCGTCGTACTTCCTCGTCGCGCAAATCGAACCCTAGAAATCGAGAATAAGAAAGAAATAAATAAGTAATTAAAAAAACGAATGCAGCGACCCTAATAATAATAATAAATTAATAATTGATAATAAATAATCAAAAATAAATACCTTGGAGGCGACGCAGATGGAGCCGATGGGGATGTCGGTCTGCGGGGTGCCGCACGTGCCAAAGCGAGCGATCACCATGGGACCCTCCACGATTGCCCTGCAGCGCCAGCCCGTGTGAGACGCTGCTAGGAACACGACACGCAGCGCACACGACGCACGACGCACGCAACCGCGTACCTGCACTCGCGCACAACAAAATCGATCATGGGAATGCCCATGCCCGTGGCGATGATCGTCATCGGAACCTGCAACAGCACAACGACCATCGCACACGCACACATGTAAGTCGTTGCAGCGGCACAAGAAAGAAATAGAGAGAACACACAAACAAAAATAGGAAATAGGAAATGACAGATAATAACAGACCACACAGTAACATAAAGAAAGAAAGAATGTAGAGAGATATGAATAGTTATGAAAAAATAAGATAACATAAGATAACATAATTTAGTTAATATATTATTTTTACCCCCTTCCGGCGTCCGGTGTGGATGACGAAGCCGCGAGTGGAGGCACGCGTGAAGGTCTTGGACGGATCGTCGAAGAAGGTGGCCAGCAGCGCCGCACGCCCCGAGTCGCCCACGCTCAGGATCCTGTTCGCCACTGCAGTCACAACAAGACACGCACGGCACACACATGGCACACATGACACACAGGCAGGGTGAACAACGGTTGTGGCAAGACACCAGACCGGCAGGAGATGGAGATGAGAAAGATTGTGTGCAATGGAGATGGGGGGGGGGCCATGTATACCTTCGCCGGCCTTGACGCCCAAGTGGTAGACCCGACCCTCGGCATCCATGGGGAAGTTGGCATTCGACAAATCGCCCACCTACGTCGCAACGATCGAGTTTTTTAATAGTGAAAAGAGTTATTTTAAACAATGGACCGTAATTTGAAGGCATGAAACAAACAATAAATAAATCGATGAAATGGGCCGGCCAGGGTACCTTCTTGGGATCGATGGAGGAGATGGGCTTGGGTGTCACTTGGATCTCCACTTCCTTCTTCTCTTCGCCCTGAGTCTGCATGGTTGGTTGGTGTGGATGATCGCGTTACGCGTTGCTCTTCTTCTGCCGGCGAAACAAAAAATAAACAGATAATTATTGGTGGCAAATGTTATCATTTTTTATTATATTTTGTATTTTTTTCGCCGATAACGAAACAGCCAACGAACGTTTGTTTTGTGGTTGATCCCACCCAATCGCGCAACAGCTTCATGCAGGCGTCGGGGGTGGACACAACGACGGTGGTGATGGTGAGGGCGATGGTGATGACGAGGCTGACGATGATGACGATCCCACGATGGGTGCTGGTGAGGTTGCTACTGCTTGGCGTCTTCCTGCGGCTCAGCCTTAGTGTCCTTGCGCACGACGCCCTTGTACCCCTCCTTCCAGTGCATCTCGCGGATGTTCTGCATCGAGAGATACTCCCGCTTGATGACTTCCGCGATTTCCTGATGGGGGCGTGAGTGAAGTGTGTGCCGTGCGTGTCGTGCGTGGTGAGTCATGACGCTCTCACCGCCCGCTCACTGACGACGTGGCACTATCATTGAGAGGAGAGAGCGAGAGAGAAAGAGAGAGAGAGAGAGTATGTGTGTACCTCTGCATCACGGAACTCGCTCCAGTTGACCTTGATGACGGGAATCACTCGGCTGATATCAGCGATGAAGATCTCGTAGGCGTTGTACAGGTTTTGCAGGTATTCGAGAGGGATCGTTTTCTCGCACTCTCGGGCACTGCGTGGAGTTCAAAGGGGAGCGAAAAGCAAATGTGAGTTCAACAGCTGGACGGAGAAGAGCGTGTTGGTGTTTGGTGTGAAAGTACGAACCGTCGCTTGATCCGCTCGATGCTCTCCTCAGGAGTGACGTCCAGGTGGATGATCACGTTGGGCTTTTTCTGTTGTATGACGTGTGGCACGGTCGACTAAGCATGTTGATTCTCACAAGGTCGCTTGTGCGGTGCATTAGCGAACACGGTACCATGAAGTTGGACATGTTGGCAAACAGGTCGAGGTAGGTGCGGTAGTCGCGCTCCTCCATGAGCTCGCTGTCGCGAAGCATCTTGGCTGCGGTGTCGTGAGGTGAGAGTGAGTGCGCGACGCGAGTGTCAAGTGTGGTTTACACAGCGCTCACAAGACAGAGGTCGTCAAGTACCGAACACGCCGTCCTCGTATATCGTTCGGTCTTGGATGCCGCCCTTCCCCGACCAGATGATCTGCTGTTGCTACTCGGCCACAGGACAATAAAGGCGTGAGCACAGCAACTACGACATAGGTGGTAACACATAATGCTCCACAGGCCTATCGCTCATCACAGCACGAACTGGTACCTGGCGGAAGCGGTTGTTGAGCAAGTAGATCTGCAGAGGGAAGCTGTACTTCTTGGGCTCTGTACAGGGTGAAGCGCAGAGCAAGGTCAGCGACAAGCAAAATGGCCTGGTCGGCACGCCTGCGGCTAGCGTACCTTGGTAGAAGTCGGCCAAGTACGAGTTGTCGATCACCGGCTCAAAGTAGACGGGCAGATCTGAGATGCGCAGCAGAGTGAGCCTGGCAAAGAGAACGTGTTTCGCCATCTGAATGAAAGAGGCGTACCCAGTACTTTGCCTAGAGCTGCAGACAGAGTACTTTTGCCAGCACCAATCTGTTCGATGTGGATCATTTTAAAACAAAATGCGTTCTTGAAAGATGCAATCGTGCAAGACGTACCAGGCCGCTGATGCCAATGTGAAGATTCTCAAGGCACAACGTCTCATCTGGTCTCGTGTAGCTCGATTGTGCGTTCATCTGTGAAGACTTCGAGGAATTCAGCCTCACATGATCAGGCGAGGCACGATTAGCACACAAGGAATGCACGAACCTCCATGGATATGATTGTGTTGGTGCCTATGTCTCCTCCTGTCTCAATCTGGTTGTTGTCGATGCTCGCGCTACACGCCAATCAGATCCGCGCCCAACGCCCGAGCCAGCGCGTGCTTACGTCAGCAGACAGAACCGTTTTTTGCGGCATTATTTTTTGGCGCTTTTTGAGAACCGTACCGGTCGCTAGCAGCGGCTAGTAACGAACACTCATGGGCGGCGCGGGAGAGGCCCTCTGCGCATGTTGAGGGCGCCTTCACTAGGTCTTTCTCCACCAACTTGCGTCGTCGTATCCACCTCGCCAGCTCGCGTGCTGCAGCAACCTTTCACGGTGCTCGAGATCTCGACAGAGAACGCCACACAAAACATCTGAGGATGGACGACGAATCGAACGCCAGTAGTAGCGGGAAGATGCGGATTGACGCCCTGGTCTCTGCCCAATCGATCAGCCCCACCGCGCCCAAGTCGGCGTCGTGGCTGGCGACCAACGGCGGCAACGGCGAGCAGCACCAGATTCGTTCTCTGCACATGCTGCTCATCGAGGCGAAGCGGGCCGCGCTCGAGGACGCCTTCATCGAGAAGCGCAAGGAGCAGAAGGTGCGAGCTACGACCGGTCCCCTGGACCAGCCTCAGCTGCGGCCAGCGCTCGCCACCATCTCTTCCCTACCGAACCCCATTCCCATTCCACCATCATCTCCATCTTCTACGAAGACGACTTCGTCGACGTCGGGCGTTCTCAACAAAAGGATCTTTTCGCGAGGGCTCCACATCGGTGCGGCGTCATCATCTGTCGAGAACCTGAGCTTCAGCGTGCTCAATCGAACGAACAGTCCGGCCTCCAAGACTCTGCGACTACCACTCTCCGCCACCGCCGCCGAGGCCTCCAAGGAGAACATCGACGTTAACCGACCTGCAGACGTCGAGATGAAGAAGATCACGTCGACGCCCCCATCCTCTACTCTTCAGCAGCAGCCACAACCGAAGCTTCTCAAGCTCACCCTCGGCGCAGGGCTCCCCCAGCAACGACGACCACTCTCCAACCTCCCCACGCTCACTCGAACACACTCCTTCCCGCCGGCCACCTCGTCTCCTTCGACGCCGTCCCGGTCGACGACACTCAACGTGAGGAAGAGGAGCCTCGAGGCTTCGCCATCTACAGCCGCATCGGCGCGCATTCTCGTCCAATCGCTGCCCAACGTGAAGATTCACGTGCAGAAGAAGATCAAGCTCATGCCGCGGCCCGCCGGTCAAGTCCAGGCCCGACCCGAGGGCGTGAAGAACGTGCTCGTTTACCACTTCTGAGTGGAGATGGAGGGCGATCCCGAGATGGCGAGATCGAAAACGCGCGAAACGCGACGCGCGAAAACGCAACCACGAAACGCGTTTTGTTTTTGGCGGGAAAAGCGGAGGAGCAAGGAAGGAATGTGTACAATTGGAGGAATTTCCCCTTCTGTCCAATCCGGCAAATTCGGAGACGGATTAAAAATAATTCACTTGAAAAAAAAACATTGCACCGGTGCCAATTGGCCCGAGCCGAGAAAGTACACAACTCCTCGCGTATGTTGCCCGCAGTGTCACTGTACCCAAGTCATCACTACAGTCACTCTTAGACAGAGAGCTTGGGTGAGCAGATAGCTGGTGGCTATTTGAATTGGTCGGTTATTGGATACGGCCATACTGCGCAGAAAGCACCGCTTCCCATCCGAACAGCGAAGTTAAGCTGCGCCAGGCGGTGTTAGTACTGGGGTGGGCGACCACCCGGGAATCCACCGTGCCGTATCCTCCTCCTTTTTGCTGCTTGTCCGCCTCCCCTGTTCGCCTTCGCCTTCCCCTGCCGCAGCTAAAAAAGATGATGTCGCCCCACCCAGATTTGAACTGGGGTCCCAGGTACCAGAAACCTATATGCTGCCAACTACACCATGAGGCGGGATTGTTTGCCAAATTCTCTCGTGGAAAAAGAAACACTCTGGCCTCGAACTCGGTCAAAGGAAAAAGAACAAGTTCGGTGCCATAAAGAACTGCAGCTCGCGCCCAACCATGACGTCGACAGAGGGTACGCCCTTCAATTAAAAAAATCGGCACTCGATGCCCTTATTGACTGCTGTATACTATGTATCATAGAAGCATGTGGTGGTGGGCTGGGGCAGCTCCCCTCTGAGATAGTCACGCTCATCCTCTCTTTCGCTGTGCCTCCTGCCGACACCCCCCCTTGAGGTGCGTCTTCACTCCACCTCAAAGTAAAAAATAAATATCGTGCACAGCAGCCACATCCACTCCTTCTTCTGGTCTGCTGCGCAGGAAGTGGCCGCCGCCTTGCGCCATCGCCTGGTGTGTCGCCTTTGGAACGACATCGTTTTCGCAGCTCACTTCGCCGACGTTACCGTTCGCGAGGTACCAGCGCTTTGCTGTGTTTGTTGTGTTTGTGTTGTGTTGTGTTGTGTTGTTGGTCGTGAGATGTTGACGCATTGCTCTGTGCGTGTAGCCTGAAGCCGCCAGCTCGGCGGTTGTGCGACTTTTGAAGTACAAGGGCGGCCTCTACATCACCCTGCCCACCCGCAAGAGGAATGTCTCCTCCTACAAGGTATCACGTAGCCCATGGTCCTGCGCGCTGCTTGTTGGACTCACACTCGGCACGCACACGCACCACCGCACACGCACACGCACACGCACCACCGCACCACCGCACACGCACCCGCACACGACTGGCAGTTGCCGAGCAGGGAACGGTATACCAACATGACCGACATAGTGACGCGTTGGTTCGCCATCCGCTTCAACCCCGAAACGTTTGTGGTCAACACCGGCGACTACACTTTCGCCAAGTACGTGCCCTCTCACGCACACCCGCACGCACATGCGCACCGCCGCACACGCACATGGAGTTGCTAATCTCTTTGTTTTTTCCAAACTTCACAGGAGCACAGGGTACAACAAGCACCACGCGGGCGAGGGTCCCTTCACGACCACCCACGTCCCCTTCGCCACCTGCTTCGGTTACTCCACCCTCCTCCAATTCCTGGTACGCACCGCTGGTGCTGAATAGTTCCGTCTTCCTCTTCCTTTCTCGCTCCATTCGCCCGCCCGCCCGCCCAGGTTGTGAGGCGCCTTCGAAGGACGACGGCACCGCCGTGGTCGACCTGCGCGGCACTCCATTCGCAGTGCCCAACAAGTTTGACGTACGTCTTCTTGTGTGTGTGTGTGTGTGTGTGTGTGTGTGTGTGTGTGTGTGTGTGTGTGTGTGTGTGTGTGTGTGTGTCGTGTGTGTGTGTGTGTGTGTGTGTGTGTGTGTGTGTGTGTGTGTGTGTGTGTGTGTGTGTGTGTGTGTGTGTGTGTGTGTGTGTCGTGTGTGTGTGTCGTGTGTGGTAAGCACGTCACTCATTCATTTTTATGCTCTCCCCCGCGTTCAGTTCGGTGGGTACATCGCCAACGGGACATGGACCTACTCGCACCGAGCGCAGGTGGTGCAGCTTACTGGCGGGGTACGTCGCCCTCCACCCAATCAACTAACAAGTCGCCTTTCATTAGGCCTCAGACCCTAGAGCGACTGACACCTACCACCTGCCCACCACCCAAGGGCTATTGTGGCTGGACGGCGCCGGTGGAGGTGGCCAAAAACGAGCACTTGGCCTGCAATGGCGGGTGGCACCTCACGCTCAGCCTGGTACGATAATGAGGACGATCATAATTCCCTTTCATATGGAAATGCAGCGACGATTGCACAACCCCTTCATCGGTGATGACCCTGGTGCGCGTGACTGTGTCACCCTCCATCGCGGCCCTCAACTACGGCGAACAGTACTCTCAGCCCTGATTGCGTGTACGTGCGTGCGTGCGCGCGTGTCGACCGGTACTTTTTTGTGTCCTTAATTGGGCGGAATATTTTGCATACTTCGGTGGGGCCGGCCAATGGGCGCTTTTGCAGTGCATTTCTGTTTTTCCTGCCGGCTCGCGACGAAGCTCACTATCAGACTCGCTTACTACAACAGCAACGCCTCAACAACAAACATGTCGGCAGGCGCGATGCTCGGCGTCTGGCTGGGCAACGGACTGGTGGTGCTCGGGGTGCTGCTTCTCGCCGTGCGCGTATACATCGCCCGCACGTTGGCCCGCATGCGCCATGTGCAGACCGGACAGCCCATCCCCGCGCCGGCGTTCTTCCCGCCCAATTATCTGGACCGCTTCCTGCCAGCCCGACCCCAGAAGCCCGGCTCCTCGAATCCCATTCGTACGAGCACCAAACTTCACTATGTTATGTTCTAGATGATGGAACACTATAATACTGATGCACTACTATTCGTGTTGTTGTCGTTCTGTCTTTATTCTGCGTTGACAATGCTCACCACCACGCTCACCATTCCTGGTGTTGATCGTTGCGCGTCTACATCACTTGCAGAAGATGCGCTGAGGGAGAGACGAGACTATGGGCCGACTTATGTCACTTGGAAGGGATGGACGCCGTTTGTGGTCGTCTGCGAGGCCGAAGGTAAGTGAAGAAGCCCAACTCTTGGCTGAAGGCAAGTGTGCTGTGATGTAAATGAATAGTTGCTTGCGCGGTGGTTTATTGACTGCGCTGGACAACAGACGCTCGCCGAGTGCTGAATGACAAGGGATTCGACAAGACAGGCGTGCCCAAGGGTTCTACCTTGTCCCGCGTGATGGGCTCCAGCCTGGTCACTGCGGACGGCGACAAATGGAAGGCCCAGCGAAGGTTCGTCTGGCAGAATTTGTTTTTGTACGAATGTTGTGCTACACAAAAACTAACATGTTATTTGTTGTAACATATCTATATTTATCAAAATATAGGGCTATGGATCCGGCGTTCAAGTACAAGAAGATCCGTACCCTGGTGCCCATGTTTGCCAGCTGCACGCGCAAGCTCATCAACAGATGGGGCCAGCAGCTCGATCAGCCAATCCCTGTGGAGGACGGCATCACGAAGCTTACCCTGGATGCCATCGGTTCGGCCTCTTCTCTCCTCTTTTTTCCTTTCATTGCTCGCCGACTCACACGCACAGCACGACACGCGACACACGACACGCACGACACACAACCGCACGCACACTACACGCACGACTCAAAAAACAAAAAATAGGTATGGGCGCGTTCGGTTACGACTTTGGGGCGGTGGACGGGTCCATGGAGCTGAGCAAGAATCTGAAGCACTACTACCGAATTCTCGGGGACGTGTTCCGCCCCTCCGCCGACAGGAAGGCGGTGGAGCAATCGATCCAGGAATTCCAGGCATTCCTGCAACACGTCATCACCACCCACAGGTTCACACCCACCCACCTCACCTCGCCTCTTCACTGAATCTTCATCATGAACATGATGATGATGATGACCTATATGTCTCTTCTCATATCTCTGCAGAGCGGGCGGTTGTAGTGATGAGAGGAATCCTGATCTGCTCGACCACATCATCGCGATGGGCGAAGACGGCCAACTCACCGACAAAGAGGTACGACTACAAGTGTAGGTTCATCATCATCGCAATCATCATTGACGTTGGCCAACACAACAGATCAGCCACAATCTGTTCCTCTTTTTCCTGGCCGGCCATGACACCTCATCGAGCGCTTTGACCGCTGCGCTCTACTTTTTTGCCGAACACCCGGGCATGCAAGAAAAGGCCTTCCAGGAGGTTCAGTCCGTGCTTGGAGGCCGAGACGACTTCGATTTTGCCCAACTCTCGAAGGTATGTGCATGTGTGCATGTGTGCGTGCGTGCGTGCGTGCGTGTGTGTGCGTGTGCGGTGCGAGTCACTAACATCCAACGTGTTCGGCATTACGCAGTTGGAGTACCTGGCGATGTTCCTGAAGGAAACGCTTCGCGTGCGGCCGCCCGTGAGCCAGACCGGCGCGGCAGGGCGCACGGTCACCGCCGACGCGGGAGTGGTGCTGGGCGGCTATGTCATACCCAAGGGCGTGACCGTGTCGCCCTCCATCGCGGCTCTCAACTACGACGAAAAGTACGCTGGTTTGGATGCATCTGAGTTGAGGAATGCGAGACTCATCTCCGAATGATGCGTGTGGAATGCAATCTTTCATATCAGCCAATGGCCGGATCCCTACACCTTCAAGCCTGAGCGATTCGCCGACAAGCAGACGGCCAAGAGGGACATTTGGAGTTTCTCCACCGGCCCAAGAGTGTGGTACATAGCAAACTCTTCCATATTCACATTCCGAGTATATTCAAACTGATAGCTTATTGTTATGTGACGAGTAGTGTGGGCAAGAAGTTCGCGATGACGGAGATGCTGACAGTCCTGGCCATGCTCCTGCAGCAGTTCGAATTCGAGCTGGTGAGTCCCGACTACGAGTGGAAGTTCCGCCCGCTGGGGATCACCCTGCGCCCGCTCGATGGGTTGCCTCTGCGTCTGGAGCGCCGCCGGCCTCTGAGGAATTGCTGAACAGACCAGCCCCTGTCACATTGCCGACGTCAACTTTTTCGAATGCAATGTAACCAACCAGCAATAAACGCTTCAAGTTTTCCACAACCTGATGTGCAATCACAATCACCACCGCACGCACACTCACGACAGCACAATCGCACACGCTCACAATCAACTCAATGACCAACTCGCGTGCCACCTGGCTTTCAGACAGGGGTAGGAAAGCTACACAGCTTCCTCCACCCTCAACCTTCTCCTTCTTCTTCTGGGCTCTTGGCTTCCTTAAAAACGTACGCCAATAGGAAGCATCCGCGTTGGTTATTTCAAGAATTCCGACTACTTTGGCCCAATCACCTTCGAGCCGGCCGAAACACAAAAGCTGGCGAAACAAACCTAAACCCACACAAGTTTCCATGGCGCAGTACATCAACGACGTCCCTCCCTACTCGAGCGACGATGACGAAAGAGAGGAAGACCAGAGGGAGGAGCTGCTCGACGGGCAGCGACACAGGCACAAGCACAGATCCTACGATGACGACCCTTTCCTTCTGGCAGACCCCGAGGTGGTGGAGAAGAAGAAGGGCTTCGACTTCAAAGTGTTGCTGTTCCCTTGCACTCGAGAGGCGTGGCGGAAGCCCAACATGCTGCACATCTTTATCTCCTTCTACCTCTACATGCTGTCCATGGCATTCTCTCAGGCCATCACACCCCTGGTACTGCTCTCTATCTTCATTTTGTTGTTTTTTAACAAATGTACAAAATATAATCACTAAGTAGTTTTATCGCAATTATCTGTTAATTTGTTCTTGCTGACTTGCTTGGGTCAAGGTGATGATCGACATGTGCGGCGGAGACGTAGGCGAGGCCTCAAAATATCAGGGCTACTTGTCGGCCACCAACGCCGCCGCCACGCTCTTTACCGCGGCCACGCTGGGCCTCATCGCCGACCGATGGGGCCGCAGGACATGCCTCTTCATCTCCCTCGTACTCTCTTCATCTTCTTCATTGATAGATCACACATCTCTCATCTCTCATCTCTCATCTCTCATCACCTTCTGCAGGCGGGCTTCGCGGTTGACATGAGCGGGATGGCAGCGGCAGCGCTGTACGGGTGGAGTGTGTGGCCGCTGTTCTTCACGCGGGCAGTGGGCGGGGCCAGCTCCGGATTCTACACGGCGGGCTATGCCTACATCGCCGACATCAGCAGCATGGACAACCGTTCGCAGAACTTTGGCGCCTTCGGCCTGGCCATGGGGCTCGCCTTCATGATAGGTCCCATCATCGCCGGATTGCTGGGCCAGGTACATGCGGGCTATGTGTGTGTGTACATTGGAATGTGTGTCATGCACTTGAAACTGATACCAGAGATGTGCATACATACCTCTATCCCTCTGTATAGATCCATCTTGCGATCCCGTTGGTGGCAACAGTGGGGTTCACGGTGGTCAACATCCTGTTCGTGCAATTCGGCATGGTCGAATCCAAGAGCGCGGAGCGGAAGCCGTGGCAGTGGGGCCGCCTCAATCCGTTCCGCGCGTTCGCCATGCTCCTCGACAATTACTACGCTCTCTCCATCGGTACAACACACACACACACACACACACACACCATCTCACATTCTAATTGCTCCTCTCTGGTGCAGCGTTGACCTACTTGGTGGGGTTCCTTGCCGAGGAAGGCGTATTTGCCATCTCGGTCCTCTTCATCAAGGACAGATTCGACTGGGACTCGCTCGATCTGGGCATCATCACGTCCTTCTTCGGCCTCACCTACTGCCTCTCCCAGGTGCCCCAATTCGTCAATTCCCTGTGTGCGCACACAGCACATCCCGCCCTTACCATGGTCATTCCAATGTCGTTCAGGGCGTGCTGCTCCGCTTTGTTTTGCCGCGGCTCGGTGATCGCAAGTCACTCCTGCTGGCCATGTTCACCGACGCTGTACGTCCTCCTTGACACAAGAAACTGTTGTTTCAAAACCTTCCAAACACGACTATGTGGTTTACATTGACTCCATAATGACACTATTTTATTTGCAGATAAGCACGTGGCCGTACGCGGTGATACCCAGCGGGGGCTACATCTATCCGCTCATGCTGCTCCGGACGGTGGCGTTGATGGCGATGCCCATCAGCAAGGGCATCATCTCCAAGCAATATGGGCCCGAGAAGCAGGGCGAGCTGATGGGCGTCGTGTCCGGTCTCAAGACCATCACCGGCTTCGCCGGGCCGCTCATGTACAACTCCCTGTTCTCACACTTCTCTTCCGAATACGACGACCCCGGTACGTTTCTCTTTTCTTATGTGTGTTGTGCTCCATGTTGAGTGCATATGCTTATATGTCGGGATGGGCATAATTTTAAACATGTTGATGCAGGGTTGGTGTACTACGTGGTGACTGCCAACTCGATGGTGGCGTTTGTGGCCTGCTGCTGTGTCTTCGTCATCTTCCCCGAACACAAGACCGGCTACAAGCCGCTCCCCTCAGAAGCCGAGGACATCAACGGAACGACACTGGAGACAACCGACCAGCTCCGACCTGGCCCTTGACTTGCACCTCACTTGCTTGAATGTGTACACCAAACATACAAAAGTGAGATCTTCTGTGTCCTGGGGACCCACTGCATTTTCAAGCGCTGCGGAGTTATTGGCTGGTGGGAACTAGTTCACCTGACTCTTGGCCGAATCATCTTTGCGTGGAGAGCTCCTCGCTGAGCGTGAACAGTCGTCCTTTGAATTTTCGCCCAATAAAACAGCTGGCAGGATATCTTGGGGTGGGATCCCCCTACAAGAAGATGCCCACCACCAGGTCATTCACACTAACTAAAAACTAACAACACTTAACCAAAGGGTTTGTAGTGGAAACAGTGTGTATTGCCAAATTGCTTATGATGTTGTTCTTCATTCCCTCCACTGCAGGCTAAAGAAGAAGATGTCGTCGGTCGTGAGTGCAAGAAGGTGGTACTCTTCTCCCTCCCCGGCGCCTTCACCTCCATCTGCAGCTCCAAGCACCTCCCGCAGGTACTCTCCCTGCTCCACCAATCAAAATCAATCTGTTAAAAGATGTACACCTCATATACCAATATATCTACGTCTGTATATATGATTGGAGTATGTGGGACGTATGGAGGACTTCAGCGGCTGGGCATCGACTCGGTGGTGTGCGTCGCGGTCAACGACGAGTTCGTGATGGAGGCCTGGGGCAAGGGCTACCACGCCCAGGACAAGGGCCTTCTGATGCTGGGCGACGGCGACGGCAGCTTCACCCGCGCGCTCGGGCTCGACCAGGAGCTCGAGGGCATGGGCCGCCGCGGCCGCCGCTTCTCGGCCTACGTCGACGACGGCGTCGTGCGGGTGCTCAACATCGAGGCGCCCGGACCCATGTCCTACAAGGTCTCCGGGCCGGAGAACATGCTGCGCCTCCTCCACGCCCCAGCAGTAATCATTCAAACTTTAATAAATAAGAAATAATAAATAACTAATTGTGTTATCTGTCGAAGCAAACAATCAACGAAGAAGGCGGACCACTTGAGCGCGTTGGTCGTGGGTCTGAGGCGAGGGCACGGACTTGGCGCTGATGCCCTCCACGTCGGGCCTGGCACCGCACACACAATCGTGAATTTCTGAGCGTGTGCGATGCGTGTCGTGTCGTGTCGGGTTGCGTGTGGTAAGGTACCGGCAATCGTGGTAGAGCTTGCACAGCTGCAGAGCCTTCTCGGCGTCGATGCCGTGTATCCGACCAAGCAGCACCGACGCGAAGATGCCCGTGCGCCCGTGGCCGCCATAGCAGTGAATGTACACCATCTCGCCTGCCCTGTGCACACGCACCACACACACACACACGCACCACACACACCACACACACACACACACACACGGCACACACACACACCACGGTGAGTGTTCTGAGTGCTTGCGGTGGTGTCTGTGCCGTGTGTGTACCGTGTGTGTGTGTGTGTGTGTGTGCCGTGTGTGTCGTGTGTGTCGTGTGTGTCGTGTGTGTACACATGTACATACCGGAGGAAGGCGAGGATCTTCTCGACAAGGACAAGCGTGGCATCGTCGGAGCCGATCATACGATCGGGTATCGGGTGGTGCACGTATCGCAGCTCTTGCGACTGCCCACCACGCGTTCGTCCAATGAGTGGTGTGTGTATGTGTCGTGTGTGTCGCGTGTGTCGTGCGTGTCGTGTGCGGTGATAGCTGGACAGCGTCGGCGCGCACTTTTTGCACAAAGTCGGAGGGTCGGGAGTCGAGCATGGACTTGGCGACGTCAAAGTAGTGCTTCCCGTGCTTGCCAAACTCGCTCTCCTCCATGAGGCACACGAACACAGTCACCCCTGCTTTGCCAGCCCACCACCGCCGCAACCACCATCAGCTTTTCGTTCCACACCTGCCGTCACGCACACGCACCATCACACACGCACACACACGCGACACTCGAGCAATTCAGGAAACAGTGGAGAGGGCGCGTGCCCTGCTTGAGGATGGCTTCGGTCATGTAGGGCTTGAGCGGGTAGGCGCCCACCAGCAAACAGCCCCGCACCACCCAATTCGAGTAGGCTGCAGTCACGCCGCACACAGCACCGCACGCCCGCACGCACATACACACACAGGCCACCGCACGCACGTATGAGGTCGATGGTTATGCAATGCGCGTGGTGGTGGGCGGAGGTACGGGTCGGGCCGCTCATGTCGCGGGTGAGGTGGTCGGTGGGGAGAGCGAGCGGCAGCTTGGCCAGCAGCTGCTGGTGTCGGACCGCCCCACCAGCAGTGCCCCCGCCTCCCTTCTCCTTTCCTCCCTTCTTGTTGCCGCCCCCCTTCCTATGAGTAAAGATTTAAATTGTAAAAATTACACATTTACATTTCCATTAATATCAAAAAAGAGGTGAAGTGGGTGCCTGGGCTCCTTCATTGCCTTCTTCATCTCTGATCTGGCTGTTTATTGTGCTATTTTGTTGTTTTCTTAAAATTATTTTTTGGTTTATTCTGCAACCTCACTGAGATTTCTTGGGCTGGGAGGACGAAGCTGGAGGCTGGGACACACGCATGCAACCGCACACCACACGACACCACACGACACGACACGGGTGAGTGCACATTCATGAATGCTGGGCAAATGAACGATTGAGCTGACTACTCAAATAGTGTACCTGTGCCCACGCTGGCGCATCAACGGGGAGCGATATGCCCCGCATTGCCTCCTTGATGTCATTGATGTGGTCCGCCGAAAACGCGGGGAAACGCTCGTTGGTAGCCGCAGCCGCAGCCGCCACCTGCACCTCCTCCTGGTATCGCGCATCGAACGCGGCCATCGCCTCCGCCCTTTTGTGTGTCGTGCCGTGTGTGCGGTTGTGCGTGTGGTCGATGTGTTGTGTCGTCAGCCTGCAATCTCGCCATTACACTGTTGTGCGGGTCGGTCGTGTGTACCTGCGCCGTTGCTGCTCCTCCTCCGAGACGTAGAGGGCGACGCCAATCCTGGCCATCTGCGCGTGCACCTCCAGCCCCTCGAGGCCTGCACCCCAGGCAGCGATAGAAAAGAAGTGTAAGTAGAAGAAGAAGTAGTAGTAGAGACAAAATCGTAAGTGCTGCAAGCAAGCTTTGGAACACTTTGCATTGGATGAGCGCACGAACCTTGGACGGCGGCTGCGGCCTGCTGGGCGTCGTCGATGTTGTCATCGTCGCCAGCGCCGAGGGGCGCGTAGCCGCCGTACTCGTCCTCGCCGCCGCTCTCGTCCTGCGCGGCCACGTCGTCGCCGTCTCCGAGCATGGCGTAGCCGCTGTACCTGGCGTCCTCACCTTCTTCGCCTTCCTCTTCTCCTTCTTCTTCGCCCCCGAGGCTTGCGCCCTCCACCCCCTGCTCCTGCCCTACAAAGTATATATAAAAATACAGAAATAATAAAAAGAAAAAAAACAACTTGCACGTACAGACAACAGAGGCATCCGTAAAGAGGGACGAGGTTGAAGGTGTCCCAAGCTCTCCCCTTAGTTCTGGTGCCACGTCTTCGCTCATCTTGCCGGTCGCTCAACTGTATTTTCTTTATTGTTTTTTTTCTTTCGAGTTTTTTCTTTTGATGCCGGTTGGGCTGCGATCAGGGTGGCCCCAAAGGCAGCCCAAAGACGTCATCATCATCATGCCCGTCGATGGCGATGAGGCAAAGCCTGCAAGTCCGTTCTGGTCGGAGCCATCCCGGGGCATTGGAGAAACGTTTCGTCCTAATTGCCCTGCGGGAAACCTCTTTGGTGGTTCTGGGAACTCACAGCCACACCAGAGGCCAAAGCGAGCGGGGTTCGGCTCAAGCATGCTGGGTCCGTATGTTTTGGCCAATGGCACACTTTCTAGGTTAGTTTAAACCAATCGAGTATTTTGAGTTGCAGGAGTGGTGCGGTCCCAATAGGAGCACAGCCCAACACCCGCAGCCGCCGACGGGTTTTGGGAAGTAACCAAAACCTTCCTCCCCTATCGGTGCGCGGCTTCAGGACCCCGACGGCCATCAAAAAGGTGAGCCCTTCCTTTTGTGATCTTTACACCTTCACCATCAGCTGAAAGACCTGGGCTACACTCCAATCGCCAACAACCCAACCAACAGACCTCGTCATTCAAGGATCTCTCTCATTCGTTTCTGAACGCCAACAACCCAACCAACAGACCATCGTCATGGTATGTCGCCTTGCTCTACGCTCAACACTTTCGCGAGCCAAAGGTCGCGGGAGCGGGGAGAGCTTTGACTTTAGTGTTGCGCCAATGGCGGCTTTTTATTGTCTGGAAATATGGATGAGTTCTCCCTAATTATTGTGCGATTGGGTCGCAAAACAGTCCAGCCAGTGCTGTATCTTTCCCTCCGCCGACAACGCCCGCACAACCACCACCACAAGCAAGCGCAACAGCTCCAAGCCGAGGACCTCAACCACATCAACCACTCCCACCCCCACCAAGGTACATTTATTGTATGTTCGCAGTGCAAATGATAACTCTTTCTTCTTTATTATTTTATTTATTAGTATTTTGTATATCAGCGAGTGCTGACATATGCTGGCATATATGGGTTGTAACCTAGGAACGAAAAGGAATCATGTCCGCCATCGCAGCCAAAATCCTGGGCAAGCACCACGAGCACGTCTACCGCGAGGTGGGCCACCGCCACCGCCTGTCCTACGCCGACCTCGACGCCCTCCTCGACCGCGAGGAGAAGCAGCTCGCCGCCGACCACCAGCGCCAGCGGGCTCAGCTCACGACCGCCGCCGCCACCACCACCGCCGCCGTCGACACCAACGACTCACTCGTCGGCGATCATGATCACCCGAAGCGCAGCTCGAGCTCGAGCATTGAGAGCAGCTCGTCGGGGAGCGAGGATGAGGCCGACTGGCACGCCGGCGGGGAGCACGAGGAGGACCTGCTGCTCGAACTCGAGGAGACCACCCAGGAGAGCATCCTAACCGTCACCGGCGCCGAAGACCATCTCGTCCATGACATCGACCACATTGTGTACGTGCGTGCGTGCATGTGCGGTCGTGTGTGTGCGGTGTTGCTGACAATGTCTGTGCGTGCGCAGTCATGTGGACATCACGGACGAACAGCTGGAGCGGATGAAGCGGCTGCTGCACGTGAACTGCCTGCACCGCGGCGACATCGAGCGCGTGCGCGGCAAGCGGTGGATGGTGGCGGTCGACGGGTCGGAGGCGTCGAAGCGGGCCTACGAGGGCGTGCTGCGGCTGATGGACCCGGCGCTGGACCACCTCCTGGTGGTGACGGTGTGCGACAAGAACCTCCCGCGCCGATTCGCCCTTTGTCCGAGCGAGGAGACTCAGCTCCGCTTCGAGCTGTGGAAGGCCGCGCGCCACATCCTCAAGCCCTACATCGACGAGCTCCCCAATCGCCTGGTACGTGCACCGTGTACACACGACACACCACCGCCGCACACGCGTGCTGTCGTGGTCATAACTGACATTCTTCTTCCGCGCCACGCGCAAAAAACGCACGCAGGCGCCGAACCAGTACACCGTGATGGTGCCGAGCGCGTGGGACGCCAGGCGCATGCTGTGCAACCTGTGCAAGCGATACAACACCGACACGCTGTGCGTGGGCAAGCACGGCAAGGGCGAGCACAACCACCATCACCACCACCTCCGCTCGCTCCACTCCTACACCCAGAAGCACGCTGGGTGCCACGTCATCGTCTTCTGATCCATACGTCGCATACCAACCAACACACTCGCTTGTGCACAGGCACACACAACATGTCATTTGATAAATATTTATTTTAATATTAAAAAAGTAATGGGACATATATGAGTATGTCTCATAGAGAGTATGTGTAGAGACTTAATTCCTCACATTCTTGCGCCTGGGGCGGACGAGGGGCTCCTCGGCGTCCTCGACCGGCGGCGGAGGCGTGTAGGCGCCGATGTGGCGACCAAAGTCCTCGACCCCGTCGTAGGCCGAGGCCCTGGCGACGAAGCAGAGGGCGACGCTCAGGATCGCCACTGGCACCCAGATCAGCGCCGCCCACTTCGGGCTCGCCGTGAACCGATACAGCGGGTGATACCCTGTCGTCAACGAAACACCCGGTTCGCCGCCACTTAGCGCGTGTGCGCGTGCGGTGCGTGCGTGTGCGGTTGCGGGGAGGGGGATGGTACCCGCGTCAATGAACTCGATGAAGGACTCGACCTTGTTGCGGTCGCCTTCGAAGGTGTAGACGGCGCCCTTCTTGAATCTGAGAACCATCAACGCACAGTTCAACGCCAGAGATGACGATTGCGATCATGGAGACGACGATGATGAAGAAGAAGACGACAACTACGTGGGCGATGGGGGGTGGGGCGTACAGGAGGAAAGTGGGTGTCGAGTCCACATGGTACCTGGCAGCCAGCTCCCTGCCCTTGGGGGTGGCCGCGATGTCCACCGTGCCGATCTGCGTCTCGCCCGAGTAGCTTTGCGCCAGATCCTCCCATCGGTGCTTCACCTTCTCGCAGTGCGCGCAGTTGTGTCGGCAGCTGGCACGCAGGCGCCGTGCGTGTCAGACCCTCAGCCAGGCAACACGACACACACAACACGACACGCACAACACGACACACGCGACATATCATCTGGCGCGAGGGCACACGTACAACATGACAAACCAGGGGCCGGCGCTGATGCCCTCGTCAAACATGTTTCCTTGGGCGAGGTCGACCACCCTCCCCTGGGCCAACGCCAACAGCGTCGCCAGCAGCGTAGCGGCCACCAGCAGAACTCGAGACAGCTGCATTTTTATAGGGGGTTCTACGCAACAGCAGGTGCGTCAGCATAATATAACCACTGTTTTACATATTGCGTGGGTGTAAATAAGAAGAATATCATTCGTTAAAAAAAGAAAACTACTACTTATTTAATGTGATAAATTGGTTATTCTTATTTTTTTTACTGAAGTAAAGGAGGAAGAAGAAAGAAACCTGGAGGTGGGGATGCGCTTGCCTGAGGAGCAGACCTGCAAGAAAGGAGGGAGTTGATGTTGTCCATGTTTTGGGCAAGGGACGTGTATCACCACGAGTGGGCAACTCTCTCGAAGTTTCGCCCTTTCCTTTTCTGCACCCGATCGCGCAGAATAGGAAAACAGCACACAACACAGCACACGCACACCACCGCACACACGACACACGACACGCACGACACACGGCATCGGGTTGAGTGTGCGCTGAGGCGACACCACCGAGGGGACGGAGGAGGTGAAAGGTCTCGAGAGAAAAGTTTAGAGGAATCGGTTGCCGGACTGGGCCGAGAAGCGGGAATGGAAATCCTTGGCCTTGCGCAGGACGCTGGCGCGAGCCTCTGCCGGGAGCTGACGCGATCCCATCTCCTCTCTGTCCCACGGCTTCCACTCCTCGTCTTCCTTCGCCTTGGCCTGCATCGTCGCGAAGGGAGGGTGTGTTGGTATTCATCATCATCATCATCATCATCATCATCGTCATTGTCATCATCATCTGGAGAAGGAGAGCGGAAATGAAGTGGGCAGCACGGTACCTTCTCGAGCTTCTTTTCGTTGACGCTCTTGGCGTGCTGTGCCACGAGAGACTCCGGACGATGCTTCTCCTGCAGTTTTGTGACGAGCCGGGTGAGCCGATGATGATAATGATGGCGATGAGGTGAGCGCGAGAGAGAGAGAGAGAAACAAATGGAGCGTACGTTGTAAAGCTGCAGGTAGTCCTCCACGATCTTGTCCTTGCCCATTTTGGGCTTCGCCTCTGTCTTTTGCTTCTGCAGGCCGTGACCACGTGCAAGCAAGGGCAAGCGACGTCGGGTGTCAGCAACGCATGAAAGGCGCCGTACGTGGACGACCAGCAAGAGCGGGAGAGCAAGTTGCAGTGAGGAGGGAGGAGGCACCTTGTCGGCAGGCTCGCCCTTCTTGTTGCGCCCTTCGATGATGTCGCGCTTGGTACGCTGCTTTCGCTCTTCCGGGTCGAGGGAGTAGGCGGGTGCCGACGGCAGCGCTGCTCGCTTGGGTTGCGGCTTACGAGCTCGCGGATCTGTGCTTGTTCATTCATTACGCCACCGAATGCGTGAGATGATTCATGCACCACGCATGTGATGATAATCATAATGATGCGAGTAGCGGGGGGGCACAAGTGATGAGGGCAATTCCATACCATCTGGTCGCAAGGGTCCGAGCACTTCCACAACTTCCTTCTCATCCTCATCTTCATCCTTGGGCTCCTCTGGGGCGGCAACCAAATCGTCTAGAGACGGACCGCATACGCGCCTTCGTGGGGGCGCAGCGGCAGCCTCCTGCTTTTGTTTCTCCTCTTCCTCCTCGCGCTTCCTTCTTTCTTCGAGCAGGTGGGGTGGTAGCGCCGCCCCAAAGACCATGGGCGATGGGGCCTCCTCTTCTGCAACTTCTTTCGCCTCTTCCTCTTTTCTATCATCCTCCCCAGCTACCGTTTTTTGTTCCTCTTCTTTTCCCTCCTCCTGTCGTTGCCGAAGGAGATGAGGCGGCAGAGCTGGACCCACATGCGCCATCTTCGATTTGAATGAAAACAAATAAATCAAAAAGAAAGGCACAACTATTGAGGTGTTGAAATTTCGAGCGTGCACTCCGGTCAAAATTCCGTGAAAAAATGAAAGGAAAGTAGGTTCTCTGTTTTTTCCCTGTATTCGCTGTTGGGCGGGGAGTACAAATACTCGGGCTACGCGCACATCTGATCATAAAATCAATTCACGCGTGCACCACACATAGGAAAAGAATGAGCCAAGATTGGAACGAGATCGTGTTCAGGAAGAAGGCCCCCAGCGCCAAGGACGCTAAGGCCGTGACGAATGCCCAGCGCACGGGTGCCGCCATCGAAACCTCGAAGAAGGCCGCGACGAACAAGCCCACCACGACCACTGGCAATCCTGCGCGAAGGCTCGAATCGGACATCATCAAGGGAATCGATGAGGAACCCGACAAGCTCACTCCCAAGACGGTGGGTCCTCAGGTGGGGCGCGCCATCCAGGCGGCTCGCGTGGCGAAGGGCTTGACGCAGGCGCAGCTGGCCCAGCGTATCAATCAGAAGGCGACGGTGGTGAACGAACTCGAACAGGGCAAGGCGCTCTTCAACAACCAGATGCTCGGACAGCTGGAAAGGCAGCTCGGCGTGAAGCTTAGGGGCGACAAGGCCCTCATCGGCACGCCACTAGAGGCGAAGACCTTCAAGGGCGGCGCCAAGTAAACAGCTCATCGGCTGATGAATTTTTCACTACTACCGCTGCTCTTTCACCGTGTTCATAGTTTGTACAAACAATACTCGATCTCTCGCTCCTAGACGCTCGATTTACTTTGCGCCAGTGCTGGATTGAGTTGCGAGGCCACCAATCTCAGCTGGCCGTGCGGCAGGGACAAATTTTGGTCTACAATGACCACGCTCAATCGATTAATGCGCCATGGCCCAGATAGTCTAATGACGGAAGTCAAGTGTGCCGCGTTACCAATTGATGCTCAGTGCTGGCACACAAGGAGAACACGGTGCACTAGCAAGTGTAGCAGTCGAGATCTTCAGCAACCTGGCGATCAACCACAAAAGCTGAAAAATGGAAAATGCGCCGCATTCTTGGCGGTCTTGGAATAGTCGGCGGAAAAAGAGAACGAAAAAGAGAACGAAAAGAAAACTCGATCCACGAAACTACTACGCAAGGGTGAGTGCATCGTCACTTTGTCGGCGAGCGCGTTCTTCCTTATTCCTTCGGCTACGGCTTGCGCATAAAAGACATCTTTCAATCATAGAAATCCAGACATTTTAATTTGCATCATCATGGCCAGCGCATTTGGGCACAACGATATTCCCCTTCAGACCTTCCCGTACCCCCTGCCTCGTCCCTCTTGTGCCCGTTAAACATAATAATAATAATCATATTATTTTGCAGGGTGTATGGATCTGGTGGGGGGTACTATGTGCCGGCCGACTACGGCGTGTCTGGCGGCGTCGCACTTCCCGAACCCGTGTGGCTGCCCGCCCCATCCACCGCCACCGCGCCCGCCACATGGGGCTCGCCCGCGCCCGCGCCTCTCTACCCGCACACCACCCTCACCCCCATGGGCTCCATCAACGCGTACGTCTCTACTTCCTCTTCTCCTCTTTCTTCTACTTTTTCTTCTACTCTTTCCAAAACGTAGTCAGCTCACCACTACTGGGGAATTCTATACGTCAACAACTCGTGTAGCGCCTACATCCAACCCGCACAGCCGCAGCAGTTCCACACCGGGTTCAACCCGCAGGCCAAGGCCGCACGCGAGGCGCAGGCGTTCGCCGTGGAGGGCGCCAAGCAGCGCTGCACCAAGTGCCGTTCCTACTTTACGGTACACACACGACACACACACGACACACACGCGACCGCACACGGTGGTGGTGGGTGGTGGTCTTACCTTCAACTCTCGTCGTTGCAGGCCGCAGAGAATGTCGATGGCGCGTGCGTGTACCACCCGGGCCACTACGCTACCCCGGACACCGCGGGTCCGGTCATGATGCCGGCCTCGACCCTCCTCCGCTGGTCCTGCTGCCGATCCCCGGCCTCCGACGCGCCCGGCTGCCGCCAGCAACGCCACGTCGTTGACGCCGCCACCGCTGGTACGCGCACGCGCCACCGCACACGACGCGACATGACACACACGCGCGCTAATCGTGCCACTCTGATCGTGCAGCAATCCTGCGCAAGTTCGACACGTCGGCCGGGCTGCGCGAGGGGCTGGCCCCGGTGGCCGGCGGCGGTCTCACGCAGGCCTCGTCGTCGTCCGACGACGATGAGGACAGCGAAGAGTACCTGGACTACGCCCGCCTCCAGGAGCAGGAGCACATCCGGCGGGGCATCAAGAAGATGCACGCCGCGGCTGCCGGCGCCGACGCAGCGCGCACGCAGGAGAGCGGCGGCACCGACGGGGTGGTGATGGTGCGCCACCTGGTGGCCAAGACCGACACGCTGGCGGGCCTGTCGCTGCGCTACGGCGTCAAGGTGGACGACATCAAGCAGGCCAACAATCTCACCTCGCAGTCGATCTTCGCCCACAAGTTCCTGCTCGTGCCCAATCCCGCCAGGACGCCCGCGCCTGAGGAGCTCAGCAACACCGTCATGCCCAAGGACGGCAAGAAGGGCATTGGTACACCTTAATACAACAACCGCACACGACACGACACGACACGACACGACACGACACGACACGACACGACACGACACGACACGACACGACACGACACGACACGACACGACACGACCAACGACACGACACGACACGACCAACGACACGACACACACGCGCACACGGGTGTTAGTGATAGTTAGCTAACGGCACTTGGTGTCGCGGCGCAGCGGTGGAGCGTTTCCGGGCGGTGGCCAAGTGTGACAAGGAGGAGGCCAGCTTCTACCTGGAGGAGCACGAGTTTGACGTCGAGCGTGCCCTGGCCGCATTCCGGGCCGACCTCGAGTGGGAGAAGCAGGCGCCCCAGCCAAAGAAGGCACGAGGCTCTGGCTGTGGCCGTTGTGTGTGTCGTGTCGTGTGTGTGTGGTGTGGTGAGCTGTTGGGCTGACCGTCACTGGGCTTTCTTTGCTCCAAACAGACCACCACCAAAACCAGAGCGAGGCGCAACTACAACTAGGCCTCGCGTGGTGCTGCCCGGAAGTGAGCCCATTTTGCCCCACCTTTGACAGGTGGTGCTCAATCACCGCTCAACTTCCACCTGTAAACGGTCGTGTAGAGCTTGTTCTTGTACTTACTTGAAAGAGTGGAACAACTATCTTCCCTCACAATTTCTTGGCTTGAACATCACTATTCAGATATTGAATCAATATATTCCTCCAACATCTACACCAACATGGGGGCTACGCCCAGCGAGCGATCCACGGGCCGGCAACGACAGTGTCGAATTCGTCTTGGTCGGCTGAGTGCCAGCGGGTGTCCTTCTGGGCGGCGTTCCGGTTCACAGACGCCCAGTCGCGCCACGACGACCAAAAGCCGGCGACCTCGGCGCCCTGAGCGTCGCGCAGGGGCAGCAGGTCCTTGATGGCCTCAAAGCCCGAACTCTCATTGCTCCGCTGCCACCTCAAGTCCACGCTCCACCGAATCCTGTCCGACCTGCGGCCATAAAATAAAAACAATTAAAAAACATAATTAATTAATAATAATAAAGCCAAGGTGTACGTGTTGTCGCCCGAGCAGTGGGGGATGGTGTTGTTGAAGAAGACAACGGAGCCCAGCTTCATCTCGCAGTCTACGCGCTCGCCGGCGGGCAGGTCGTCCTCGTTGATGTAGAGGTACCAGCTGCCCTGGTCGCCCTCCTCTTGCTCCGAGTGTGAGGACTTGCCCTTTCTGTTGCGCTCCAGGTGGTGTGGAAGCACCTGTTCACACCACACCACACCACCGCACACACACACACCACAGCACCGCACAACGTGTTCAGTCACGCGGCTCGCACACGTGTGCGGTCACACACGTACGGGCAGGTTGGCGGCGCCGCGGATCAGGCGCAGGGTGCCCATGGACCTGTCGACGTCGCACAGGGGGATCCACGCCGTCGGTTGGCTGGTGCGTTCGGCCCCGGCCGCCAGGTAGGCGCAGTCCTGGTGCCAGGGCACCGTGGCCAGCGCATTGCCGGGCGTCTTCTGCTCGGCTCAATCTGGGCGTGTGAGTGCTTCAGGCCTTGCTTGGGGGGGGGTTGAAGCAGCGTACCGAGCGCAGGTTCCAGACCGGGTGGCCAGCGAGCTGGCCATCGTCACCACTACTCGGGAGCATCTGCCCGAGGGGTGAAGACAAAAGAAGAAGAAATTGAAGAAGAAGAAGAAGATGGTGAGTAGTGCGGCATGAAGAGAGTAGTGCCACCACGACTGTTGCTGTACCTGTTGGACTACGTCGAGGAGGCGAGGGTGCGACCAGATCTTGGCCAGCTCGGTGCCCATTACCCCCGAGGTGTGAATGAGCACTGTAGCGGTGTAGGAGTGAATAGCATGTGAGAAGCGAGTAGCGGAAGGCATGAGGGAGGCGATGACACTGTGGGAAAGAGAAGAGGTCCGTACCGCTGGCGCCCTTGAACTCTTGTTCGAGGAGGGTGAGGCGGTGGAAGACATCCGCGTCGGCGTGGAGGTGCTGGATCTTCCCGGCCGCGTAGAGGCGCTGCGCCAGTCTGTCCACCCTCTCCTCGACCTCTGCACTCGGATCGACGACGACAAGAAGCAGAAAAAGGGCCTTGTTGAGCAGATCTGCCAGTATTGGGGGGGGGGAGGGTCTGGGCACCTTTGAGGACGGGAAGGAGCTCGTCGGGCGTGAAGAAGTCGTTGACGATGAGGAAGCCGTCCTTCTCCAACAGCGCCAGCTGTTCCTCGCTCAACAGGTGCATGCAGCTCATCTTCTCCTTCTTCTTCTAATGGTGTCCTCTGTCTGTTTCGCCAACGGTCGCCAACTGTTGGCCTAAACAGTACAGTTTTGAAGTGAAAACAGAATAAATAAAAGTCCAAAATTATTTTATATTAATAACTAATAATAAACAATGAAACAAAAATGAACAGAAGGAGGGACGACACGTACCAGTACCAGTCCCTGCCCCTGGCCTACCCCTCTCCTGCACGGGGCGTGCTGCAACAGCCGGTGCCCCACCACCACCAACCACCACAGCACCAGACACAGCAACACCGGCTGCTGTCGGGGAAGGCGAGCGGGACGTGGGCCGAAGAGTGGGTGGACGAGCTCACGAAGGCGCTCCCCATGCGGGCGGCCTTCTACCACCACGTCGCCTTCTCCGTGCTCACCTCCCAGCTGCCCCGCCTCGACTTCGACCTCTGCGAACCCATCCCCTCCGGTCCGTCTTCCCGCCCGCAGCATTTTCATTTCTTTTTAAATTAACTAATTAAAAAGCTGAATTATTCATATAAATAGTAATAATAACATTAATAAATGGAAAAAGCTCACAGGTGGTGAGAATGGGGCAGGGGTGGGTTGGGCCTGCATGGGCGCGTGCGCGCTGCTGGCCTTCGGCTATTCCTACTTCGTGGAGGGCGCCGTGCTGTGGGCCATCTTCAGTCTCCTCTTCTACGCTCTCGTACACCACACACTCGCCTCTCATCTTTCTTCCGTGGCTACGACTCACGCACCATCGCACACGCACACACGTTTTCCAGTTCGCATATGCATCGACACCACAGTTCTTTTCGTGCTACGACGACATTTACGACGCCGACGGTGCGGTCATCACCCCTGCGCGCGTTGACGCGTGTTGTTCGCTCCCGGTCTGACCGTTGTGTGGTGTGTGTGGTGTGTGTGGTGTGTGTGGTGTGTGTGGTGTGTGTGGTGTGTGT